ATATATATTTGTCTCTATATTTTGACTAACTAAGCTCGAGACCCTCCCTGACTACAGTTTCCCTCCCTCAATAGCTGGCATTGCTGCCCCTGGTGGAAATGCTCATCCGTCGCTCTACGCGATTCGTGTGTGGCAGCAGACACCCAGGCGGTGGATAACGCCATCTTCTTGGCCGGGACAACAGTGTCCCATCTGTCGAGGCTCTGCTACGAAAGGGGGCATCGATATCGCTGCGCGAACTGCTCAAACTACTGCTAGCAATCTCATCCGTGGACTCTGTATGGTCACCGCTGCTCTCCTCCAAACAGGCACTTCCGATGACCAGGAAAGAACGTCGACCGGCACCAAAGGATGCCGCATCGTAGAAGGAACAGGATCCTGAGTCGGGGGTCAGAACTCCATCTGTGTTGGCCACATCGCTCGTGGAGCGCTTGAGCTTGGGGAATTTGCTGAAGACTCGCCAGAAGCGGAAAACATCGCGAAAAACATTCTGCACCTGGTTGGAAAGGCAAGTATGTATATATTTTTATTTATTTTTCAAGTGCTAGATGATGGGAGCTGTTTAATTGCTTTGGCAGCTTATTGATTAGGTAGAGATAAAAAAAAAGTATTATATTTTATAATTTGGAAATTCTTCATAGAAGAAAAAAGTCTATACTCAAAAAGTCAATATAAATTCAACCTTTAAATCTGTTCAACATTTTTTTAATTTTGTTTAATTTAACCTCTTTCGAGATTTTTCCTTTTTTTATTTAATAAAAACTTTTGTCTTAAAAACTGAAAGGTTCTCTTAAGGTTGCTGCCAGTGATTTCCTTCCTTTTCTTCTCTTCCTCTTATATTTTTGTGACGAGTAAATTAACTGCGCAATTCGCCTGCATCACTATCGTCATCTCATTCACTCTCACTCACGAAACAACTTAAGGGACCAAGCTCAGCAATAGATAGTTTGACTCAGTTACTCGTTCCATATCTAGCATAACATGAGAAAGTAACGAACTAAAAATTAAGAAAAAGGAAACAACAAACTACAAATTGGACATTCAACTACAAACTATAGGCACACAACGACCAATACATAAAAATAAATTCATAGTCATATACATATATACTTTTTCCGCAATTATTTAAGTTTAAGAGTGATTATTTTAGCTTACAAGTACTGTATCTTAGTGATTTTCCCCCTTACCTGATCCACACTCTCTCTAACAGAGATCTCATGAAAACATGCGCAGGACAGCTCCCTGAACCTTCGTTGACCTTCTTCCAAGCTGACCATTCGATCGCCGGGCTGATCTGTCTTGTTGCCCACCAAAATGACAGGAATATCCAAAGTATAGTCCTGGTAAATCACAAATATATAGCTATGAATCCTATTTGTACTATAATCCAGATACTCACTTTACTGGCCGAACCCAACTTGCGTCTCCGCTTGTTGTAGTTGATGAGGAACTTCAGGCGACTGCACTCATCGAAGGAGCACTTGTCCGTGATGGAGTACATGAGGATAAAGGCGTCGGCCCAGCGGATATTGGACTCCAGACTAACGCCATCTAGTTCCTTTATAGAAAGATAGTACTAGTAACTTTCTTTATATTATATTTCTAACCAAAACCTTACTTGCAGCTGTCCAGTGGCATCCAGAATGTCAAACTGGATTTGCTCCTTGTCCAACGTGGTTTGGCAGGTGTAAACCTTCTCCAGATTCGGATCATATTCGCCAATGAAGCGTCGGGTAATAAAACGCACCACCATGGCTATATTGGGAGAGTCCCTTAATTTTGGTTTCCTTTATATTTTTGGGAGGTGAGCGGAAAACTCACCCGTTTTTCCCACGCCACTCTGGCCCAAGACCATAACCTTCAGAGTCTTTTGTTTGTTGGTATGCAGACCCAACTTGACCAGCGATGACTTTGGCGAGGTGGCATTCATTGCAGATACCAGGAGCAATTGTCTGCAAAATGTGAGAAAGCAGTGGGGTGAGAGGAGAACTAGGTGTTAACTTTGATATTTAGACTTGGATATACCCTAGATTTTATGTGAATTAGTAGATTCATTTTTAAAATCTTCGTTACTCAACTTTATTACTATATTTGGATTACTATATTATTTTTTCAATAATTAAAAAAAAACAATAAAGCTGTATTTAAGATTAACCCAAAAAACACTACCTCATTCCTTCTACATTACAGGGTATAAATATCTGCTTTATTTGGTTTTGGCCGGGTGTTAAGGTCTCGTATTTCCTAGACAATATGTCTGTTAGGAATGAGTGACACGACCTTTGTTGGCCCCAGATTCCTGATGCTGTTGTGCTGGCTAGTCCTTGGTCCCCCCCTTTAACCCACATCAAAATGCCTATGGTCTGGATAACAGAACTAGACCAGGTCGCTTTTTTTTAATTTCGGTCAGCAATTTTGCATATTTTCGGTGCGTAAAGACAAATAAGACAGGGAAATCTTGTAGAAACACTCAAAAAATTAAGAGCTTAGAGTAAGTTTTCAAATATTTTACAAATTTAAATTACAATATCCAAAAGTTTAGAATTTCAAACAGGAATAAAAAACAACAAAATAAAGAAACATTTTCTGTACTGTTCTTAAAAATGAAAACCTTTTTTGGAATATATTTATTAAAAACTCATAAAATTACTTAAATTATTTTTTAAAGTGTTTCAGTTTTGAGAAACAGCAGGAGGACTAAACAGAAGACGCTCGTCTTGTGTGTTCTTTATGGCCACCCATGGATATAAGCATATGTGGGTGTGGGGTTGGTGAGGGAATGAGTGTGTTTGTGCTTTTGATAAGGTCAACAATGTCAGACTACCGACAACTATGAAACATTTATTGGACACTTTCTGCGTTGTCCTCCAGAAACAGCCGCAGACGCAGAAAAAAAAAGGAGAGAATAAGAGTGGGAAATGCAGGAGTCCTTGGCCATTGTCATGGTCATTATTATAAATTACAAGAACACTCCCCAACCAATCGGTTGATTAGCGCAGGATGTCAAAGGATATCAAAATATGGCAAAACTAGCAAAATAAAGCGACACTCTGAAGGACGAACAACAAGTGACAACAATAAAATATCAATTATCACTTGGCCAGCAATGAATGTCTCTTGTTAAGACAGTGTCCTTCAGTTCCGGATATCGATGGGTCCTGGAGTTGTGTTCAGTTCAATGACATGTGACATGTACTGACAGTGGGGAACAGTAAAATAGGAAAAATATTTAATCATGTAGTAATAAATAGCAGCTGATAAGTATTTGCTGATTAAGAATGAGTGCCGCGACTATAAATAGCCGTGGTTAGAACAGTTTCTTGATTTACTTACTAAAAATATAAACATTTCATTATATTTTAACCCAAAAGACCTTAATACTCAATAATCTATAAACATTATTTAACATTTTCATCTTTAACAATCCAATATTGACTTTGTTATTTGTATTTTCCAAAGCAGCTGCCGCCAGTTCAATTACAATTCTAAGAAAGTTTCGTCTTCAATTTCCCATAATTAAAACGTATTTTTCGCTGGAAAACTTCACCTCTTTTTAAGGTTTCTTAGGGAGCAGTCAAGGCATTGAGCTGTAGCCAGGTCCTAGAGAAAGTGAAACAAATGTTCTCAATGGTACAGCCAACCAGGTTGTGGGCCAAACTAAGTCCAGCTTACCTCACCTCTTCCGAAACCATGGCTGAGTTTGCGACGCTTCAAGTTTTGCTGCGTAGATTTTAATTAGTTGGATTTGAAACTCAAACACTCGACGGTGCGTGCTTAATGAAGCATTTTCCCGCTTTCCTATTTTACTGTTTTTCCTGTTTTCCTGGCTCGTGAGCTCAGATTCCTTTAGCCAGCTGCTGCACCAACCTAACATCCATGGCGTATACGTAATGCCCAGCATCAAGTGGTTTTTCGGAATGGGCTTTAAGCTGATCCGTAAAGTTTCGTCTCTGTAGCCAGACGTTTTTAATCCCCGAAAGAGGAGAAACTTTTCCTGTTTCCCTGCTAATTTGTATTTAATTATACATTTGGGGGAAATTCTGTGGAATCAAGTCTCGCCGTCATGTTTGGTTTTTCCCACGCCCGCAAAAGTATGCAATGGAAGTCGTAAATTTATATTATTTCCTTGCCTCTCCATTTCACTCACTATCCCAGACTCTATCCTCTTCATTCGTTTTTTATTACGCAGAAAGTCTTAAGGAAAGGTAGAATAGCAGGGTCCTTGAACAAGAGATGATTTGCAGGTGAGGGGGTTGCACTGAGGCAAGGTGTAAAGCAGCTCCGGCACGCCCTAATGAGTTACCGAGAATTTCAAGTTTGGGGTATTCTTTCTGTTACAACATCAAGGCCCAATAAATGAAATCAAATGGAAAAGATTGGATTCCGAGGCAGCCTTTGGAAAAGCTGGGCTCCGCCTAGGAAAATATAAACAAGTGCTTGCAGTTGAGGAAGCAACAAGTAGATTTTCACGGACTGATGATTAAGTGGGCTGGCCTCCGGCCGAAATAACCATCATACTCTAGGCCAAATTGATTTGTTGGAAATTACATACTAAGGGGCTTGATTGGCCTTGAACTTGTTAGATAAAAACTGAAGTGTTTCTGTATTCGTGTGTTATTTTTAGTAAGCAATAAAATTGGAAACACTTGAAATGAACTTTTTAATTTAGAAACTATGTTAAAAGTTAAGTTAAAACTCTTATATGATTTATTAAGATTTTTTATAATTTTTTCATATTTAACAACTTCCACTTTCTTTCTTTCAGAAACAGGTCACGAAAAAGTTTTAAGTTCCCAGAAGTCGTTAAAAATCAAGACCCTAGCTAGGCTGGCTAATTAGTTTTCCACCTAAAGTAACACCCTCTGACTCATTAGCCAAACCTTATAAAAGCCACCCATAAAAGTTCTGCCAACAAAGAGGACTATATAGAAGTATCTGCCATCTTATCTTTCATCTCAAACAAAACTAAGCCCAAAACCAACGAGTACCCCTTATGTCAGGTAATGACAGGACACTCGCATGTCTGAGCTGCCAGGACGTCGACCGGACCTTGGCATAGGCATTGAAAATGAAAACCCCAGAAACGAGGCAATGAAGTGAGTTAGGGCTGTTGGGTTGTTGACCTGGTCGTTATGTTTACCAACACATGTGGCCCTATTGCGCATCCGAAATAAGTCGAGGCCCAGACGAAGATTGAGTTACGGCACTCTATAGTTTTCCCCCCTCTGTTTTTTAACACCCTAAAGCCTGCCCCTCTATACATAATTTTCCTGACACGTGCTTGGGCTGTTGTAGTCATCGCCCTGGATGATTGGGTTGATGAGGATGATTATGCCGTTTGTAGTTCCACCGAAAAACAAATCAAACTGGCCCAGCCAACAAGTGGTTGTGGGCTGGGGCAGCCGACGAGTGGGTTGTCATGGTGCCAGCAACCAATTCCACTTTCGGCTAAGGTCATGGGAAGTGCGCCACTTGCTATGAGGCCCATTGTTGATGATCGGAGTTGCCGTTGCCGCTGCCCACTCCACGTCGTCTCGATTGCCCCTGCCCAAACCACTTTTTCCGCGTTTTTTTTTGCTTGTCATTTCATTTTTTCATTTTGGTATCGAACAGTTAACATTAACTATATATGCACTCGAAGAAAAACTAATGCTTAAGATAAGGTTTTGCTGATATTAAATATTAAAGATTTTCACTACTGAAAGGACTGGAAAAATGGTTTGGCTTAGACTAAGTTTTCGGCATTCAACATTTATCTATCCCACAGCTTTTGTTTATCCTTGCTTATGTTTTATATTACTATTAAATATCATTTATTATAACTTTTAATAGAAAGCTAAAGACTTTTCTTTCACTGTTCAATAACTGGGAATGTTGCCATTGGATTTTCTCTCACTCACTCAGTTTGTTTTGCTGCGCGGCCATGAAATTGAAAATGCGTAAAAATCGTCGGAGTTGGCGGTCAACTTCCACCACATAAGTATTCACCTTGAGTGGGGTTTAAATATAAATACAAATATATATATATAAAAATGAAAATGAAATCTAAGAAAGGAAATTTCTTTCTTTCTTTTGTTGGAGTTCCCGAGACGCAGACAGTGCTAAATCAGCCTCATAAATACAAGTCAAGCGTCATAAATGTTATTTTAGTGGGGCTCACACGGGTGATTTTTGTTGACTAAGCAGCATTTAAGTAAACATAGACGGGGCTTGTCTTTACCCCTAACTGAAAAAGAGGTCTAGGTAATGGTCTGAGAAATGGGAAAAGCTCAGAAAAGGTAAAAGGATTAAGGTGAAAGCTGGGTGAAGGACAAGTTTTAAGCTGTTTGATATATGAGATGAGATGTTATGGTTAAGTTGGGGAGACTGCTGAGGAAGTTGTAAAACTTTAATCGAAAAATAATGAGCAATGAAAAAGTTTAAGCAAAATTATTGCTTAAGAACTTAAAGTGCAGTAAATTTAAAAAAATCTTCAAATTATAAAAAAATTTGAGTTAAATTTATTTTAGAAAACTAATAATTAAGTAAGAAGATATAAATAAAATTACCATAAAATTCTTAACCAATGATTCTGTTAAAATATATATTTAAATTCTTTTTTAAACATTTTTTAGAAATTTTTAGAAATTTATTAAACCAACCAATAAAAGGGAAACCCCAAAAATCCCTTTTTTTGTCGTTGTTTTTCCTATAAAAGTAGGTCCCACATTTCCTTCCCAAACATCACCCACTTCACATAATTATTATCAAATATGGCTGGCTTTTATCTGCTTATTTCTGCTCCTCTTTTATTCCAATAAAAATTTGGGTTTTCTCATAAATATCAATGGAATTTATGAGGGCGCACAGAGCGATACCAACGCAGGCCGCAAATTGAAAGAAATCTCTTTAGCCTCAGACATGGCCTGCCGCATTTGCCACATTTTCCACATTTGCCACTTGTCGTAGGCATATGAGATGCAAAATATCAATAACTCAGAAAGCCCCATAACATGTTCTACAGCCCCCAACCCCACTTGAGCCAGCCCAACCCTTAACTTGCTTCCAGCTTTCTGCTCTTTACGATCCCCATCCCCATAAAGTTCCCTTGCACTTGTCATACCCACTCATTGTGTCAGTTGTTCGTAACGATGAATTATTTTTGATACCCTAGGTTAAAGGGGTAGTATTTGGTTTGGGGATAAGTTGGTTTTGATTATTTGTGGGTTGATTTGCTGTACTGGAAGCAAGATATAGAGATTAAGGTAAGGTAACTTAAGAGAATTTATAGAGGTGACTTTGCAGTTGGAAAAACTAAACTTGTTACTAGAGCAGAACTTAATTTAAAAGGTTTTTTATAAGACAAACAAGGCAATCATTTATCTTCCAATTAAAATTTATCCAAAAAATAAATCTAATAATAATAAAAAATCATCAAGAGAGAGAGCTAGAGTAACCCTATTAATGTCTTCTTATGTACAGAAAATCTATTTTTTCATTTCAAAGCTAGAAAATATCTTCAAATATTTCCTTAATAATAATAACTTAACCCTAAAAACAGTTTATTCCAAACTTTTTTAAGCTTCAATGAAAGTTATCTTACAATAAGATTACCCAAATTTCATAGAGGGTATCAAAAATCTCCATCCGCAAACTATATTTTATGCCACTCGATTATTCTGCGGCTATGGCGTTTGTCATCGTTTGCTACTGTCTGCGGTCGGCTGGCAATAAAACGCTTTTGTCTGTGGCTTTATGGCCAGCAGCACAAAGTAACAGCCAAACGGTATTAACTAGTCACCTTATGATGGTATGAAGGCGGTGGTGCGGAAAGGTGCTAACAGAGGGTTTCTGATTATGTTTTTGTTGGTATAATAAATCTTGCTGGGCCGCTGAAAGACACCTCTTCCCGACCCAAATCGGTTGCAAGATAACGCATAGCTAAGGATGGCCAAATCGAAACAGAATTTTGCATTTCACTTTTGCCCAGACAAGCTGGCGACCTTGCCGCCAAATTTAAAACATATCAAACAAACAAATCAAAAACAGACAGAACGAGATGGAGAGCCGCACGGCAATTTGTTTTATTTCTGAAAACCATTTCAAAGTCAAACAGTTTTGCACAAGACTTTGATTTTCGCTTTTTTTTTGTTTTTGGCGGAAGTAGCCACAATCAAAGCCAATTAAAATGATTTACAAATCGAGAGAATCGAAAAAGATATACGTATTTAGCCAGGTGAAAAGAAATCTTCCATGGGCGAGACACGAGTCAAGGTCGTCTGGAGAATTGAGTTATAATTGAGCTTTAAATACTTAGTAAAATATTTTTTAAATACTTATTGCTTGATATTTCTCTTTTAACATATTTACTTAGGACCGTTGTGTTGTCATTCCCTTTAACCCTTTACACCCCCCTTGCCATTCCCAAATTGTTTACAAAATAAACAAGAACTAGCAACAAGCTGAGAAACACAACTTCTGATTTAATTTATTATGTGTTTATGAAATTTTCTGTTTGCTATATTTTTGAAACAAAGTTTTCTACTATTTGATTGCCATAAATTTGTTGTTTTTATTTACTTGTAAAAATAATTAAGTATACGCACCGTTGGCTGAAACAAGTTTGTTCTTCTCCTCCAAAATTTTTAGATTTTTTTGTTGTTTTAGATTTTTGATAATTTACAAGAAACCATTTTCATGTTGTTTTTAGAAGTGTTAAGTTTATACACTGATAAAAAATATGTTTATCAAATATTTATTTATCAAAAAAGTTTAAATATTTCGATTTTTGTAGACATATATATATAAATATATAGATTTGGCAAATGTTTGTTGGTTTCTTTTTTGTACTTTTTGTAGGTTTTTGTTTAAGGTTTTTACGAACTTTGGTTTTGCTTGTTTTGCTATTTTTGTCTTTTTAATTGTTATTTCTTATTAAATATATTTTTTATTTTGGTTTTGTCAAAAAAGACTTCACATTATTTTAATTGGTTAAATTTTTGATATTTTCTTTGTTATGTTATCTTTTTTTATAATAGTTTTTAAATAGTTTTAATCATCTTCTCTTTATGTTTATTATTTATTCTCCACCGTTTTGTGCATTTTATTGTTTTGCTTATTTCGGCGAACTGTTGACACTTCAGCTTCCTGTTTCGCATTAAGCCGCTGGCTCGCAGCAATTATGCTTTTATATATCCAACTAGTGGCCGTGGCAGTACCGCTGCCGATGCCATCGAAGTGGGTTTATTGCGACGCAGCGCCGTCCGATGCGTTGCCATTGTGGGGCAATAATACAATAACACCGTCACCCACTTTTCCACCTTGTCAGCGGTGTAGGTATAGTCCAATGGCTACGACGATATGTGGTCTAATGTAAAATGCAAAAGAGTTCGAGTTCGGCGGGGAAGGCGGCACTACACTACACTACTATCCAACCATCCACCCACCACGCGAAACAGGAATCACAAAATCTGCGACAGAGTCCTGGAACAAAGTTATCCTCTGCGACCGCGACGCGTCGCTTCTGCTGCGCTGCCGTTGCTTGAATGATTTTCAAAGTTTATATTTATTTTTGTTGTTTTCCTCAGCGCAACATGTTGAGATGGCATTTGGCAACATGCTTACATGTCTTTTGGCTAAGCAAGCTGAGTTTCAGCAACATGTTGGTAGATTTTATTGCTTAGTTTCAGCAACATGTTGATCCAAAAAATAGTGTTGATAAACTCTCTTTTGCAGGTTCTATTGTGTTTCTGCTTCTTAATGTAAATGTTAAGATTTAATATGTCACCTTTCCGTTTATTGGGGAAAACCTACGCAAAAATGTTCGATAAGGTGCTTTAAATATTTCCAGTAGACATTATTGATGTCGTTCAGCTAGCAAATATAAAGCATTAAGTGGATTCTGAAGCAGAAATGAATCCTTAGCCTGATAGTGAGGGCGATCAGTTTATAGATTTCACACCACTCTCAACAGATTGACATTTGCTCTCTTTTGTAACCAGCTAACGTGGTCAAAGTGCATTATTAAGGAAGTAGCCACTTTATTGTGGCTCTGGATATGGCCCTATGGAAAATTCCAACTTGACCGGCAAATTATGGCACTAAATTTTAGAAAAAAAGTGTCTGAATGTTCAAGATAACACCTTTTCGTAAGCGTTTTTATGCAATGTTAACTGTAAGCTAAGGAATGTTTAACTTTGTCAGCCACAAATCCAAAAAGCATGAGCTTTCCAATCTCTAAACTTTCATCGGTGTCATCGAATACTTTTTGAAATTCAATTAACTTGAATATGATTTCTATGTATACTTCTTTTATGAACAAGATTTTGATTAAAATATAGAAAATAAAATGAATTGCAAGAAAACAATTGATTTCACTAAGCCATCGCCGTTAAACTTGACCTACAATCTAAAGATCTTGGCAACAAATGTTGCCAACGACTATTTAAAGGCCCATTTCCATTCCTGTTGCTACGTTGCTCCATTACAAACATTCGCCCACCGCAGGGGGCAATTGAATTTCGGGTTCTGCCCAGCTGACCTTCACTTAACATTAGACCCGAGAAACGAAACAAACAAAAACACAAGAGAAAACGAAAAAGGAAAATGGAAGGCCAGTATGCAAACATTTTCCATGTAATTGGCAATAAGCCATGCCCTAATGCTAGGCCAAACACGGCGCCCGCCCACGCACACATGGCTGGTGAAAATGTTTACACGGCTTGACACGCGTTAAAATCGCATTCCCCACCCCCCAAAAACCACCTCCCCCATATACTATACTATATAACACTATATAGAGCTAAAGCCACCCTATTATCGGTGTGCATCTGTGGGGGAATGTGGCAACCTGTTGACATCGAAACGCCTGGTGGCACGTCCACTAATTGCTTCTGACAGAGGCAACAGGTTGAATTTTGCCAGCCGGGCTAAACATTAATTTTGGCCAACGCTAATGCCTTTCGCTTGAATGCCTTGGGCTCTGAAAGCCCACGCCCTTTGACCCTTTCCATCACAGGTTTGCCGTTGATTTATTTGTCCACCCTAAGAGCTAACCCTTAACCCCTGATCTCTCAGCCCCTTGCCACACGTCATGCTCCTCTGTCACTTTGCATTCTTGTTGTTTACGGATAATAAGTGTAAAGGTGCTGAAAACAAGACCCCTACTTCTTCTTGGCTCTGCTAAAAAACAGTCAACGATTAACTTGGTAAGAAGGTAAAGGGGATGAGTTTTCCATGAGGATAACAACCTGACTCTTGCTTATGTTAATTGGTGTTTATCGGAGAGATTTTTACTTTGCAAGCATATGGTCAGAAGGAGGTATGTCTTGCGGTATGTATCTCTTCCAAAACTGAAATATTTTAACTTTATTTACTTTAATTTATTTACTGTTTCTATGTGAGCTTTAGATTTGTTATTGCTGTGAAGATTGTTTGGGATTTCGAATGCTTTCTTTCACTCTGAAGAATGCACAATCGCAGGAATTCACTTAAAAAGCTCGTTCTATGAATCTGAATGATCATTAAGTCGTTTTTGTTATAAAGAATAAAATAGAAATTTGTTTTAAATGCTAAGAAAGGGCTTAAAATATACAAAATCTGATTATTTTTAATAAAGGTTAAATCTAAAAATTTTAAAATATATTCCTGAAAACCAATTCTTATAGAAAAGCTTTCAATTTTCTAACAATTGGCATTTTATTATAAATTTCTTAACTAGAAAATTTATATTTTTTATCTGTAAAAACGAGTTTAGTTTAAAAATTGTAAACATTTACATTTAAACATTCCCCCCATACCCCATCACACTGTGCCCCACTTTTAGTTAATTCATTTCACTGACACCCCCCTCCTCGCTCGACCAACAGTTTTCAAAGATCTATTTATGGAGGTCAATAAATCTTCCCCACCCCGTCATTATTACCCACATTATTACCTGAGTCAGCGAGCTTGATCTAAGAGCTTCTGACCAAAAGCTTTTCGGGCCAAGCAAAACAACAATTTAGAAGCGAAGGAAACAAAATTCATTCCGTCAATTGCAAAAATATTCACCAAAAATCATTTCGTATCAAAGCTAATACCCAGATTTGCCGATTTATTTGGATTAATTGACAGATTTTTAGATGAAAAATTAGCCAAATTAAGTTTTGTGACAGCTCAATCAGTGGAAAATTCGCAAGAAAAGTGAGTGAGAAAAATCAAAATTAAAAGAGATATTCAGTGCCTGAAGAGCGTAACAGAAGAAAGAGCGGGGGAAAGGGGTTTCCCAGACACTTGTTTACCATGTGAAAATTAGTGGTCTTCCAATTAGATTGGAATTAGCAACCAGATAAAGTCCAACAGCTGGGCCACGAGCCATGAGCCACGAGCCCATTGAAAGATTCGATTGAGGGGGCTCCCAACTCCTCCAGTGACTTTGTTTATGTTCCGATATGAGCGAGTGCTGTCTGCTCTCAAACCCTCTTTGATTTGATATCCACAGCTAGCTGATAATAGTAAAGTAAGGCATGGCTATAAGGAATATTTAGACTTATAAAGGATCATTCAAATATATATGTGTTTACAAAGATAATTATTTGAGAAATATAAAGTAAAGATAAGCAACTTTAAGCCAAAAATCACGACTAAGTTCAACAAGTTAAAAATCTGTTAAAAATGTTTGAAAAGTTTAAATTAGAAACAGGTACAAACTTAGAACTGATAAACATAAAAAAATAACTTAAATTTGTAAAGAATATTTTCCAAATCACCTTTTCTTTATATATATATCAATTTTTTATCCATATTTTTATCCATTTCTAAAAGAACTTATAAACATTATTTCTTTCGAATTTTTATAACTATAAACTAAAGTTCACATCTTGTCACCCTTCTTAGTCACCTTGACTGACCTTTCTTAGGTTATCTTTAGTAAGTTTCTACTGTACTTATATCGTTAGCAAACAGTTCGGCCTGGTCAGGTCTGGATTTGTTTGGTGTGGCCTGTATATAAATTAGTCTGAGCATGCTTTCGGGGCATGCTGGGCTCTCCAGACACGTGATTCACTTTGGCACACAACCTCTGAAAGTGGCACTAGCTTAGAAAATATCATAGCCAACTGACAATGACGATGCGGGTTGCTCATTTGCCTAGTTAAGATATCGATTAGAAAGTATTAGATAATAATTAACGATTTGGAAAGTTTTCTGATCAGCGGAAGATGCCATAATCAAGGGTTGATAAGATTAGGAATAAATATTTTTATTTATTTTACAAAACTTTAAAAATAGTTAATAAATATAACACAAAACTCTGAAAATAGTTAATAATAGCTTATGGTATAGCTCCCACATGAACTTTTCAAAACCCCTTACTGCGCCACAGAGTACCAAATAAATCCCCCTCTCTTTTCCCCTTCTACAAGGACTGGAAGTTTCCCCAATTTTCCCACACCAATTTCCATAGATTTCGCGTGTGGCACCCATGCTGTGACTATTTTTAGAGTCACCGTTGTCGCCTAATCAATTCCACTGCATGCAACAAATATTTGTGCCCCGAAATCGCGTTGATAGGAATGGGAACAACAGGGTGGGGGAATCGTCCTTAGATTACCTCCTGCAGGGACACGCTTATCGGCACGTCAAAGGGATTTGGCGAGGACGTAACCAGATTTGCATTCTCATTGCTAATTAACGCCGGTCCAATTATAGATGAGGAATGGGGGTCACAATGGGACGATGCCACCGGTTGGGGTGGGTGGAATTTATGAATTTTGGTTTTTGTTTTATTGCCCTCGGAATGTGAACTTTACGAGCTGCGGGGAGAAGGAGGCAATGCACGCATCGGGCACGAAGGCAACGCATGATGCACTGAATCAGAGAAGTGGGAGGTATGCAGTGGTTGGCGTATTGCCTTTGTTTCATAGCACAAAAACCCGGCGACAATGTTTGAGGAAATCACCATCGACGGAACATTATAAAACTGCAGTTGCCGGAGGTAGAGCAAGTCAAACCGCAACGCAGATCCATCAGGCAAAGGTGTCGAAAGCTGCTCACAGCACGCCACTAACAAAAGGTTACTCGATCTTCACAGCTGATTGTCTGCCGAGGTGATAATTGCACTCAAAAGAGAGAGAGAGAGAGGAGTGGGAGAAGACTTCCCATCGATTTGGCTGCCTTATCGCCAGAGAATGAGAACTATCAAACTGCCTTATAAGCAGGTCTCAGCCAGAATATCTCCCAGTTTAATCTGAACCTCTGAGACATCACCACGTTGATAAGCCACAGCCAAACGCGGAACTAATCTTCTTCACTTAATATTTTGTAGTGAAATTCGTTGTAGTTTTCCTCGCTTTCCTTTTAAACACGACAAGGAGTTATCAGGAGAAAATGCCGGAGAAACAAGTGGCACCTGTTATCACTAACCTGGAGGGTTTCGAGGATAATCTACCCGGGTAAGTCGGATTTATTAAGTTCATTAACATCGGAAGTGTGACCTTGTCTGCTTGCCTATGTCATGTAATAAACAAACTACTGATAAGCAAGTTACTGATACGCTAATAGTCATCCCGCTAATTACTAAACTTACTCGTACTCTTAATCTCCCTTCCAGTTACCTAAACTCCGAAATCCCTGTTGCCGTACTCTTGGACTACGATGGCACCTTGGCTCCCATTGCGGATAATCCCGCCAAGACCAAAATGCCCGTGGAACTGGAATCCATACTCCACAATATAGCCAAGCATCCGAAAGTCTTCTTAGCTGTGATCTCGGGACGAGGTCTCAAGGATGTCCAAAAGCAAGTGAACATCGATGGGATTACCTATGCAGGAAATCATGGACTAGAAATCGAATATCCCGATGGCTCCAGGCACGACTATGAGCTGCCCACAGAGATCCAGAAAAACTACACGGATATGGTTAGGGAACTAAAGGAGAAAGTGGAGAAGAATGGGGCCTGGGTGGAGGACAAGAAGGTGTCACTCACCTATCACTACAGAGATACACCAGTGGCTCTGAAGGATCAGCAGAAACAGTTGGCTTCGGAGATCTGCCAGAAGTATGGCTTCCGAGCGAATCAGGCCCATGAAGCCATCGAAGCTAAGCCTCCAGTAAACTGGAATAAAGGGAGAGGCTGCCTTGTATATCCTCAAGCAGAAATTTGGTGATGACTGGGCACAGAAGGTCAGTGTGGTCTTTGCTGGAGATGACACCACAGATGAAGATGCCATGAGGGTGAGTTTTATTAGAACTTCTAGTGTGGAAAATTTTTTTATTTTATCTACTTTTTTTTAACTTTTTAGGTCCTCAGAGGCTTGGGACGCTCTTTTAGGATTGCTGCAGATTCTCAGATCCAGACTTTTGCGGACTTCCGATTGCCCAAGCAGGCTGTGATGACGGATCTTCTCAAGTGGATAGCTAATGTCTATGTTAACTAGATTTAATATATATTTTAGAAGCAAAGAAGTCGATTTTTCTATCAAATTTTCATTCGGTTTATGTATGAGCAATATTTAAAAATCTTTTCAAAATATTACTTCTAGATATCAAATTATTTTTTATGTTTAGTTAGAGAAAATTAAAATAAAATGCCTTACTTATAGGGATACAAAATAATAATAATAAAATTAACTATAATATCATGCAAGCCAAAGTTTTCCGCGGTTTGTGGGCTTGGCAAGATGCTGAAATATGGACGCCGCGTGTGGACCTCAAGAATCTGCCGGCTTAATCTCAACTCTTTATCTTTTATAGTTCCTGAGATCTCAGCGTTTATACGAACAGACGTACGGACAGACGGACGGACGGACAGACGAACAACAGCTTAATCGACTTCGCTATTGATACTGATCAAGAATATATATATACTTTATAGGGTCGGAAACGCTTCCTTCTACCTGTTACATACTTTTCAGCGAAGCTAATATACCCTTTCACTCTACGAGAAACGGGTACACCAACTAGTTTGACGCAAAACCTTTCAAGAAACCTTTTAATATATTTTCAAATATGTTATATATTTTTTCATGTGAAACCAACAATTAATAATTCTTAAAGTTTTCAAAATCATTTCAAGTTTAATTTGGATAACCAACTTCCACAAGCCGGCAAATAAATATTTGCCTTGTTTTCCAGATAATCTAATACAAAATGTGTTCATCAATCTCAAATCAAACACAGCACTTGCTCTGCTTTTGAAGATCAAAAGAAAAGCAAATAAATCATGGAATGGAAATGTTTCAGAAAGAACATTGATCCAGACAAATTACTTTTCCGTTCGACTTAATGATCAAAAATCCGCAAATGTGTTGGAAATTTTTAAGTATTTCCTAAACTATAGAAAGGAAATAAAGTCCCGATAAAAAATGTATTATTTTTCCTAAAATAATCTCAGAAAATCTATGCCATATAGTCCACACAAAATGTGTCATCTTACAAGAAAGAGCAACACTTCCAAAACACAAACAACCTTAAACAAAGGTGCATTAAAGACATCATCAACATCTATATACACACACTATATACCACCTCACCTCCCCCTCATCGCTTACCAAACCAAAATTTGCGGCTATATATACATTATATATAAACGCCTCAAATACAGCCGAAGATCCATTATAGAATGTGTTTTTTTTATGCCTCTTCATATGCCTCATAAATATTGTGGGAATTACTTGGCCAACGTTCGGGGCAGCCAGAGTTGCCACCCCACACATTTTAAGAGAGAGCGAGGCTATAGCGAACTGAGAGCAAGTTTGGATCTCGGATACTTATAGATCGCCAGCGATATATGGCTGCTGAGGATAGCTGGTCATTAGTATTAAATCGGTCGAGGAACGTCCAGCACGGCGCGCAATATCCGTAAAATACGAAATAATACGTAGACCTCAGATCTTGAGATACATATAGAGAAAATGGCTGAGCAGAAGAAGGCCCCGCTATTGAAGAAGGAGGAGGACTACGTTAAGGCCCTCGAGGGGTGAGTTTTTGAGGATGAAACGTGGCAGGATTTATCCAGGACCTAAAGGATCATTGTTCTGCCCCCGATAGATTCATTAACCCCGAAACCGATCAGGTTGTCCTGCTGCTCGACTACGATGGCACCCTGGCCCCACTCACCGAGGAGCTGTCCGTCATGCCCAAGGATACCGAGATCAATATCAAGAAACTGGCCGCCAACGAGAAAATCTTCATGGTCGTGTTCTCCGGTCGCGAACTCAGCGAGATCAAGAACCACCTCAAGTTCCCCAATGTGACCTATGCCGGCAACCACGGTCTGGAGGTCGAATATCCTTCCGGCAAGAAGTTCAAGATCGAGATGCCCGAAGAGCTGCTGGAGAAGCACAACAAGCTGGTGGCTGAGCTTAAGGAGAAGGTGAGATATATTTTTTAATTTATATAAATTTGTGGTAAAAGAAATATTAAAAGTGAAATAAGTAAAGAGTGATGTATAAATATTTAAAATTTAATATAACATTTTAAAGAAGAAGTTAAAAAAGTGGCTAATAGAAGCTTAAACTTCTTTCAGAAAGTGAAAAACGAAAAGAGCATTCTTAAGTTCAAGGAAGATAAATAACAAATGTTTAAAAAATATTTTAAGAAGTTCAAAACTTATGTATTTTTCTTCAAAAGTAATATTTAATTTATAACCTTAAATGTAGATTTTTTAAATAATTTTAACATTTTTTAAAAACAAGTTTTTAGGATTAACTTTGAGGATTTTGATTTTGAAAACAGCCATCAATATACGAGGTGTTTCAAAAGTAAGGTTTTTCAAATTTAAAAAATTTCAAAAGAGCATTCTTATTTTTTTGTTATATATGGAAGACTCTTCCTAACATCTGAACCAAGTTTCAATGGAAAATCCTTTTGTTGTCAGAGGCAAGTTACAAGTCGTTTTGCGACCTCGGCGATTTTTAAAAATATGGATTTAGGATTTGGATTTTTGGCAAAAACAACATCACAATAATGCCTCAGCCTCCATATTCACCGGATTTGGCCCCATGTGACTTTTTTTTCCCTAAAACTGAAGATAATCGAAAAATTTGAAAAATTTGAACATTTGAAAAGTCACCTTACTTTTTGAACACACCTCGTATAACTTCTAAAAGGTTTCGATAATCGAAAAATTTGAAATTCGCGAAATTTGAAGAGTCACCTTACTTTTTGAACACACCTCGTAGTTTTTAGAGCATCCTTAGGCTTAAAAACCTGTAGCCATATCCTAAACCCATTAAACCTCTATTCCTCTCTTCCCTAGGTCGTGTGCTCTGGTGCCTGGGTGGAGGACAAGAAGATCTCCGTGACCTATCACTACAAGGGCGTCACCGACAAGCTGAAGGCCAAGCTGATCGCCGAGGCCAAGGGCTTGATCCAGGCCCACGGATTCCAGCTGATCGAGACCCCCTATGCTCTGGAGGGCAAACCACGCGTGAACTGGGACAAAGGTTAGTTGGTCTTAGGTCTCTTCCCGATCCTCTTCCAAAGAGGGGGGCTATTAATACACCCGTCATCGTTAAACAATTTGCCAACTGTTGCCATCCATTTGCTAGCTGTCCCCATGGCATTCGGATTCCTTTCAGCTTTCCGCACTTCGGCACCTGCTCGAAAGAATTCGATTTTTGACTCGACGCTTCGATGATTTAATTATTGCTAAAATTTCTTTATTTTCTCTATACCATCCCATAACCATCCCAATGGGGGACCCAACGTGGGCGTCTTTCACAAAAAAGAATGTATTCTGGGAAAATTTTCACACACACACGAACGGTGCTCAGAAGTTCAGTCACAAAAATCAGACAAAATTAAAACGTCTCGGGGAAAAAAGAAAATATGTATATATACTCGTATAAGGCGGCGATTATATATAAAAAATGTTTCGCTAGACAAAACATCCCGCAGCCAACTGATGTTAAAAGCGCGCCTAATACTATATATACTAGTGGTCCTATATATATATATAGTCAGTCAAGTCACTCGCCCGATTCCTTATGATAAATTAACAAATCTTTGTAATTTTTCATAGACACGAAATTTCGCTTTCGTTTTCGAAAAATATATCTCATCAACAGTCACAATATTTGAAGAAAGTTTTCTGTTCCACTTAAAGACAACATCATTCTCATTTTGGCGGGGGAATATTCGTAGTTTTTAGTTTTCTCAAAGATGAATGAAGCCAAAATGAAGCGAAACCAATTTAATTTGATGACGTTTTTCACTAACGATGCGTGGTTTTATATGTTTTACGAACAAAATGGGGAAACATATGGTTTATTTTTATTTTTATATAGATTTTAAGTTTCAGAAGAGAAAAATTATGCTTGCAGAAAAGGCATTTTAAGGAATTTTGAGTTTCAAATACAGGATTAGGTTGGTAGACTGTCTTAAACTTTCTTTTAACTTTTACTTATAAATATTGAAAATAATAACAAATATTAAAAAAAGTTCAATTTCTTCTATTTAACATTAAGTAATTCAAAAAACAACCTAAAATCATTTCAAAAATTGAATAAAACTCAACAAAATGTCTAATTAGACAGCGCGCTGAAAGCATATATTGAAACAAATAAACATTTTCCATAAATATGTATCCACAATCGATTTAGCAATATACATTCAAAGGCTTTTCAGTCTGCGCTATCGGTTTCCTAATTCTAAAAACCAAATTCACATTTCAAAGACTCCCTCAATCTGATAATCTTTTAAAAATCAGAACTCTCAATTCACCATCTTAACACACATTTATCCCCAATCTTTGATCTGTATTAAACCCACCAAATAAACCATAAATATTTCTGCATTTCCCAAATTCCCTCGATAAAAATATCTATAAAAAATATGCCATCGCCTCTGAGGAGATTTATGAAAGCCACTTGTCAACTCTGTCCTCTAGAAGTCATCCAACCCATACGAATTGTCGCTCAGGCCAATGAGCCGTGGCGACAAAATACAAGGAAAATATTTAAACAGATAAACAGGCATTTTCATATATAGAAAGCGTGAAAATCAAAAATTAATTATGATGGTGTACGCCTCCAAAGGCAATAAATTTTTAGAGACCAGAACTGAAAAATTATTGCAGAAAAGTAAAAAGCCGACAGAAAACTCATGTTGTTGTGATACAATTTTGTGAAAAATTGAAAATTTTCAAACTGGCGCATACAAAAGAGAAACCCGAATTGTTGGTGCCGTCTGAAAAATAAGAGAAAACTGCAATAGGAGGTGGGATAAATCTGTGAATAGACTGCGTCACCAATTAAACAAAAATGTGGCGTTAAATGCTGAGCCAACGGAAGGGGAAAGAGCAATATAATAAAAATAATACGCAAAGTTAGATAAATGTTCTATTAAGTTGATCTAAACGCAATTGTTCTGATTGTTAATGCATACCATGTTTCGATTTCATTTAGCCAAACACTCGCTTACTTGGCCAAAACCAAATTACGAAACCAAAGCGAAACTAGCGAAGATCCGCCCACGTAGACGCCTAAAAATAAAATTAGAAAAGAGGAGGAACAGAGCGGTTCGGTTTCTTTGGGGGCTGCAGGCGATTTATATGATCTAATATGTGTGCCGAGAGGAATTCTAGACTTTTTCAAAAATATTGTTCTCGCTTGTTTATCGACCGATTTTGGATGAGTTCCAGCAGTGCATAGCTAGGCATGTTCTCCTATACAGTCCACATGGCTTCCACAAGACCATTTGTTAACCCCCAACTTGCATTTATTAGGAAATAAACATTATTTTAATTTGATTCTATAGGTAAATTACTAACTAAAATGATTTGTAAACATTGGCAAGCTATCATAAATAGTCAACTATTAGCTAAAAATATGTTTAGTAAACAAATTTATTGTTTATTTCTACCCAATCCATTTATAATATGAATGTTAAAAACAACCATGACTAGCTGAGAAAGGGATAGGTTGATTATTGATCAACTAGAAAGATATATAAGATATAGTCCTCAAATCTACTAAGAAGCAAACTAAACCATCTACCATTTACGTTTTCCAGGTGAGGGCGCCAAGATGATCCTGGAGAAGCAGTTCGACGCCGACTGGGCCAAGAACCTGAAGATCGTCTATGTAGGCGACGATACCACCGATGAGGATGCCATCAAGGTCCTGCACGGCATCGGCAAGACCTTCCGTGTCTCCGAGCTGCCCACGCTGAAGACCTATGCCAACTACCAGATCAAGACCGTCGAGGAAGTTGGTTATCTCCTGAAAGCCGTCCAGGCCTACTACGAGAAGAAGAAGAAGGCCTAAAGAAGGCAACGCCAGAGGATATTAAGCTTAAGCTAAATTCCACACACACACGCACACTCACATTAAACAAACACACCATAGCTACACCTAGAGGAGAAGGATTCGTCCATTTGAGTTATATAAATACTTTACTTATTGACTGTTCGACAATTTCTCGCGAAACCTTTTTTGTGTCTTTGATTTTGCCAAATAAAATATAAATCAAACATTTTTCATAACCTAAGCGTGGGTTCATTTGATAACATATTTTAAATGTTTTTAAATTTATTGGTTTTAGGTCTATGAAATGTTTTTCAATGAGCTGTAAATATGTCTACCTTCTTTGCTCATTTAAATTTTCAGAAACTTTCTTTAAAAAACAGTTTAAAATTTATAAAATATTTCCTTTAGATTTTACTGTATGAAAGCGCTTAGTGAAGTTCAACTTTGAATCCTTTTAGGTTTTATAAAAACTAGTTTATCCAAGACATCTTTGCTATTCCGAACTTCTTATTAATTTATGCTGGTTTCCATGGCTTGAATACACGTTTTTCAGAAAACCAATTATTGGACCGATTATGTAAAGTTATTAATATTGCAACATCGATTTGGTCATTTGATTATCTATTTAGAAAGAAATATAAACCCTTTAATATAAATTTAGTTCTCTTTAAGCCTTATTTTACATTCCAAAATGAAAATTACAAGAAAAACCAAATCCTTTTGTATTTTATAGAGTGTAAAGGGAAAACTATTAAGAAAACATTTAAAAAACTCTGATATCTAATCTCAAACAACGTTGATCATGAAGGATATTTAAAGAGGTCATATTAAGCTACACATTAATGTAAGTCCCAGTTTCGTTGCAGATCCTAGCCAACCCTTTATCGTCTATCCCCCTTGAGGCCACCACGTCCTCCACCACCTCGGCCGCCTCGTGTGCCTGGTTTTGTGGTCGTCTGGGGAGCGCTGGTTGTAGCCGGGGCAGGAGTTGTCGTCGCCGTGCTTGGTGCTGCAGAAACACCAGATGGAGCGGCGGCGACCGGCTGTGAGGTGCCAGCAGCTCCCCCTTTGGCGGGCAAACCTGCAGCACCAGAGCCGGATGGCAGAATTGCCGGTGGGACTGTCGCCATTCCGCTGGGATTGGCCACCGCTTGCGGTTCCGGACGCTTTGGCTCGCTCATGTTCAAGGCCTCGTTGAAGACCATGCAGAATTCACCAATCTTGAAGACCTCGCCGTTCTTGCCGGAATACAGGGTCAAACAGTGACGCCAGATGGAGGCATAGCCCTTTGTCAGTCTAACAATATCGCCGGGGGCTATCAGCTTTCCCGGCTCGTCCCAAATCGAAACATTTATGCAAGCCGTTGGATCGCCCACCTAAAAGGATAATCTTTTTTCTCAAATTTTTGTTTGTTTGTGGAAAGAGAAAATTTACGCACCTTGAAGTTTCGCACTTCCCGATTTTCTTTTGTTACGGTGGCCACGCCCACTTCCAGTACGATAAAGATCACATTGATGTTCTTGAGGCCTGGCTTGATGTCCTTGATAGGAATGCATTCCACGTTGTACATTGCAAAATGTTTAAAAGTCTCTAAAAAGGGGCGAAAATTTAGTTTGTTTTGGCGTTGGTTGTTAGCGATGGGAGACTGGACGTTAGTGATGGCAGCCGGAAAATAGCTAGAGATGAGCAAAATAAGAATAAATAAAGACGTTAAATAAATATTTGCTTATTGTTTTTATGTCTCACTTATGTTGTTAGTATTAATTTAAAGAAATGTGGATTTAGTAATCTTAGTCATCAAACTATTCTTTGTTTCAAAAAATCTTATTATTAATGTGTAGATCTTTTTACATTTTACATAACCATAATTTATATGTCAAGTCCGTATGTTTCTGTGTCTCTTGACACTGGATTTTAATGGATCCCTAGAGTCAGATAGGAATATGAATTTCATACATATCGGGCTATTATATACTATGACTACAATGCAGGTACACATCATTTTCAATATATTTTAAACAAAAGAATATGAGTAAACTTATTTCTGGGGGAATCACCTATGAGTCATTCTACGGCACCTCTCACTTTGCTTTTTGGTGTAATCTAATTATCATCTCATTCTAATATTTGATTTATTGATGTACAATATTAATCAATATCAAGTTGAGCAAATCTTGTACAGCAATAAGTAATATATTCTATTGATATCAATTTTTTTCCTTGGAGTAAGATTTCTTTCCCGATACATAATAAATAAAAATGCTTATTTTCTTTTTAATTTCTTTATTTGACGCTGTATATATTTTGATTAACATGATTTTCCTATTACAATCTCTTAAACTTTATCATCTGATTGGCAAATGAAATACTTCAGAAGAGTTGTGCAGGATTGAACTACCATTCCGTTTTCAATCCCCAAAACGGAGATGCAACGCTGGCTATCGTTGTCGTACCTGGGTTCTTTCTTCCGCCATTTCAAATAAGGAGCTCGCTTCCCGGAAGCCCAGGACATGAACTGGCCCTTTTTGTCGATATCGTTGATCCCCGTCCAGTAATTATCATTTTTTAGTTGCCCAGCTATGCCGTTGAACTCGATATCATTCCGGAAGGCTGCCAAATGGCCATCCATATCTATACACATCTGTCCGGCTGTTGTCCAGTTCACCTTTACATTGTGTTCGATGAAGAAATACCGCGATCCTATCTGTTGATATCTCTGTAGCTGAATTTTCCTGTCAATTTGTGATAGGGTTTCCTTTATGCTTGCTAGCTGGCTGTCCGTCTTCAACTGGGCAGCTTTCAACTGGCCTTCAAAGTCTGTCTGATTGCCTTCTATCCTGTCTAGCCTTCCATCTAGGTCCTGCGGGACAGCCTTCGTCAAGTTGGCCTGCAGGGATACCAGATGATTCTCTGCATGGAGCTGTGACACCGTCAACTGATCTTCTATCCGGTCTAGAATCTCCTGGGTTTCGTTTAGCTTCACCTCGCAGGTATTCCAATCCGTCTGCCCATTAGTAATGTGATCAATTATTGGCTGCAGTGCGGATACGCAATATTCGCTGCATTGATTTGGAGGATCCGATAACAGGCACACGTAGCGCCTACTGTCTTCGGCTACTGTTAAGGATCCTTGAAGAGTCGCTAACAAAACAGCGCTAAAAAATATAGTCGTACTCCTGAACATTATGGACAACCTCTGAAGCTGGAACTTGATCAAGCACTGATACTGAATTCATTGGTTACCCATTTGGGAATTGCTGATAAGCATATTCTATTTTACCAATATGATAAGAGAATTTATCATTATTTGTAGAGCTTAGTAAGGCTTTACAACCATTGATACCCAGTGCTTTATTGCCCTCTTCATTTAGAAAAACAAAAAGAAACGCTATAGTCGAGTGCCGCTACTAGTGAAAATTCACAAAGCGCCACCAATTATCAGAGAAAGCATGTTGTGTAACTGATAGTGACGTCATGAGGACCATGTGAGGCCCTTTAACCTAAATTTCTTAATAAATAGCTAAATAATGTTCCGATTTTAATAATCTTTGGTAAATTGATAGAAATTGAAAAAATATGTTATACAAGGTCAAACTCTAAACTCTATACTCTATACTCTATACTCTATACTCTATACTCTATACTCTATACTCTATACTCTATACTCTATACTCTATACTCCATACTAAGGTAACAGAGCTCGGTATAATTGTTATAATATATTTACTAAGCTCTAAAAATAATGATCATTTCGCTTATCATATTTCTTAGTAGACTAGAACAAAGAAGATCAAATATGCTTATCAAAAATTGGGCAGGTTCTTTAAAAAGTCGACCAATGAATTCAGAATTAGTGCCTTATCAACTCCCAACTTCAGTGGTTGTCCATAATGCTCAGGTCCGCGGTAATAATTGTTTGCGTCTTTTTGGCCCTGGATCTCCTTGGATCCCTTGACAGAAGCCCAGGATGGAAGGCGCTACGTGTGTCTATTATCGGATCCTCCAAATCAGTGCAGCGAATATTGCGTATCCGCACTGCAGCCAGTAATTGATCATTTTACAAATGGGCAGACGGACTGGAATACCTGCGAGGTGAAGCTAAATGAAACCCAAGAGACCCTAGACAGGATAGAAGAACAGTTGACGGTGACACAGATAGAAATTGAGAGCCAGCTGACATCCCTGCAGGGAAATTTGTCAAAAGCTGTCCCACAGGACTTTGTTGAAAGGTTAGACAGGATAGAAGGCAGACAAGCAGCTCTTGAAAGCCAGTTGACAGCTTCGCAGAAGAAAACAGAGAGCCAGCTATCTGAACTGGACCGAAAAATCGAGCTGCTGAGATATCAAAAGATAGGATCGAGGTATTTCTACATCGAACACAATGTTGTGGTGAACTGGACAACAGCCGAGCAGATGTGCATTGATATGGGTGGCCATTTGGCAGCCTTCCAGAATGAAGTGGAGTACAACGCCATAGCTGGCCAACTCAATAAGGCTAACTACTGGACGGGCATCAACGATATCGCCAAACAGGGCGAGTTCATATCCTTGGCCTCCGGTAAGCTGGCGCCTTATTTGAAGTGGAAGAAGAATGAACCCAAGTACAACAATGATAGCCAGCACTGCGTCTATGTTTATGGGCATGAATAATGTAATGATTGTTCTGTCCTGCACCACAGATCTGATGCATTTCATTTGCCAAGCAGATGATCAAGTTTAGAAAACCAAGAAGACTTTGGAAGAGGAATTTCGTTATATTCATCAAATTATGTAAAATTTTAAATAAATATATGCTTGTAAAAATGAAAATTTGCTTTTTTAATTTGAGAAAATACAATTTGTGAGATTTGAAAATTAATTCGATCAAAAATGTTCTCTTATCTGGGCATAACGAAAGGTGTTATTCGTCACTCTTAAAGGGGAAACACTGATATCAAAAGAATATTATATTTATTGTACTTACTTAACTTTTCAAAGATCTTGATTAAAGTTGTACTTCCATAAATCAAATATACATGTGCTATGATAATTGGATTATGACAAAATGATACGATGCGAGGAATGAATGGCGCGCCAGAATGACTCAACAGGTAATTCCCCCGGAAACTTCCGCATGTTCGTATTCTCTTGTTCCATATACATGACCCATGTAACATTTGCTTTATGAACTGTCGATAATTTTGACTTTGACATTTCGAATGTCATGTCAAAAGAAAATTGCGAATTTTTATAGCGATTTTAAAACGCAAATCTTTTGTGGGCCACGCTATATAGCATTATTGGGTGTAACACAATTTGTTCAGTAACGCCTGTGAATTTTTGCGAGAGGAGTGCTAGATAACTTTCAGTTCGGTCATAAACATACCCATTACCTGTAAAATAAAAAGGTATATTTGAGTTGTTGAAAAGTAAGCATATTACATGTAAAGGATCATTCTCTTGGATTAAGATTAGTAACTAATCCGGTTTAGTAGCCTATGAACTCTGAGACCTCTGGAACTACCTTAAAAATTAAGCATAGTATTGAGCATGCAGATTCTAAGTATATGAAACAGAATATTTGAATATATTATATTTAATATGTTATATATTTTATTTTATATTTTTTTTTACCATTTATTATACCTGTTAAGTTATTAAAGTTCATGGTCAGTTCCATCTCCGTCAGTTATGTAGTATGTCTTAGTGTATTGCCTTACGCCAGATGGCGCTAGTTAAAGGTGCATTTCATTACATTTTTACATTTTAAAGTGTATATATGCTGTAAGCATATTTATTTACAAAATTGGTGACCTGAATAACAGTAATCTTTATTGTCCAAGCACTTCACTATATCTGCTTTAATTATTTTCAAAATGTTAAGGTCAATAAACCTTGATTGTTTTACAATATAGTGGAAAGATAAATTATAAGAATAGATATCAGAGCTTATCAACAGTAATGAAGGGTCTTTATAAGGCCAACTAAGGAGTTCAGTATCAGTGCTTTGCACAGTTTCAAGTTAAGTGGTTGTACATAATGCTCAGGATAACGTCAATAGTTTTCGGCGCCCTGCTGGTACTGGATCTCCTTGGGTCCTTGACAGAAGCCCTTAATGGAAGAAGCTACGTGTGTCTACTATCGGATCCTCCAAATCAATGCAGCGAATATTGCCTATCCGCACTGCAGCCTGTGATCAATAACATTACAAATGGGCAGAAGGGCTGGAGTTCCTGCGAGGTGAAGCAGAACGAAACCCTGGAGACTCTTGATCAGATAGAACAACAGTTGGCAGGGACACAGGACCAACTGAAGACTGAGCTACAAAAGGCTGTTCCGCAGGACCTCACTGAAAGACTAAACAGGATAGAAGGCAATCAAACGGCCCTTGAGAGCCAGGTGAAAGCAGTCCAGGAAATTCTCTCGCGCATCGATAGGAATGTTCAGCTGCAGAGATATCAACGGGTTGGATCGCGGTACTTCTACATCGAACACAATCACATGGCGACCTGGGAAAATGCAGAATTGATGTGTAATGAGATTGGCGGTCATCTAGCGTCTTTCAAAAGTGAGAGCGAATACAACGTTATTGCTGAACAACTATCGCCTAGAACACTTTACTGGACGGGCATCAACGACCTCGCCGAGCAGGGGAAGTTCATATCCAAGGCCTCCGGAAAGCCAGTCACCTACTTAAATTGGCTTACCGACGAACCCAAATATGACAAGTATAACTTAAATGATATCCACTGTGTTGAATTCCATGGAAATGTCAAACAAATGTTAATTGATACTTGTAGACAACCCTTGTTTTTCATCTGCCAAGCAGACGATGAAGTTTAACGAATTAAAAGCAAGAACAAGTAGCATGAGCTTTGACTTTGTGGAAGTTCAAAAATGTATCTTTGTAAAATGTTTAAATAATAAATAATTTTGACAATTCTACTAAGTTGGGATGAAAATTTAATATGAAAGTTATCAAACAAACATTACCCGATCAGTTTACTCGATGATAAAACACAGTAACCACTCTGACTACTGAATCCTTTTTAAAAATATAATTATCAAACTCTTCAAAAAAAATACAATTTAAATTGAAATAAAAAATAAAAATACAGCTAAGCTTGTTGCCGAATTCCCCTTACCCCTACATCCCAACCAAACCCAAACGACATAATTCTCAAGAGCTGATTTAAAATCGACCCTAAGAACACTCTCTTAAAGCATGAAAATGGCAGTGGCCAGAAGGCCATGTCCTATAACTCCCTTTAGCCTTTCAATGCTTGATGGAGATTTTATATATATATATATATATATTATATATAAGAGTATATATTTGAAGTTTCCATAGAAAACTTTGCAACAGTTTAAAAGTATTTTTGATCCTATTAAGAATTATCATATTTTATCAGGAACACTTTTCCAGTTGACCGTATAACCGCTGAGATCATAGATTCTAAAAAAATTGTTTAATTGGTCTTAATTGAGCCAAGCCCACTCCAATGCCGATAAGATAAGAATAGCTATGTTACCTATTTTTTAATTTTTTGTAAGATATTTAAGTTTCTAAAAGGTTTAAGTCTAATGTCAGCTTAGTCGCCTGAGATATAAATAAATGTTGGTATCCACTTTTGAGGAAATCTTTATAAATGATAATTCGATGTTTATTTTTGCAGTCTTTGGTGGCAATCTACAAATATATTTTATTTGATTAAGTAAGATAAACAGGTTGTCAAATGACACCCCTAGCAATATATATTCAACCATTTTCAGTTCATCCCTGACCCACTCTTCCCTAAACTATAAATTGGTATATATTGTGGTTATCAACAAACCTTTTTTGGGCGGAACAAAAATGTGTGTAGGAACGGCAATGAATTTTTGCAAGTCGAGTGGTATAATACGGTACATTAATATACCCATTACACGTAAAATAAAAAGGTATATTGGATTCGTTGAAAAGTTGATTTTTTTTAATTATTTGTTAAACCTATTAATATAACAAAATGATTTTATTTTAAGAGATTAAATCAATTTGGAAGACTTTAAAGTCGTTACAGAGTCAGTTCCAGCAATCCGAGATAAGCGGTATTCCTTAGTGCATTGCCTTACACCAGATGGCGCTAGTAAAATGACGCATAGTTACCTTTTTGAAGTGTCTTTATGCTGTTAGCATATTTATTTCAAAATTTGTGAACTGAATAACAGTAATCTTTATTGTCCAAGCACTCCACTGTCTCTATATCTAAATTTGTATTCAAAATGCTAGGGTCATAAAATCTAATAATCATAAATCTAAATCGTCTAAGCACTCGACATTAGGATTACGTCATTTGTCATATCCGTTTCTTATTAAAAGAGAAATTATAAGATCAGATATCAGAGCTTATCAACAGTAATGCAGTGTCTTATAAGGCTAACCAATGAGTTCAGTATCAGTGGTTTTTCAAGTTCCAACTTCAGCGGTTGCCCACAATGCTTAGGTCCACGGTTGTATTTTTCTGTACTTTTTTGGTACTTGATCCTTATAGATCCCTAACCCAAGCTCAGGATCGACAGCGCTACGTCTGTTTATTATCGGACCCTCCAAGTCAATGCAGTGAATATTGCGTATCCGCACTCCAACCTGTGATCAATCACATTACAAATAGGCAGAAGGATTGGAATACCTGCGAGGTGAAGCTGAACGAAACCCAGGAGACTCTAGATCGACTAGAAGAACATTTGGTAGTGAAACAGATCGAAGCAGAGAAACAGCTGACTTCCCTTCAGGCCAATTTGACACAAGCTATCCCAAAGGATCTCGAGCAAAGACTGACCCTAATAGAAGCCAATCAAAAAGACTTATCACGCCAACTCTTTGCGATAAAGAACAATACCGAGAGCCAGCTAACCGACATGCAGGATACGCTAACCAAAGTGGACAGGAGGACCATGCTGCAGAACTATCAAAGGATTGGCACCAGGCTATTCTACATTGAGCATTACCTATATGTGGACTGGAGGACAGCGGAAAAGATCTGTGTTGAGATAGGCGGTCATTTGGCTGCCTTTAAGAACGAACAAGAGTACAACGGTATAGCTGGGCAACTGAAGCAGCAGAACTACTGGCTGGGCATCAACGATCTCGCCAAACAGGGCGAGTTCATATCCTTGGCCTCCGGCAAGCCGGCAACTTACTTCCAATGGCGTTGGAATGAGCCTAAGTATGACAAATTCGATGGCATCGATGAGCATTGTGCTTACATCTATGGAGTTAGGAACTACATGATAGTCTTATCCTGCACCACTGATCTAATGCATTTTATTTGCCAAGCTGACGATGAAGTCTAGTGAAGTAGGGGGAAAACCTACAGAGTTAATTTTTTCTTCTTGTTATCAACATGTATTTTTAAACATAAATCTATTTATATTTTCAATAAATTTGTAGAATAAAAAATAGGTGTTTTTTATTTTTTGTTTTTTTTAATAAATATTGAAATAAAAAAATTAAAATATTGCTTAAAATATAATAAACCATTCTTATATCCTTTCCGATACATTGACAGTATAAAAATTGCACATCTCTAGCCTGCAGCTATGGACAACTATCGATATTTTTCGCCGACTTCTGCGGCATTCCTCTCGCCAACCTCCTCTGGTCACTCTAATCAAAACAATAAAAAATCAGGCACTTTTGTGTACGAAAATTAAAAGACTTTCCGTGCGCTCCAACAATGGCCTTGGAGTCCGGCAGCAGCAGCTCGGAGTCAGGCAGCTCCTCCACCAGCGGATCCACCAGTGGCTCGGAGACAGGAAGCAGTTCGGACACGGATTCCAGCAGTGCGACGCCGGAAGAGAAGCCATCCACAAATTCCTCTGCCAAATCCCAGACGCAAACGACGCAACAACAACAAACGAGTTCTGGGAATGCACCGCGACGAAAGCCTGCTCCTCCGGCGGCAGAGGAGAAATCCAAGGGAAATTCAGCTTCCGCCAACAAGAAAGTGGCCAATCCTCCGAAAAGTAAGCTTTCCAGCGACGACGACGATGATGATAACGCAGCACCGCCGGCCAAAAAGAATGCCCGTACCCTGGGCAGCTCCACCGTAACAGCCGCCGCTGCTGCCTCAACGGCCAAAAGGAAACCCCCTGCATCCAGCAATAAGGCCACCAATTCCGCCAACAAATCCAGCAATCCTCCACAGCGGTCGGCAAACAACAGCAATAACAACAGATCCCTGGAGAATGGCGAGGGAAAGAGGCCCTCACTCTCCTCCTCGTCGAACAGCACAGATGACTCCATGAAGATCGTCAAAAACGGCCGCAAGGTTCCCCTGAAAATGGCCAGCACAGTAAGGCCCAAACAAGTCAAGGGCAAACTGCCGCCGGCCAAGAAAAACGGCGGAGGTCCGGTGATCAGCAGTGATGGTAGTTCTGGCTCCGAAAGTGGCTCCAACTCAGGCGACGATTCCAGCTCAGGAAGCGACTCGGAGGGAACGGATTCCACCAACTCATACAGCTCACAACCAGTCAAAGGAGGAAACAAAGGTAAACAGGGTCTACAGAGGTTGATTACACGACTTATAGGCAGCTCTATCGAAGAAATACTAAACAAATTGTAATAATATTATCCAAAGTGGGTAAATATACAGAAAGAGGTGGCTTATCTAAACTTATTAGAAGTTTATGTACCTATATTCTGAAGAAGATCTCCATTTAAGTCAATAAAGCCAGTTCCCTCTGTCAGTTTCTTAGCCTGTCTTTGTACAATTGTTCTTCATATGTCATTAAAGCGTTTCCGATCTTATAAATTGTATTCTTAGTATGGATGAAAGCAGAGTCGATTTGGTCATGCCCATTTGATCGTCTATAAGATGAAGAAAATCTCTGAAAGAGATATTCAAAAATGTTTTACAGAGTGCACCCGATAACCGTTCGACACTTAACCACAGAGACCCTTATTATCTTCATAAATAAATAACTTCACATTTAACTAATTATTCCTATTTTGGCTCCCACAGGCAAGAAAGGTGGAGCAACAAAAATCCAAAATTCCGACAGCGAAGAGGAGCGAAAAGATAAGGCCAATCCCATGAGGAAACTGACACGATCGCTCAGCATGCGAAGGACCAAGCAGCAGCCCAAACAGGACACCGATTCCGAATCCGATGGCGAACTAGAAGATGACAAAATTCCGATCTCCAAAAGTCCCGCCAAAAAACCAGCACCCTCGAATTTGAATGCCAGCAAAAGCAAAGTGAAAAGAGAGTCCATCGGAATTAGCAGTGGAGTTCTGAGCTCCATTAAGTCCCGACCCGTGTCACCTATCACGCAGACAGAGAAGAAGTGTCCCATCGAAGGATGCGATTCATCCGGACATTTGAGTGGCAATTTGGACAAGCATTTCCTGCCGGAGGCCTGTCCCATTTATCACAACATGTCCGCCTCCGAATGCAAAGAACGAGCTAATGAGAGGAAACTGAGGAATGAACAGCGACTGAAGATGCCCGTTAACATTGTCACGGCGCCTGGGAAATCAACATACCAATCTCAAAACGCTTTCGCCTGAGCAGCGTGAGTTTCTGGCCAAGACTCGCGAGTCCAGGGCTAACTTTAAGCCGGCCAATAACAATTTTCTAGACTCAAAGGTGAGCCCAAATGTTTTAGTTATTACATCTAACTAATGGTATTGTTTACACCTCAGGTTAAGCTGGAAAAAGACGTCACTGACGAGGACCGAGAACCAAATCTGTCCGGCCTGGTGCCCGACTACGATCTGCAATTGTTCCGGGAAGCGCAAGCTCAGGCCTCCGAAAGGATAGAAGACGAACTGAAAGACCTTCCCGTGGGAAAGGGAATAAAGTAAGTGCTTTGATATTTATGATCATTTTTGGATATCAGTTACAAACTCTTCCCATTCACAGATATATCAGCATGGGGAAGTACAAGATGAAGGTGTGGTACCAATCTCCTTACCCCGATGATGCTGCCCGCCTGCCCAAAATGTATATCTGCGAATTCTGTCTGCGCTATCAAAAATCAGAAACTGGCATCAAACGGCACGCGGAGAAATGCGTTTGGCGTCATCCGCCGGGCGATGAGATATACCGCAAAGGCAAACTGCAGGTGTGGCAGGTAGATGGAAAGCGCTACAAGCAGTATTGCCAACATCTCTGTTTGCTGGCCAAGTTCTTTCTGGATCACAAAACCCTCTACTATGACGTGGAGCCTTTTTTGTTCTACATTATGACGCTAGCCGATGTGGATGGATGCCATATAGTGGGTTATTTTAGCAAGGTAAGTTTAATGAATGCCTACAATGAATGTATTGTCGCATGCCACAGAGTGCTTTGATAATGTGTTGATATTAATTGAGCACAAAAGTGCCATTTTGATTGAATGTTTTCAAATGGGTAATCTAATTTGATGTATTTGTTTCGAAATTAATTTATTCCCTGCCTTAGGCTTTGTCAATTTGTTTTTTATAATAAAGTAATTAAAGTTGATTATTTGGAACTCTCAATGGTCATCTATGTTCTTAGTGAGAAGGGTTATTGAGACGATGAAGCAAAGAACGACTGGTTATTATCTTTCCGAACTTAAATGTAATTTTAATAACTTTAATAACTTCAACTTAAGAAGTTTTAAGGATTCATAAACTCTTCTGGCCCCTAATAATAATCCTAACTAGATAAAAACCTCCTAGACTCTCAGCTTTATCCCAACAACAATCTTAAGTCGTAAAACTTAACCCTAATCTAATGATTTCGTTTCCTAATTGCTTAAATTATGAATAGTCACCGCCCCCTTTTTGCGGCAGAATATTCTCGAACTTTTATGGTTATTTCTTAGCATAAAATTGAATAATGACATTTTACAGTTTTATGATTCCTTTATGTCTGGAGACGGGCTATAGAGAGATGCCAGGAATGTAGAATCCGGCGGCCCAGACTCCGGAATGGCAGCCACAGCCCATGTACGGTACATATGTACGGCTGCTAACCAGACTATATGGATGTATTCAGATCCAGACACTGCCCTGCCTTGACCATGCCCACCAAAAACCAGATGATTTTTCCATCCTTTTTTTTTTATTGTCAACGTTTTCGGGTAAATAAGCAACAGACAAAGAGAGAAACAGGGAGAGAAACCGAGAGAGCGAGTCATTTCCCCTGGCTTTAAAAGCCAGCCACGGTTTCTTGACCTCCCCCTGAATATACGGAATATACACAGGCCCGGGGATACATTCACGGGTTTTGGGATCCCATCTCCACTTTTGCAGTTTAACTGCACGAATGCACAAAGTTTTTGGGCGCTGGCAGAGACTGGGTTTGTGTTACAAATTGCGCATGTCGTTGGCTGATGCTGCAGCTGCTCCTCCAGCTCTTGCTCCTGCTGATGGTGCCCCTCTTTGGAACTCCTTTTGTGACCCCTCGAATCGCTGGCGCAGCCTGCCGAGTCACTCAGAATTTTGGAGTTTCTACACATACTACAAGTTTACATATATTTACTACGCCCATGCTAGGACATTCATAATTTCGTTGGTACCTAAAGCGTATTAGGTTCTGCTTATATAAGTATCTAGATAGTAACCAAATACGAAGAGGAGAAGTTAAAATGAATTATAATTTAATGGTATTTAGTTCATTGAAGGGAATTTTTAAACAATCATAGGACGATATATAAAGAAAGGCGGGTTATTTGATAATTAATTCAGTTATTAAGTCTTTAATTTTCCAATTCTTACTATTGTGATCATTTCTTTTAGTATTTTTACTGGAAAAGTGTGTTGAAACCATTTTTAAAGGCTACTTATAGAACTCCCTGTGAATATGATGGGTTTGAGAGAGTATTTTTCCATTTTTTATATATAAATTCATATTCTATGGTTAAAGGTTTATTAACCTAATAATATTTAGAAATATTAAGGTCTTACAGAGTCAAAAGTATTCCCCAAAATTAACAAACTAGACTCCGTATAAACTCAAGTAAGGACCCAACCCCAACTGCATCCGGCAGTGATAATTTTCGGCAATCCTTTGTCCCGCAGTTAACCTCCAACTCTCTGACTCCAGAAACGGGGTCCAGACAGCAGCCAGACACTGAGGATTGGAGAAGGGAGGCAGGGCACGCTGCTCCAATGCTCGGGATGCTGTGGGATGCGCTTTGGACACGATTGAGGTCGTGCACCTCTGGGCCGGGTCCGGGAATTTCAGCTTCTGCGTCTGCTATTGCGACTGCGACTGCGCCTGCTCCACAAAAACAGCAGAGTTGCCCGGGCTAGGAAAAGTCCGGGATGAGGGATCCTGTGGGGGGGATCAGAATGGGAAACTGGGAAACAGGGACTTCTCGGCTATGTGGTTGCGTTCCCAGACATCAAGGCAGACAAAAGAAAAACGAGCAAAAAACATAGCTCAGAAAACAAAAACCAGGCGTACTACAAAGGGAAAATCAAAATGAAAAACCCGCAGTGTACATAAATGAATTTCCGAATTGTTGCCAGATTCCAGGATCCCACACACTAGGAATAAAATTTTAATATTTAGAAACTGTTTTGGGGGCTTATGAATGTTTTTTTATCTAATCTTTTAGGAGGGAATCATGGGATTAATACAAAAGCTAAAATTTCTAAACCATTTTGGAAGTTTTGAAAGAAATAGTAGCTGTAAGCAGAACTACAACACAGCAATTTGTTACTGGATTATTATGTTTATATCATTAGTTTAGGCCAAATTTGGGGTATTTAAAGATATATTTTTATAGAATTTTACATATAGAATTTATATCCCTTTCTTATATCGTATTATAGCCAAAAGGTTAAAATTTCTTTCTTTCACTTTTATAAGAAAGTTATAATTTCCCAACATCAATCGTGATATTTTTGTCTCTGTGCCTTCTCCATGGGATTGTTTTTTTGGCAATGACCATGAGAAGAGGAGGAGAGGGCTTTTGGCATAGCTTGGCTATATCCATGTACGAGTCAGTCTGGCCTGCGTATATAGCCCGATCCCCCAGCCTGTGGTCCTCGTCCTGCTGAACAGGCTATGTGCGTATGTTTACATATTTACGCACAGTTCTCTCGCTATTTTGGCCATCTCTTTTCGGCTGCTGTGACCATCTCTCTCTGACTGACTCTCTCTGGTGCTGACTGTCTATCGATTCATTTAATTTTGCTGGTCATTGAACTGCCGAAAAAAGCCAAAAGCGACAGATGAATGTTGCCATCATCTCTTCCACTTGCAAACGGTCACATTTCCCCTCTTCTTTTGTCTGGAAAATGTCTGTCTGATCCCCCAACCCCAAAGACTTTTCCCCATACTGATAGCTACTCCTTCCCTCTGGTGGAACTCACCCAACTCCTTGAATGATTTTACCCACTCCTTTTCAGTCTGTCATTGTTCTTGAATGTTTGTAATTGATTCAATTTTAATAATATGTACGCTTAACCTTTGGTTACTTTTACCTGGATTAGCGGAATGCCAAAGTAAACCCGGCTTAAGATCTGGTTTGATTGTCTTTTTGGATTTTTTAGTAATTTTAAATATTTTATTTACTTTTTGCAGCATATTCCCTTTCTGCAGGAGAAGAACTCGTTTTACAATGTTTCCTGTATTTTAACATTGCCGCCATATCAGCGAAAGGGCTACGGGAGATTACTCATCGATTTCAGTAAGTTTATATTTGACTCTTTATATAATAAAAGGGTAATAACTTTAATAACAAGGATGTTTACTGAACAAGCAACTTCTTTGTTAGGGAAATCATAAATGCCGGACTAGAGTTGTATAATATTCTAGCTTATTGGAATGTGTTCAATATTTTTGGATTCATTTTTCACTTCTGTTGTGTACGAAGCTTAAATCTTTAATATGTATAAATCCCTTTCTTACCTTTTAAAAGTTTTATTAAATAATATTTGTGTTATTTTGTTCTGTTGTTTATTTAAATTTGTATTAGGAACCTAAAAACTACGTAGAAAATGATTGACTTATTCCAAAAATAAATGGTTGCCAAACTATTGTTCGAATTTATTATACAAATATTTTGTTATTAAATCTTTACTTATCATTTACTTATTTAATTTAATATTATTACAAATTATTGGCATACTATCATAAATAATCATAGTTTAGTTTTTATTCTTTTTCAATCTTTAAACGAATCGAAAACACTCTGGAATGTTGTTAATTTGATTTACAAGTTTTCTTTATTTTATCATTAAAGTTTAGTTTCAAATGTTTAGATCTATCTTCTATCTTTAGAAGTTGTTCCTTTGCTGTTAAAGTTACTAATATATTAATATATAATACTATATAACATAAAGAAGCAGTACTTTTTAAAACCTATTCATTTTCTAGTCATTGCATTGCCCTAAAAATAACTTCATTGTTTTATTAAACCAATCAAAAGGTTAATGTATATATTTCCCCCTAATTGGCCTTAAGCGACGAATTCTTCTTGGCGTTCTTCTACAGAATTCTTCAACTTAAGCACCGAAGTGATCCTGAAAATCAGATGATATCAATTACATTGGTTGAGACTGGCTGGGGATTCCATTGAAATTTGGCTTAAATGAGGCTTATTAGTGAAAAGTATATTGGCCACTAAAATTTCCTGGCTTTATTGAATCATTTATTCCCTCTTCTTCTTCCTCCTCTGAGTCATATGTGTGTGTGTGTGTGTTTGTGTGTTTGCCTGAGTGTGCAGGTGTGTGTGAAATATAATCATCATTGCATGAGAAAAGCCAAACATGAAAGAGTCTTTGGCTCAGCTTTCCAATTGCAGTTTTCCCCCACCCATCCACTACCATTCCTTCTGCTACCTCTTCTTCTTCTTCATCGTCTTCTCCTGGCTTTTCCTCAGGTGCAGAACATGCAATTTCTGCATCAATTAAACGCAGACACACACAGGTGCACCGCATATCGCATAAGTAATTTTTAGCGGCTGCAACGAAAATTGTTTAAAATTAATCCAAGCCCACAGACAAGACAATAAAAATACACCACACAACCTAAAAAACCAAAAAAAAAAAAAAAAAAAATGGTAGCTAACTAAAAAAAATGATTAAAAAAAAAAAAACTGAATTACCCTGTTGATGAAGAAAGAGAGGGGAAGCGGCGGTGGAAAGACAAAGAGAGTCTTGAGTCATACATTTACATTCGCAATGGCGTCGACGCCGACGGCGAAGCCGACAGAGGCGGCGGCGGTGTCTATGTAAAGTCAATACATGCAATGTGCCCCATGGTCGGCAAGGGCTGAGAGGGAGTAATAGGGGGCCTGGGGTGTTGGGCGGTAATGAACGAACGAACGAAAGAGCGAGCGAAACGACATTGACCTTACACACACACACACACACACACACACACACACAAGCACACAAGCGAAGAAGGCCCACAGACACAAAACGAAGTGCCGGCCGGCAAAAAGAGTAATGGTCAACGGGAGAGAGGAAGAGAGAGAAATAGAGACGGACTTTTAGAGAGCGAGTTAGGTGCACGGAAAATAATTGATTAATCTAATCTATCCTAAGAAAATCTAGATTATTATAACATGCAAATAAGCGTTAGAGCTTAGTTTTAAAGTTGGTAGATTTGGTTCCATTGTTTGATTTATTTTGGGAAAGTACTAAATTTGTAATTTGTTTCTTTAGTTTATAAAGACCTTTGTTATATTGTGAAGTGCAGGAAAGCTTTATAGTTATATTTGAGTAAGATTGATCGGTACCTTAAAAAGTTGTAGAATCAACGATCAACTTAGAAAAACAATTATTAAAAATCGTTGATCGGTTATCTTTTACATTGACTAAACCAAACTTAAAGCAAGCCTATATTACCTACCTGAAACCATAAACTCTAAAATATAAAATAAATTACCTTAGTTGTTAAAAAGGTGATATATTTTATTAACATTTCAGGTATTATACAGATTTATTTAATGTTAGTTAATACATTTTTACCTTATCTTAAAAGGTTTTCTCAACACGATACCTTCCTTCATAGCTTATCAGCACAATGAATAATATTATAAAATATAAAAATAATGTTATTCCTTAGAATCTTATATGGCTCTATGTACATATGCCATGTACTAGCCAACTGCTCGGCGTGCAAATCATTTTCGTCATCATTAACTGGAATTGGTTATTTTGCACATGGCAGGTGGAAGGAACGAACACTTGCAGACAGACAGGGGTTAACTTAACCCACCAGTACCCCCGAAAAATCGTGCAATGTCAGTCATGTGTGTACGAGTGGGATGGCCATAGAGCATTTAGGTCCAGGTGTAATAAATGCAGCACGCAAAATGCAAATGAGGGGGCCGAATTTAAAAGGGGCGAACAAGGGTTGCCACCTACTGCATTAATTAATGAAACTTTCTAAAAACCCACAAACAAAATTCACCCAAGTTGCCGAAAAATACACGAAACGTGCCGCTTAAAGTTTTTTTGCTTTTATCTTCTGCGAGACCCGCATAAGCAATATACCCTCTAAAAAACACATATTTACAGTGGTACTTCTGTAAGTTGAAATTGAATAGACAAAGGACTTTTAAGTTTCTTTGTATTAAATAATTTTAATATTATTATAGTATTATTCTTAAAGTATAAAATATTTGTAAAATCAAATCTAAAATTGATCAAAACATTTTTGTGATCATTTGAAAATTGGCCACAATTTTATATTCAGAATTTGAAAAGAGTATTAAATGGGTATTATAATATAAAGTATACGTCTCTTAAATGTCCATTGTACAGTCTAACATATTTCAGAATACTCAACCTTTTTTTTTATGATAATTTTTTTGAAATCCCCAAAAAATTTCAGAGTTAACCCGCATAAATCCCCCCTTACGTTATAACAACGGCACTATATGTTCAATTTATAGAATTTATACTGTAGTTAAAATTTAGCAGACACAACAACACCAGAAGAGCAACAATAACAAGAACTGTTGGCGGCAGACAACAAAGGTCAGGACAGGTCACAATGAAAGGGCGTCGTCCTCTTTGGCGAGCACAAAAGAGCGAGTAACGGTTACTCTCTCGCTCTTTGTTACTCTCTCTCTCTATCGCTGCTCATTACTCACTGCTTTCTGCACTCTTGTAGCTGCATAGAAAACAACAAAATACAACATAGAAATAATAATTAGAGCCTTGCTAATTTGAGTTAAAGTTGCAGTCGCCGTCCTCTTTTGCACATTTAGCGTATATTTTCATTCTTTAACTCATTACTGTTCGTTCGCAGCGCCTGTGGCTATGCAACAACAATGTTTGCTGCGTCAGCGGCGAATGTTGCGAGTGCGAGCGAGAGTGCAAATGTGCGAATCAAAATGGATCGATAAAGTCGTCTCGACGTTTCCACCCACACTCCCCCTTTCGCTCGCACCAGCACCGTTGCCCCGTCTCGCCGCTCCAGGATTTATCGCGGCGAGAAAGAAGAAGAGGGGAAGAAGCGAGACGAAGTGCGGCACAAAGAAATCAAAGTGCCACCCGAAAACGCCTTCTTGCGGCCAGAAGTCGCGGCAGGACAAGGGGGCCTGCCCCTCGAAATGCATAAAACAGTGTGCACAGTGGGACGAAACTAAGATTACTTTCTAGTGATCATCTTTTTGTGTTTAAAGGTTTTTATTTATATATTGCCCGACTTTGTTGGGGTCTTAAAGAAAAAAGTAAACAAAAAACATTCCTTTATTAAATGATATTAATGTACTAATTATTATACTTAATCTGTCCCACTGTGCTCAGCCGTGCAAAAAGCGAAGTGCTGCGTTTGCCTTTGCTTGTGTGCGTTCAACCCTGCGCTCGTCCAGTCAGTCAGCAGGATTCTTCCCCCTGCCCCTTTCTTCCTCTATCAATCCTGCTCTCTCCATTCGCCTCCTCAGCTGTGTCTGCGTCTGCCATTGAGTGAGTCCTGCTCTCCCATGTTCCTCATCCGTTGGCTCACAGCTGGTGCCATGGGCGCAACAAAGGGTTAAGAGAGGAGGCTTTCCTTATAGGTAATAAATATTCCAGAAGTAAGAAATTAAAAATCTCTTGAGGAATAATACTATAATTAAGTTATTAAACATTGAAATATCACCAATTGTAGAATCAACTTTAAAAGTATTGCCTGCTCTTAGGCGCAATTCAAAAGATAACATGGTTAATATTTGATAGAAAATTTAGACATATAAAAATAATAATAAGAAATATTAAATGGATAGTCCTAATTATATTATTTTCATAATGTTTATGTTTATGTTTATAAATTTATCTCCTTCTGTAAATTACTGACAATTCCTACGCCCATGTCGCTCCTCTGGCATTGCCCCTCCCTCCCTCCGCACCTCCGGGCCACCTCTGCTGCTACTAACTGTTTTTTTCCCGAGCCTGCCTCAGTGGATTTTGTGTTGTGTCCTCGCTCTCTCGTCCTCGTCCTCGTCAATTTACTTAGCTTGCAGTCATTGTTGCTGTTGCTGCTGCTTCAGGCCACCGCTCTCCTTTGCCTCGCCTATTGTGTGTGTGGTTGTTGTTGTTATCTAGAGACGGGAATTGTTGCTGCCAGACGGCTCTAGAATCCAGAATATCATTTTTTGGGGTGGGTTCCTTTGGGGTGACACTGGCGTTGGGTTGAATGTACGCCAGAACGTTGTTTAAATGTGGACCCCCTTCTACGATCCCCTTGAATACTTTGCGGAATCCTGTCTAGACACAACACGCACACACTTAAACACCAACACTCACACACACACACAGGCAAGGCAGAGGGCGGGCCCAAAGTTGGTCACCATAAATAATACGCCGGAACTCGAGGACCTTGGTTCGGAACTTCGCCTCTATCTGTAGCATACTTCTTGGGGTCTATTTTTAACCCGCATCCGTATCTTTTCCGCCTTACTTTCAGGCTATCTATTGACCCGCGTGGAGGGTAAAATCGGTTCGCCAGAAAAACCACTGTCCGATCTCGGCCTGATCTCGTACCGCTCGTACTGGAAGGATGTACTGCTGGACTATCTGTGCAATAGATCAGGGAATACAATCGCCATCAAGGATGTTTCGCAGGTAATAAATTTTTATGTCAAATTAGATATTAACTAATATGTTTTATATGCCTTTAAGAAGAAATAAAGTAACAATTATAAACTAAATAATTTTATACATAAAATTTCTAGGAAACGGCGATCTACTCTTATGACATTGTGAGCACCCTTCAGGCTCTTGGCATGATGAAGTACTGGAAGGGCAAGCACATAGTCCTCAAGAAGCAGGTAAGTAATGAAAAGATATTTCACAGGATTTATTAAGCTAATCTATGCCCATTCCTAGGATGTCCTGGATGAGTACGAGGAGAGGGTGAAGCGGAGAGGAACCTTCCCCAAGATCGATGACTCCTGTCTGAGATGGCAACCATTTATCAATATGCAACCGAGTTCATCCCCATAGCCACGTGGTTGGAAGCATGCCAGAGCATGCTTTGCGGACGCCGACGATGATGATGAAGAATCCTTGGCCCCGAATTCCTGACTTCAGAGATTTTATTTTTTTATAGACTTTCTAGAGAGACATGCCTCTGATCCTCGTTGATCTTGGTAGCCTTTAGTATTGTGTTGATTATACGAAGCTCAGCCAAAGGTATCCGATACGATACCTTACTAAAATCATCATTATTTGCATTTATCTCAGCCGATATATGCCTTAATGTAGAATAATTATAGGAAAAACATTATTTTTGCCATGATATATGGGACTACCAAGATTGACAAACGATGGGAGGTTGGTGTTGTAGGAGTTCTATTTTAATTTTTTAATATTCGTTAGTAGATCTTAAGGCCAGCCTATAGTATTTGTACGTGTCTGTGTCTGTACTTGTTGGTAGTTAAGAATTGTAGTAATTAGAGACTTAAGTTACATAGCGAAATTCTCAAAACAAAAAATTATAAAAATATAAGAAAATATACTCGGTTTACGATCAAAGCCTTGTCTTGAGATTGAGATGAATCATGAAGAAGCCGAACACCCAAGGAGGAAGAGGGAAAGAGGTGAGTCAAGGAGTGTTATATATGTACTTGTGTGCGTGCGTGTTTGGCAGCAGCGCAAAAAGTGCACACACACTAAGAAGCCGAAACGAAGGCAGAGAGACGAGCGCATTGACATTGTCGCTTCGCCCTGAGAGACAGGTGAGAAGGGAGAAGGTAAGAGAAGTGGCCAGCCCAGACAGGATGCAAAGGGGCGGAGGGTGGCGGGACATTTAGCCAAAAAGCATACATATGCACCGGGAACAGCGCGCTGCAGAGCGACAGAAAGCAGCAGCTAGAGAGAGAGCAAGAGGGAAAGAGAGCAGGAAAAAAAGAGGGCACAGTGGGCCTTCTAGCATTTAAAAATGAAGCTAATCCATTAATATATACATAGAATTTGAAATCATTTTAAAGCAAATTTTAAAGAAATTTTGTTGAAATATATTTATAATCCATTGCTGATCATATATATCCATAATGTTTTTTAAACTATTTATATGATACTATTATATAAGGCAAAGAATCTAAAGATTACTAACAAAACTTGTGACTAAATCAAAAGTTAGTCACACCAATGAACAAGAAATATTTCTGTAAATAGTAGATAAGCTTTCTTTATATGCCATTTTAAGGCCAAAAGTAATATTCAGTCATCGTATTACGGATATTCCATAAATAAGTTAAAGAATTTACGAAAAACTCTGAATTTACTTTGCCTTTTGCAATTCGACCATCGACCAGTGATTTCCTGGAATATCAAATGATATTTATATGATTCATTTTATAAACCTGTAAAAAGTGAGTTCACCGCGCTTTGTTTGCCAAAATCAGCCCACTGTGCCGAGCTTTTTGTTGCAGTATGTTTAATGGTGGTGCAGTTTTATAACAAAGGAACTCGACTGAAGGCTGGGAAATGTATATACAGTGGATACTCGATAAATTGCGATATTTGTTTTAGTTTGCCATTTCCATCCATCTGTATACAATAATGGGTACTTTTATAAAATTTGACTTTGAGTTTGGTGATATGGCGAAAACATTGATTTGAGGTAGAAATGAATCCTCGTCGTTTCCCGTTTAATTTTTGGTTGAACTTCTATTTCAGGGAAACGTTTTACGATTTCCTTAGGTATATATCTTTTTGATTAGCTCCCATTGTCTGATCCATCTTCCGTTTTAAGATCAGAGGCAACCTTTCCAGCTGTAAGAGGAGCCTTGAACTTCCAATATCGATCTATTTCCGACACAAAAGTTTTAAAGTTTGTAGATGCCACTGCCATCTCTGCACAAAGTGCCCACTGTAGCGCCCATATGCATTTGCGTATCTGTGTGAGTGCATGTGCATGTGGGTGAGGAAGAGGAAGCAGGAAGCAGCAGCAGCAACGTCTCGTCTCGTCTCGGCGGAGTGTCGTCCCCCTTTTTGTGTCGGCCCCCTTTCGGTGGCGGCGCCACTGTGCGAGAGAAACGGCAACACACACAGGGCGAAAGAGAGCGTCGTCACTGCTGCGGTCGCTGCTGCTGCTGCTTGAAGCTCTGCCTCCGTCGACGTCTGACGCCGACGTCTGCGAATAAAATTCGCGCATTTGGCTCTTGATTTGCCGCAGACATTGAGCATTTGATCGCCAACAGCCGGCAAACGCGGTTCGCTCTCTTCGCAGCTTTCCTCGCACTCGCCACTTTGGCCTTTTGCCTTGTGCCGATTTGGTGTTCGGTTTATCTCTGTGGGCAGGAAAATCGCAATCGGCCGGGCCATATAAAATAAAGACAGTTTCTGGGCTTTGGCACAGTCGTTCGTTTCGCACCAAATGGGAGACAACAACGTGGGAGAAAAGAGAGCGAGGCGCTAAGAAATATTAACAGAAAATAGTTAACGCGCGTGTTAGTGTATGTGCTGGTGCATGTGTGTGTGTGCGTGAGAAAGCCAAGGAAAAATGCAACGGAAGTTGTCAGTCGCAAGAAAAAAAAAGAAGGAAAGAAAAAAACGCAAAACGGAACTGAAACATATTGTGAAATTCGAGCGACAGAGAAGGCGATACATCAACGTGGTTTCTGGAGCTTCTGGGTTTTTCTACCAAAAGGAATTAAAGAACATAAAAAAGAACTCAAAAGAGACGGACAGAAAGAAGAGCGAGGTTTATTTTTAGCATTTTGATATCACAAGGCAGCTTTTTTCGCTACACTACGAGAAAAAATGACGCAAATGGCGACCACATGATTCTACATATTTCCATATAACCATACAGACGTAGCTTTTTTTTTGTATTTGGGGAACTTTTTGTCGCTCAAATATTAATTTTAGATTTTTTTAACCCAGACAAAGCTCATTTTGCGGGTGTGTGCGTGAGTGATCGAATTTTGAGCAGGGACTTCTAAATTTTTTTTTTGCTCAGGGTTAAGGGCAAAAAAAAATCGGTGGCTTGGCTAGAAAAAAAGCATGTGCTGCAATTTTACTGCAGAAAAAAAGGAGAGAAGAGCGAAGAGACAGCCCCACACAGACAGGCAGACACAAACACAAACGAAGACAGTCATTTTTTGAGGTTAGGAATGCCCCACCCAAGCAATGGCTGCTCATTTATATACTGAATATATATATGTATATATATATAAGGCTATAGCGCAGAAATTCGCCATTATTCACAGTCCAAAGCTGTTCGCGATCGCAGGTTTATGAGGCGTGTTGTAAAGAGAAAAAAGAAGACAGCCGAAAAGGTAGTTAAAAAATACTTTTGCAAAAATTTAAATACCCACACAGACTTGAGAGAATTCGCAAATGTATTGAAAGGCACGTGTGTGTCTCAGCCGTATGTGTGTGCTTAGAGTTTAAGAGTGTGTGTGAGCGATCACGCACGTATCTGCGGTTAGTAACAGAGTGAGAGAGAATGAGAGCGAGCGGAAGAGAGAGGGATCGCAAGAGAGAGAGCTTAAAACGCCGGTTCTTTTTTTCTTAATTTTATGCTCACTTTTTGCGTCTTCTTTGGCTTTCATTTCTTTTGCTTTTTGTCTCTTTACAGCGTTTCAAATATAGAATATCAAGGGTCTGCCAGACGAAGCGCAAGAAAAAGAGAATTTGCTGAATGAAATGTAATAATTCTCCGACGGATGACGTCACGTCCTATGTGGTCATTAGCACTCCATGTTTGAGTCAGTGGCGCAACCAGAGGGGATCACAATGGCTTTCCCTCGAAAAGAGTTGGTAAAACCCTTATAACTAAACAAACTATTTTATCAATTTCAATATATTAACAAGTTTTTACCACAATCAACGAAAGTCTCCCCCAAAGTTTACTCTAGATACGCCCCTGGTTCCAGTTCTCCATACACTCATATGACTAATTTTGGCATTGTTATTGCATAAAATTCGCATGGCGTCATCATCATCGTCACCGTGTACAACTATAGAGATCGTTAACCCTAAAGCGGGGACCTAATACCAGGCACAAGGTCGTCTCCCGTACCCCCCGCCCCCAAAACATGAGTGAACGCAGGGGTCGTCATTTGCTGCAGTTTTGTTGCCAGGCGGCCAAACATCTGTCTCAAAACTGCAAAAAAAAAAAAAGAAGGAAAAAGTAAACCTGACTGGGCTTGGCTTTATATCTACATCTCCAACTCCAGCTACAGCTCCTACTCGGCAGTATATGTATAATGATGTTCTCCCTGAAAAGGCTTAAATGTCTTCTACCTTGCGCGCTAATCAGAGACCGGGGCTGGTTTTTACATACAGTCAGGTACCTGAAGTAGCGCGCGTGGTGTCAGACATACATCTCCATATGTCTTCATCGCATTTAACTCGCTGGCGAGTCCTCAAAACAAATCCCAGGTGTATCAACTGTCTCCCATGTCTATTGTACTTCATCAGGTGCTCTGGTGTGGCCTGTAACCCGGCACATGTTGAAGTACACTCAATATGAGGTGATTTGCATACGAAAACGGCATAAGAGTGTTAAAGCTCAAAAAAATTCAGATTATTATTCAAATTAATGTATCTTACAAGTTCTGTTCTATTTCATTAATGTGTATGTACATATAAATCACAAATACAAAATTTGTTTTTAAAATTAGTTTTAAATTTAATGGGAAATTTTACTGGACTGAGCTATTACCTAAATTTAAAATTACACAATTTTTCAAAAATAAGCAAAAATACAAAATTGTTCATCGTATTAGTGAATTTTGTGTTGAGAAAATATTTTTTACTTTAATTGGTGAAACATTTTAACTTTTGACTTTTCGCTAACAAGTTTTTAAGGTAATTTGAATTTTGCTTTTGTAATATATATAATGCATAAAAAAAATAATAAAATTGAGTTTGCATTTAATGAATTGTTTAGCTATTTTGAGTCAATAAGATCATCAATTTATTACAGCTTAAAGGTTTATAATCACATTCAGATTTAACCTCTCTCAAATTTCAAAACAGGTTGTGGCTTTTGTTTAAAAATAGATTGTTTACGGCCTGGAAATCATAATAACAAATCGTTCATCATTCTTAATGTCATTTTAATTTGGGAAGTGGTGATTATTAAAAGTATTTCATTCAACAATCACCACACAGTTTTATTTTATTTGTTAAAAATAATAAACATTTTATTTAACTTCCAAGTCAAATTAAATAAACGTTTCATATAAATAGGCATATACTATACTTTTTATATTGGCATTTATGTTATTATAGGTTTATAATATACTTCTTATATTGGCATTCAATATTTTTCTTACCTTAAAACTGTTAACTAAACAACTATTATTAATAGAAAACTAGAAAAGTATCGTTCGGTAGATAGTAAGTAACTCAGCCCTATGCGATAAAAAAGTGTGACCAAGTAGAACGTAGCTGTCGAAACCTAATTGGGAAATATTTAAGCAAATCTAATTGGGAAATCCAAATAAATACCGGATATTTTAAAGTGGTTTCGTAAAAGATAATATAATTATGTCATTATATAAATGTACATTACTAACTTTATCAGTACGATAATTCTTATTCTTATTCAATAGATAATTTAATTAAGAACCAAAAAACCAGATAGCTACGTCTACCTTACAGCTATATACTTCTACTTAATGGAAAATTTTATCATTCGATCCAAGAAAATTTGTTTATGTTGTCAAATATTTTGCAAACATTTTATATTTAAAATAAATTTTCCGCCTGTTAATAAAGTATGTTTCGGTATTTCAACCACCTTTGGCATTTTTTGGCGTTCCGGCTGCGTTCACACTGACCTCCTTAAGGTTATCGGCATAATTTTGTAAATTCTCGACTTTGCCGTTTTTCGACTAGATTCGTTTGTCAAAATTCCAACTGACGCGCCGCCGTAGAACCCAGTACACCCACGCGCGTCGCCACAACCAGATTTGGATTAGGATTTAACCGGGGAGACCAACGAATTAGGACGAAAATGCTGCGCTCCCTTGCAACAACACGAAACGAAATCGGGGCCCTTCGCTCCGTGCTCCTGCGATCGAATAACGCCACCTATATCCGCCGATCGGCCGGAAATGTCGGAGTGCGCGCCCTCAGCTGCCAGCTGATCAACTCCCGGAATCTCCAGAGCCTTAGGTAAAACTGTCTCCTCTAATCAGAAATCTCAGCGCTTTCGTTGAGGTTAGAAATGGTTGTGTAATATTGCAAAATGCGTAAGCTGCAGCATTTCGTTTTGTGAGGGAACCCAGAACTGGGGGCCATGATTGACAGGCCTGTGTCCAAGTATTTAGCATCAATCATGTATTCCCCAAAAACCTATATGTATATATGTGACATTTGCATGTGTTGTGCGTGCTCCACTGCTGATTGGATTTATGGCCAAGGTCGTATACACGCTTTAATATATCGCATGATGCGTGATAGTGTTTTGGCTGGCTGATAAGCTGGAAAATTCCGTCTAATGATTTGATGGGTCACTTTTTTCGACAATGGCTTTTGTTTACATCTGCTGAGTGTTCGATTAAATACCTGTACATATGTTCATAGTTATTATCGCGGCAGTGTTAGTACGTAAACAACAACAAACCATCAGCTGACCGGGCGGCCATAAATTAACCCATCAAAGTTGCTTAAATTAATTCGTCAGGTCAAATTAGGTTTAGTTCGGTAGCCAAAGTCAATGAATCATTTTTGCAAGATTGTCAGGATAGATTTTAACTCTTAAGAAGATAAAACTATTTTAAGAAATGAATGATAAGGAAACACTTCTATTCTTTTTAATTTTTACATTGAACATAAATATTTTATATCATTCTGATGGAAAGCCTTTATCATTAATTGATGAGCTAAATGAGGAGCATTTAAATTTATTTACCCTGAAAATTACATTTGTTTATATAATCAATCACATTATGATTTCCACACTTATGCAACATAACTCTCAATGCAATTTTTTATAGATTTTAAGTTGACTACTTTATCATTTAATTAAGAAAACATAAGGGTATTAATTTAACCTTTTCTTGTAGTACTTAAAACTAAGCACAGGAACAACCTTTCTAATCCGAAAATCTCTTAAATATAATCCAGGTCTAAACTTACCACTAGCCAACCCCTGGCAGGATGGAGCTACAACTTTGCCCGTGCCTATTCCAACCTTCCGGAACACATCAGGGTACCACTGCCCGCACTCTCACCCACCATGGAGCGAGGTTCGATTGTCAGCTGGGAGAAGAAGGAAGGCGACCAACTCAACGAAGGTGGGTAGGCCTACTCTTTAAAGACCAAACCAAAGAATTATATATATAATAATCATACTTCAGGTGATCTACTGTGCGAGATCGAAACGGACAAGGCCACCATGGGCTTCGAGACCCCCGAGGAGGGCTATCTGGCCAAGATCCTCATTCAGGGCGGCACCAAGGATGTACCTGTTGGCCAGTTGCTGTGCATCATTGTACCCGACCAAGGCAGCGTAGCGGCCTTTGCAAACTTCAAGGACGACGGAGCAGCCGCGCCAGCAGCTCCGGCTGCAGCGCCAGCGCCACCAGCTGCAGCAGCGCCACCACCACCTGCCCCAGTTCCAGTTGCCGCTGCGCCCGCTCCAGCTCCCGCTCCAGCCGCTGCTCCAGCTGCAGCAGGTACGGGGCCGTGTGTATGCCAGTCCGATGGCCAAGCGACTAGCCGAGGCACAACAGCTGCGTCTACAAGGTTGTTCAATCCCAACTAATGCCACTCTTACAATCATCCTGACCCATTTCGCCATGCATGCATCACCTGACTAAAATCCATTGCAATCAATCGCTAGTTATGTGAAGAAGATAAAGATAGTTGTAGATATATAGGAAAAGTAACTTTTCAGAAGCCTTATAAATAGGAAGTATGAACCTGTAAGCATTTATAAATTGACCTTAATGAAGTTAAACAAACTCTACAGAAAAGGAAGTACATACGAGGTGTGTTCAAAAAGTAAGGTGACTCTTCAAATTTCGCGAATTTCAAATTTTTCGATTATCGAAACCTTTTAGAAGTTATACGAGGTGTGTTCAAAAAGTAGGTGACTTTTCAATTTCAAATTTTCAAATTTTTCGATTATCTTCGTTTTGGGAACAAGAAAAAGTCACATGGGGCCAAATCCGGTGAATATGGTGGCTGAGGCATTATTGTGGTGTTGTTTTTGGCCAAAAAATCCAAATCCTTTGATCCATATTTTTCGATAGCAAAAAATCGCCGAGCTCGCAAAACAACTTGTAAATTTACGCCTCTCACAACCAAACAAAAGAGGATGTTCCATTGAAACTTGGTACAGATGTTAGGGAAGAGTGTACCAATATAACAAAACAAAAAAATCGATAATCGAAAAATTTGAAATTCGCGAAATTTGAAGAGTCACCTTACTTTTTGAACACACCTCGTACATTAGTTAAAGAAGATTCAAGCTAAAATAGAACTAACAAAAATCATTTAATGGCATTCCTCAGAGAAAGGGATTTTGAAAACAATTTCAGTCGTAAATGGCTTAAAAACTTAGGGTGTAGATCAGCTTTTAAAAATGCTTAAGTTATAGAAAGTCGTTCTTTAAAAAGTTAGCTCGGTGTTCTTTTTTTGATTCTCAATATTTCAATCACATTATCCTAAGCATCCAACCTTTCATTTAGCGTCCCCTGTCCAATTGTTCTGTTACTAATCCGCGGCTTTTGTGTGCAGGCAAGGGCAGTGGAGTCCATGGCTCAATTAAATCTGGTGATCTTGCAGGCCAGCAAGCGGCAGCCAAGCCAGCTGCTGCAGGACCTGCCAAGTCAGCAAAGGCAGCCGGAGCACGTTTCGAGGACATCCCGGTAACGAACATGAGGGCGGTGATCGCCAAGCGTCTGCTGGAGTCCAAGACCCAACTGCCCCACTACTACGTTACTGTGCAATGCAATGTGGATAAGGTGAGTAAACAACATGATCTTTCCAAGGTAAATTTACAATCTAATTCCAAATGAAATTTCCGTGCAGCTTCTGAAGTTCCGCGCCAAGGTTAACAAGAAGTACGAGAAACAGGGAGCCCGTGTCTCCGTGAACGACTTCATCATCAAAGCCGTCGCCATCGCCAGTCTTAGAGTGCCGGAGGCCAACTCCGCCTGGATGGACACAGTAATCCGGCAGTACGACGATGTCGATGTCTCGGTGGCCGTCTCCACGGACAAGGGCTTAATTACACCTATTGTCTTCAATGCCGACCGCAAAGGAGTCCTGGAGATCTCCAAGGATGTCAAGGCGCTGGCAGCCAAGGCACGCGACAACAAACTGCAGCCCCATGAGTTCCAGGGCGGCACCATCTCGGTGTCCAACCTGGGCATGTTCGGTAAGGGAATCTTTTTAACATCATGATTTGAATTAAATAATAAAAATGCAAAACTTTTATAGGTGTTAACCAGTTTGCTGCCGTTATCAATCCCCCTCAATCATGCATCCTGGCCATTGGCACCACAACGAAACAGTTGGTAGCGGATCCTGACAGTCTCAAGGGGTAAGAGTTGGGAATATGTAATAAGTAATTTTACTAAAAATGATTCGTTTACAGTTTCAAGGAAATCAATGTACTGACCGTTACCCTGAGTGCTGATCATCGTGTGGTAGATGGTGCTGTTGCTGCCAGGTGGCTGCAGCACTTCCGCGACTACGTGGAGGATCCGTCCAATATGGTATTGTAAACGGACCGGCACGACCCATCACATATTAGAGACTCCAACGAAAAAAAAAAAAAACAAAAAATTTGGAACCTCTCTTTAAGCGAGGAGTTTCGGTCGAGATATAAACTATGTGGATGTGTGGATTCTAATCGGTGTTACATATGTAAAGTCTTAAATTGGATTTAACTCATCCCATTTTATTACTTATATATATATATAGAAATTAAATTGTGTAATATTTGATGTAGTTATTGATGGTCACCTATCGTTGCCATGATTGTAGAAAGAACACACAAAATACTTGAATGATATTCGAATTAACTCACTCACAGAGCTGTAAATTTCCGTTTGATATGCAAAACGTTTTGTATGCTTCGTTCGCATATGTTGATCATGATCGAGTATGAAAATGGAAGTAGTTGAAAGTCCAAAGACGCGTTGAATAAACCCAAAACACACTCACGCTCACTAGCCAATTCATAAAAAATAAATTTGGTCTTTTATCTTAATATCGTTGTGGGGGATTTTTGTTATTGAAATTAGAAATTGTTTTAAATTGTAACAATATTTCGAATTGGTTTTGAATTGAAGTTGATACTTGATTAATAAGATTTGTTTATTTACTACCATTGAAGTACTTTTGAGAATTGTTGAACTGAACAAGTTGGTCAAGTGGAATAATAAAAGGTTGGTAATTTTAAGACTTTGTCTCTTCAAGAGTCTTGATCAAATAGTTTACTTAGGGAAAGGGCAGTTTCTCTAACATCAACTCAAAACATAGATTAAAAACAAATAATCACTATTTTCATTGGTTTATAGTATTATGTAACTAGTTTATTGCCAAAATGTTTACGAACTAAGCAAACACAATTTGAAAGTATTTACAAGCATAAAGTTAAGCTAATGTCTTTAGGATGTGGATGTTTGGTTGGGGATGGTTTTTGGAATGTTGGGCAATCACCACTGAGCCGGGCCCAACTGGCTCCACTCGGCCACGTACTGGGCCTGCTTCTCCAGGGCGGGGAACCACTCGACGCCGCCGTAGTCGATCGCGGGCAAAGTGCCCTTGTAGTTGGCGGGCAGGACGGAGGGGTCGAGGAACTTCTGCAGCGATTTCATGTCACTGCCGTGGAAGTGCATCTGCGGGAAGAGGAAGGGGAATTTGTATTCGATTAGAAAGTTTATTTTTGCATTGTTTGTATTATTATTTTGATCATATCAAAATGTCTTAATATCCTTTTTTTGTTTGTTCTAAAATCAAGAAAATGTTGCCTACTTTTTTGGGAAAAGTAATTTTTGGAAAACAAACGAAAGTTTTGTAACTTGCAACCTTTACAAAAGGTATTGAAAAATATATAGCTATAAGATACATTTCCCATTTTAAAGTTAAGTTAGAATCAGAAATATGTACTCACCCTACTATTCAGCTTCTCCTTGACGAAGGGCTTAAACAGCGACCAGACCATGTTGAAGATGAAGGGCTGCTTCACGAAATGCACCTCCTTCATACGCAGGAGGCATCGCCTCCTGGATGAATGTGAGCAGACGCTTGGAGAAGCTCGGCGACAGAGCCTTGACCTGCTTCATGCCCAATCCCTCGAAGTCCATGATACAGACCACTCCCCTCACCTGAGTCTCCTCCTCCAGCTGAGCTGCCAGATGGACCATATACAGCATGCGGAACATCTCATCGCTGCTGATCTCACTGGGATCCCAGAGCTTGCCACAGTTCACAATGAGGACACGGCGACCCTTCTGATCGCAATTTCTCAGAACATTAATCACACTGCCCTTCACGAACTTCTCCTTGACCTGCTCCACCAAGAGTCCACGGACCAGGGCGGCATACTCCTTGCGGAAACTGGCTGTGGTTTTCATCTAGAAAATAAACATAAAGAATGTTGATATAAATATAATATAAAGACTTGGTTATTATGAAATTATATATATAGCTTAGTAAAAACTCTGCTATAGCCCCGATAAATCTTTGAACCTGTGACGCATACTCCGTTGAGCTTCATCTGTTGGCAGGTGGGACCTTGCCAGATTACAATCCCCAGGTTTGATAAGGTATTGACCATTGGCCAGAACCATAAAGTAACCATATAAGTTATGCGGTTTCCTATGATGATAAATTTAAAAAAATTGCCGAACGTTCGATTTTTATGGCCTGATTCAGTCACTTTTCTTCAATAAGTCATTGAATATTGTTCATGCATATAGAGAATCCGATCGGTTGGGAAATGGGTCTCCTTATCAGGGGCTTCTCTGCCGGTCAGTGAGTTCAAAAGCAAAAAAGTTATCAGCAGACGGGTATTGAAAGCGATCTTGTTGTTGGCTTTTATTTCAGATCGTATGTTTCTTCTTTTACAATATCCCATATATTATTTCACCTAGACTATACCATAAATGAGGTGGCAATTCTTGAGGGGACTTTATAGGCAATACATTTTATGATTATTACATAATAATATATCAAAGCTAGTAAGACTTTTTTGTTTTTGGCTAACTGAAAGGCAACTGAGACCCTTTACTTATGAGGGTTCTCTTCTTGAGAGGATTTTTGAAGTGAAGATTTCTTCTTTAATATAAAATATGTTTCACATCTATCTATGAATGGTCAAAAGCTCTTTACCTTTTTTCACTATTTTATGAACATATTTGAATCGCCCAACTTAGGTTATAGACCCCATTCCAATAGCTGTGAAATGACGATGTTTGCTGGCGATAAGACCTGTTCGAGACGCTCGTTCTATGCATTTGATAATCTCTCAAATGTCGAAACAAATATCAAGTCACTTGTGTTGCCGGCGTTGATAAGGGAAAGTCATTGGATTTTGTTTCCAAGGCATTAATATACATATAAATATGTCTTAATGCGATTCGATTAAAGTTCGAGATGTGAAATGAATCGTAGTCGAATGAAAGGACATTATTGTTTTGTAAATTATTTATATAAACGGATTTAGCTTTTGGGAGTACTCTTTTTTTTGGAAAAGTTTATTTTTTTTAACTATTTTGTGTATTCCTAGAGCTTAATCTAAACTAATAAAGGTTTATTTCCTTTTTTGTGCCATAAAAGTACTAAAAATGTACTTTATGGATTGAGAATTCATTTTAGTGTAAAAATTATATTAGAACTTAGAGGCCTCATAAACTTTTTTCTTTAAAGAACAACGAACGAACGTTTTTAGGTTTCGGTTTATAACCATTTTGGATCTGATTTATGTATATTAAAGTGTTTATTTAAAAGCCTAAAAACATTAAATATTTTATAAATTTAAAAATATTTTCACTGTAAGAAAGAAAGCTACGCCTTCCCTGGTTTCTTTTAAACAAAATTTAAAATAGATGGTTAAAATAAAATGGTATAAAAATAATAAATACATTACTTCAAACTTTGTTAAGAAATGAACAAAATCGAGCAACACAACACCTATTCTTTAATTTCTCAATTAATAAAATAAGAGTTTTCATTCTTTTACTTTTCCATATTAAAGACAGTCAAACTTCCTCTTGGCAAACAACATACCAAAATGTTGTTTTCTTAGCCTTATTATTCTTCAGTCTAACAAAAGACTGAAAGTATTCCCCCACAAAACCTCACTGAACCCTTGTTGCATTTATGATACGCACCTTCTCCAAAGCACCTTCGGGGTAAAAGTGGCAGGCGCGCAGGAAGACTGTGAGGAAGGCATCGTCGTCCTTGTAGTTCAGCTCGGGCGTGGCCTTGAGCAGCTCTCGGAGCTTGATGATAGCCGCCGCCTTGACCTCCTCGGTTTCCCGGAGTTCCACCCGGGCGATTTCCACGGTCTCCGGCTTCAGATAGCCCAGACGCAAGTTAAAGGCCTCGTCGCTGATATCGGTGGCAGCCATTATGTCGGTTGGTGACTGTTTTTTTTTCTTTCTATAACTCGGGGCCTGCGTGTTTTTAGATTCGAGAAATGCGTTCTATGTTAGTTTTTCCAGTATTTCGGATCACTGATGATTGCCAGCGGGAAAATTGCAAACTTAATTTGGGGTAATTTGGCACCAGCACTTTTGGATCGATTTATTTGAACAATCTTCCCGGGATAATCAACCAGTTCAGTCTAAAAAAAATTGTTATTTACCTAAGGCGAAGTCAAACGATTTTCACTTTTCAAAAGGTTTTTTCAGCGTTCTTAAAGTTTTTGCTTCCTCGCGACTCGTGCGATTCGAGTCAACTGAATTTCGGTTTGCCTTTGGAAACCCTTGTGAGTTAACTTCTATATTATATATCAGCCGAACGACAGCTTCGACGGCGACGTCGATGATAAAGCCCGCTGCGGCAGAGGCGATCGTCTTGGCCCGACTTCCATATTCATTTCTTATCTTTTAGACTAATGGCGCTGTGCACATAGGAAACTACCAAAAAAACAAAAAAAAAAAAAAAGAGAGATCAACTAAAAAAAGGTCACCATTTCGGCTGTCAATCACCTTACGCCTTTAACCCTCGGGCATCTCCATTGAACCCTCCCCCTCTGTCTAGGCCTGAAAACCAACTTTCAAGCTAAGTTCCGAATTTTCTGTGTTTATTTTTTTTTTGGGGTTATTTCGCCATTGATCGTGATGTTTACACGCGCCTGGCGTCTTGAACCTTAGTTTAAATTACCTTTACCTCGAACTTACCCTGGCTACATCTCGGCGTCTGGGGCACGTAATAAAAAAGACAAATTTGTTAAAAAAAAGCATAAATATCAATTAACAGCGGAAAAAAGGTTGAACCAGCCTATTGACAGCGGAAACAGCGCACTGTTTATGGAGCCACTCATAATGCCCGTAAAGCGTTAAGATAATGCGAAACTATACTACTTAGAAGTACCCTGCAAACCATTTCGTAAATTACAAACCTTCTGCTAAATAAATTCAAAAAGCAAACGCTACATGGGCCACCCTATATAATGTTAATAATTGATCATATTTTACCTACTACTAACCATATTAAACCACAATCTTACATATTTTCGATTTGTAAATACCTTACTATGTTATATGTTAACTTGCTTCATCCTTTACTACCAATCCTATTAACCCACAAACTACCAACTTTTTACAGGGTATGAAAACTACTTTCGTCTAAAGTCCAACATGGAATTCTTAAGTGATAATAGCTCCCAAAAATATTCTGCTCCTAGGGCTATTATCGAATGTTTCGGTGTGTTCTACTGGCAAGAGAGAGAGCCATTCTAATCACAGCTCATAATCCTTATCAATGGCAGCGCTGCTCTGCTCTGTTCTCTCTTTCTCTCTCCTTTTTGATTTACAGAGAAACCTTTTGTTTTTGTTTGTCAAGTCAAGAGTGGGTGGTAGGAGAGTTGCGGGGTTGTGATTGGATGGATCTTCGTCTTTTCACACCTTTCGGGGCATTGAATCGGATCGGGGATCGTGAATCGCGACCCGTTATCATTGTTAGTAGCTTTTGTTGCTGCATTTCATATTGTTATTATTGGTACGTGATCGGGTCTTTGTTTTGAAATTCATGTCCCAAACACAAAACCATATTGTTGCCTTCTTTGCTAATATCGACTTATACGTGTTCTTATACAAGTACAGTGGGCCCTCGAGAGAGTTAACTGTGCATTTAAAAGGTTTATTGTAACTTACATGATCTATGTTTTTATGTTTTATTATTAATTCTACAATATTTAAAACTGATAAAAAAGATCTCCTTAATCATAAATAATATTTAATTAAAATATATTAGCAAGACCTTGAAATACTTAAAGAGTATTCTTAAGTTTAGATAGATTATGAACCCCAGTACATGTTATCGATAAACCACTGTATCTGAAACTAAGAATTACTGTTTTATACTACGGCCATATAGTGTAGTCATAGGGCAAAGTCTGCACTCTTGATACGATTTCTGTTGTCGAAGCCTCAACGTAGTCGTCAACCCGATGTACTGTTGCTATTGTTGTTGTTTCTTTGTTTTCGATTTTGCTCAAGTATTTAAGTTGTTTTTGTTATTGTTTTCACTTTATTTTGTTACTAAGTCGCCGAACGTCTTAATTCATTCTTTCCGAATGTTATTGATACTGCCATTGGTGCTGCATCAGCTGGTTCAATGAGCTTCTGTTTTGCTATTCCTGATGAGGATTTGAATGCGTTAAAAAGATTTAGTTATGTGTTTGGGAGTGAGCAGGTTCGATTTGAATCCTATTTGCTAAAAAAAAACATTCAATAGATTCGATCAACAAACTTATCTGGAGAGGCACAGGTGTTGAGGGGTTCGGTTGTAGCGAATTTCTGACAGTGATTTGGGTTGGATAGATAGTGTTAAGAAAATGTTGAATAATGACAGATAAGATATTTAAAAATATTTGAAAATATTAAATGCTGCTTAAAAATGTAGTTTAAATGTGACTTAACATTCTAGCTTCTTCAATTAAAATCCAAATATAAAACCCCATTAAAATATTCATTCTGAAACCTTTAGGAAATACATTCATTTTGATTTCAGTTTTTAAACCATGTTCTTACACTATGATCTTGACTTCTAAACAGTAAATATTTTATAATTCTTAAATAACAGATTTACTGTGGTCAAAACAAGTTCTATAAAGATTTTGTAAGTCTTCTGTTAAATCTTCTTGAAATTAACATGTTGGCAATCCATAACCTTAACCCTTTGAGATTTGATAGTAACTAACTATGTATTAAAAATTAAGTGGGCCACGAAAGATTTGGGTTTTAATCATTTCGTAAACCGCAAATCTTCTACTAAATATCTGACTTTGATTGACAATGCCAATATCATATTTATCGATAGTTCAAAAAGCAAACGCTACAGGGGCCACCTTGTACTAGCAAGCTAAGCACCTATATCTAAGATATATATAGCCTTAAGAAGGCTAATCTCAATAACCTTAAAAGACTTCTTAGCCAACTAATGCCGGTAGGCTAAAAATATTTATATATAGCCCCTCTAAAACTAATCGCAAGATATGCAGTCTATATGCATGATGTATATCATGGTTAGATTCCGTGGCTTCCGTTGATAAGTTGAAAATCCCCAGCGGAGAAGTATTGGAAGTATTTTTCATGCCTCCAGTGATAAGGTCAAGATAGTGTACTACCTACCATATTTGACACATGTTCATAATCAAGAAGGGACAAGGTAAAATGTCCCATGTGAACTTTAGTACTTGTCAGCAGGTGAGTAACTGTATCTAGTTACATTATTTAATTACGAGAAAAACAGCTGCTCAAAGTACACTCAATTAATAGAGCATACGATCAATCGATGTCTTACCAAAATCAATTTACCCAACCGGACGAAGTGCACCCACTGAGGCGTATGTCGAGCTGATTTCCAAGTTCGACTTTGCTCCTCCAGTAATCGCTGACGTCGGAAGTGATTTCAGTTTGCAGCCAAAGGGGCAGGCCGTGAATGTGTGTCATCTGTGATTAAATATTGGCTTTTGGAAAATATTTACAAGGGAAAACCACTGATGAACAGTCTTTAAGATGTTTTTTTTGGAAATTTGAAAAAATTAGTGTTAAAACTGAATGACTATTTTTTGAAGTTTTTGCCCAGTTACGACCCTCGAAAATATTTTTGGTTGGACTATAGACAAGGTTGAGATAACTATCATAGGTGGAAGAGTACACTTTTACGGTCGTCTGGTGAGGTCAGTTACAGTCCAAGTCAACTCTTCTCAGGTATATAATTTGAGGCACTTAACTGTAGGTTCTAAGAGGGCCTAAATGCTTTTTACGATTATTATAATTGTTTCTAGAATATTGTTTTATAAATGCTTTAATGCTAAGTACTTTTGTATATTGTTTAGACATTAAGAAGAGCTTTTCTTTAATTTTTTAGACATTTTTTAAAAGCATAAAATGAATAATCTTTAAGGAAAATATAAAAAAGGTAAACTAATATGAACAATACCCTAAAATCATGTTTAAGCTAAGAAAGGAATAAATAATAATTATAAAAACTAAAATAAACTTAAAATTACATCTAAATTGCATTCTCCTAACATGTACTAAACTTTAATATTGCCTAAAAAACCCTTTTAATATGTTTTAAAATATTTAAAAATGTCAATAATATCATAAATTAATATCTATAACTACCTTCTCTACATAACCACATTAAGTAATTAATCAACAAGCTATTTGGCTCTCAATACTTGGTCATTATCTTTATGGCCAACCCGTAATTTCCCCACAAACTGCCATAATTTAGATAACTTAACAGGGCGAAAAATGTTTAATTTATCAGCCAAAAGAAGCAGCGGCGATGATAACGAAAACGGCGTTTGGTTAAAAAAAGAAAACTGCAAGCTTGGCCAAATCAAGCAAACCGAAGAAGTGGCCAAGAACAAATGCTATGAACTTCACCCGGTGGCCTTCAAATTGGCTAAAGAAAGTTGAGCATTCCAGTTTCGAGTGCTGCCATCAGCAAAATGTTTACCACGAAAAGTGGCAACAACAATGGGAATTACTCAAGCGTGTTTAAAGTTCGCCCCCCAGGGCCTATGCCTTGGCTAATTGTTAGATTAACACGATCTGATACTATTAGCTGATTAAAGCACGTTTATTGTTTTTGCGATGGCTTGTAGGTAGGCAAAAAGCAAAGCAGAGCTTTTAAAAGTTTGAAGGTTCAGGTCCTTGCTTTGAAGCAGTTAAGCTCTGGCGATCAGCCAGTGTTAGGAAATGCCAAAAGGGGATTATTTTGTTTACATTGGTTAGAACGATTAATACATTTTACAGATTACTTAGAGTCTAAGATATTGTTTTAATATTAGCAAACAAATTATATATTGATCTTTTTTTAAAGAAAAGTAACAGTTGTTATATTACTTTTAAAAATAATTAAATATTTATTTAGAAATATTTTTTTTATTTATATTTTTGTAAAGCCTTAACCCTTAACAATCATAAAGTGCTATCGGCTGTTCTTATCCTAATATTACCTTGTTTTATTTTATACCCTTGCAGAGGGTATTATAATTTTGGTCAGAAGTGGTCCTTCACTGCGAAGACGTTTCCTAACTAAGATTTGTAAGTGTTCTTAAGCTCATTAAGTTGGAGAAAATACGTAAAAATGAATTCTTTAACAATGTCAAGTTTTAAAAAAATATTAAAAGTAACCATTTTTGAAATTTTATCCATGTAAATATATCTCAAAATTGTTAATAATTAAATTATAGAAATAAAATACTTTTTTTCTTTTTGAATTTTCCTAAAAATACTTCCTAAAGAAGGCTTAGTGGCTCTTACTAACTGTGGATAAAATGCTTAAGCTAAAGCTTTAAGCTTGTAAATCGCTTAAGTTTATGAAGGGAGAGTCTTGCGAACGAAGCTTTTGGCAGTGCTGGATAGGGCCAACAGAGAGGCAGAGAGTGAGCTTATACTCCGCTCTCTACTTCGGTTTAGCATTTAAAGTTCGCCGTTTTTGTTTTTCTTCTTGTCAAGCTTGAGTTGGCCAGTTAATTAATAACAAGAGCTGGAGAGCGATTCACAAACTCAGAGTTGTTTTGACCGCGTTGCCATTTGGACGTCGCCGCATTTTCCGCTTCTGCTCCGTCTCAAGTTCGCACCTCCAATTTCGCGTCCTGACCGAAAAGTAAAAAAATCGAAAACACACACCCCCAATAAGCTCCACCCCAACCGCCGCCTTCTTGGCCAATTGCTTAAGTTTGTCTGCAGTGAAATTTAGTTTAGCATTGCCAAAAAATTTAAAAAAAAAAAGCAGAAAAAAAGAAAACCAAATATCTCCGTACTACAAGGCGTGTAATTTTCTGTGTATTTTTGCGGTAAGTTGCGTTAACATTATGGCTCATAGAAAGCACTTTTTGGGCATTGTACTCGTAGATTTGATTTTACTTTTGCCTTTGGGCAATGCGCATGCGCAGCCCCGTTGACACACTTTCTGCCTCAACTCCACCTGGCTCACCTGGCTAACCGGGCATTACCTGCCACAAGCAGCTTACGGCTTTTGGCCATAAAAACAATTACCACTTGCCTTTGCCGCTGCTGACGTTGACTGCAATTTCGTCAGCGCGTGCGCTTTGATTCGGAGAAGTAAACCCGTCCTCCCCCTTAGACCACACCATGCCCATGTCCCCGGGTATTACCATTCATAATCTCCATGGCTCACTACTGTGGCACTCTGATCTGCGGTAGCTGATAATATCTCCGTTGTTAAGTAAAGTGGGGATTGCCTAAGGCAGAAGAGTGTGTGAAAATGTGCGGTGTTAAGAGGCGTTAGGCTGCAGCAGGTGAAGCTAGTTTTGAATGGGCCAAAATAATGAAACGAACTTGTTAACTGTGTCGTTGTTTTGGGTTAAGTATGAAATTATTTTAAAGCTGGCGCAGAGGTGTTAAACTTAATGAACCGTTTGGAATTATCAACTAACTGTATTTGTATTGCCAAATTATAGGTTTAAATTGGTGAAATGATTAGATGATATTCTAAGAATTTGGCTGTAAACAGTTTTTATATAGATAAATACAGGTTAATTAAGGGTTAAGCAACCACAAAAATGTTTAATTACATTCTCTTTTAATATTAGTTAAAGATTTTTGAATTTTTTATAACAAAATTCATGCTAAAAGCTTTAGAGGGGTTAGAAGTTAGCTGTTAAAACTCCAGTCAAGACTTCAAGCAAGTTCCTTTGAGGTATACCTCTCCTTATAGCGTGTTCCCACTGTCACCTTCATAATGCATGCAAATGTAACACAATTGAAATGCAAATTGACGCATCAGGCTGCTGTCCCACTCTCGCACCCAACTTTGTTGAACATCTTGTGTCCCACTCTATTTGGGTTTAATTTCTGTTGATTCACGGGATCGACGGTCGCAGTTTATAAATATTTCAGACGCCAATCAGCCGATCCACCGCTGGTCAATGAAAGTATTTGCTCTAATGACACCATAACATTGATTATTTAGTCCGATTTGCATAGCGATTAGTGCTATTTGGGCAACTTATTTGGGCCTCCTCTATTTAGCCATTACACACTCTGCTTGATTCTGCAGATGACCTTGCCGTTCTCACTCCACTCGATGGCAGTACGAAGAGTCGCCGAAAAAATAAGTGAACTCAAAACCAGTTAGACATCTTTTCAGTCTGTGTGTGTGTGTGGGCATGAAATTTACCCAAATTGTTAACATTTTGTCAAGTGAAGGATGCCAAAAAAAGAGACTTGCGAAAATATACAAAGAGCCGTTATTGAATCTGGAAATTTACATATTTTTTTTATTTCGGAATACAGAAGTCAACTTCGTACTTGGCCAACTGAAGGCGAATTTTTATAGCCACAGCTTGTACGATCCGGTCGTTTGATTTTTTGGCATTGTGAAAGAAACCGAAACCAAAACCGAAACGGAAACCGGCTATTCCTGCTCCTCGAGAATTATTCAAGTCGAGTATTTATTTATCTTTTGACGAGCCGGTTCAGTGTTCACTTTTCAGTGGGTGAGCCAACAGAATTCCAGGTGCTAACTCGAAATCTAAGTAGATTTGTGCCAGAGTTATTTGCTTACTGTTGCCCCAGATCATGTTTGCTGAAGAAATACTAGGCAATAGTGTGTTTTATTTTTATAGAATATTTAAAAGTCTTGAATCTAAGTTGGGAGGTGTTCTATTTTGCTTAGCTAAGTGTTAATTTTATTCACTATTTTGGCATCGTTTGATGACAGACTGCTTAATCTTCTTTATTGGTTAAAAGTTAGTTAAAAGTTTGGAAATTACTTGCAGGCCACAGAGGCGCAGTCTGCTTATCAATTTTGCAATGTCAATATCACCTATGACAAAATTATGAATGTAAACAGTGCTGGGCCTACTTTTTCGATTTTCCCAGAACAGGTACATAAATTAAGCAATATTAGTGCTAGGAAGGCAAACTTAGGTTTTGATCTCAGATCAAAAGGTCAAAGAGAATAAAGAAAGAATGTTTTTGGAACAGGCTTAAAATGGTCATTATGTACATACCACATATTGTGGACTCCAAACAGGAGAGTAATATTCAGTTTGTTTTAGAGAATTAGAAGAAAGTCAAACAGTTAGGACTAATCAATCATTAACTTTCTCAATGTTAAGTCATGTATCACAAGAATGAATAGGAAATTCCGTTTGCCAAATATTGTAAAGCAAAGTGGACACTTTTCTCTTCTTTTTTCTAGTCTAAAAGCTTGAAATTTATTAGGTTGTCAAAATTCTCTTGCGGTATAAAATTGGTTACAATAATGCGATTCAAGACAAATATGCGCCGTTTTGTTCGATGAAACGCGTTCCCAACGAGATGGCAACTTCATAATTCCCCTCTCATATAAGCTCGCTTCCCTATTGGCAAAAACTCGGGCTTGCATCTTCGACCACTCTCACAGAACGAAAACTTGATACCATCGTTGTGCGGTTGAAATGGAAACTGTATCGGGTCCATAAACTGCACAAATTTTATTGAGATGCATTTTTGCCTTTATCGTAGTAGTACTGTAAAATATGCCGTATTTTCTCTTAATTTTGCTCCATGATTGCGAAGCTATAACTCACGAACGACTTAAAAGAATAGACAATCAATCAAACACCTGTTAGCGCGTGAAATGAGCTTTCCAAAAAGGTATTGTTTGACCTGATGCGACGAATAAAACAAGAACAATGCGCTTTAAGCGCCAACTAGGGAAAATACCGCAAGACTTTTTAGGCAGCCTAATATCTTCCTTTTTTCTAACCTCAAAGCTTAAAATACTACCTCTAGTTGAGAGTTTTCAATCTTATAAAGTCTTATTAACTTTAAAATGCTAATGAGAAAGTAAAAGTTTTTAAAAAATGAAGCCAACTTAGTGTCAAAAACCTAATTAGTCATTGAGAACCTAGCCCTAAGATTATTTCCGGCTTAATTTAAGGTTTATTTAAACAAAATTGACATTTCAGAGGTGTTTACTTTAAAGCAACCCTTAAACTTAAATTAAAATTGCAAATAATTGCCATTAATAACTATTAAAAACTATTTATAAAAACATCCATATGTATATAAAACCCATAAAAATGCATGAAGAATTTTAAAAAATTCTGAAATAATTACTGATGTTTAAAGATCATTAGCTTGTTTCCTCCCTAAACTGGTAATTCCAGATTTTCCCTGGCCTTCAGCTAACTCGAACCCCCTTTGCATTTAATGTTCTGGCCACTTTCATTGATTGGCTTATAACCGGCTAATTGCTATGGGATCTGGCAGGCTTATATCATTACAATAAAAATCAAATTGCTTACTAAGCCAAATAGATTGATATGCAAGGCACGATAGATATGCCTTAGACTTTTGATCGGAACTGGCATTGGACTATATGTACAGTGTTCATAAACTGGATTGACCCATTTGGGAGTCAGGGGCGCAACTCAGCTGATATTGAAGGAGGTTGTAATCAATTTATTAGCTTAATCGCTGAGTTTATGGCTCAGGTGTTTCAGTTTTTAATAAAGTCTTTAGTAGAGTAAAGAGTTTGATTGAGATAATCTGGTAGCTGGCTAAGTAAGTTGGCACTTTCTGGGGGTATATCTAGTGGAAGATGGAATAGGAATTATAAGATGATGTTTTGGCAAGCTTCTCTCTGGGCACTTTTTAAACTTTAAGTAAGTAAATAAAACAAATTTAATCTCTATAAGGAAAGTAAAAGCCTTTGAAGTAAATCTTAGATACATTTCAAAGAGTATTTCCAACTTCGGTTTTGTAATTTCTGTTTTTCCTTGGCTTTTGCCAAACAATTGCTTCGTCATCTGTGGCGGCGAGACAATCGTTGCCAATAATTTTACTACAAAGAGAAAAACTATAATTTGCATGTAATGGCTAGCTAGTTGACGGTTTTGATCATTTTTCATATGGCTTGTTTATTTATGCATATCATGTTGAGTGCATTTTTGTGCATTTATTTTAAACTTTAGATTTTTGTCTTGTTGTGTTTTGTTTTTTTTCCCACTTAACTGGCCAGCAGTTAAGTTGGAATTGATTAGCTAGCAGTTTGCTTTTGGGATTATTTCTGTGCGCTGTGCGCTAATCTATATACAGTAATCGCTCGTTAGTATGGGTGGACATAACCCGATTAGACTTTCAAACTCAATTTGAATGTTCCTTTGTTCAGTTTTCTTTTGTTTGGCGATACCAGTTATCAGCTTATTTAACCGACTGGCTACTGCTATTAAACTGCAGTTCGTTCGCAATTTCCGCTTGCAAGTGACAGCCATTTAGTCCAACCCAGTGAAAGGCCACAAAAGTTCAACGAGATAAAGTCAAATAATACCCAGTGGAATATAATTATTGAGGCAGGTGAAGTTGTGGCACTCAATGCCGGCTTTTTAATAGGCATCTCTCTCATTGTTTTTGGGTAATTATTTGCTTACGTCAGACTTTGATCGACTGATGGAAGTTTTCCCCGAACCCCCATCGGATTCTGCCAGAAGTACATCCGTGAAGTGGGGTTCGCTGTACATTGTTGTGGGTCATAAAAACAAGCTGGGTTTACAAGCAAGCTTGTTAAAAACGAGTTGTTGGGCCTTGGATTTATCTGATTTCAAAGCTGATCAAAGCTGTAAATTTCCAAATTCCTATTTATTAAACTTTCAATTGCCTTTTTGCACTTCGATCAGAATTTGATTACAAATTAAGAGCCAAATGAAAAAGCATTTAAAATGTAATATTGCTTAATAAAATCACTTTGTTGGTTCGAAAATTTTTGTGTTAAATGCCATTTTATTAAATAATTTGGTTAAGTAACTAATAACTGAATACGAGGTGTGTTCAAAAAGTAAGGTGACTCTTCAAATTTCGCGAATTTCAAATTTTTCGATTATCGAAACCTTTTAGAAGTTATACGAGGTGTGTTCAAAAAGTAAGGTGACTTTTCAAATTTCAAATTTTTCAAATTTTTCGATTATCTTCAGTTTTGGGAACAAGAAAAAGTCACATGGGGCCAAATCCGGTGAATATGGTGGCTGAGGCATTATTGTGGTGTTGTTTTTGGCCAAAAAATCCAAATCCTTTGATCCATATTTTTCGATAGCAAAAAATCGCCGAGCTCGCAAAATAACTTGTAACTTTACGCCTCTCACAACCAAACAAAAGAGGATGTTCCATTGAAACTTGGTACAGATGTTAGGGAAGAGTGTACCAATATAACAAAACAAAAAAATCGATAATCGAAAAATTTGAAATTCGCGAAATTTGAAGAGTCACCTTACTTTTTGAACACACCTCGTATGTGTGGTCTTAAATATGAAAAATAACTTCTCAAATATGTTTTGTAATAAGTTGGGAACTAAATTTATAAAATTGTGGTATCTTTAGAGATTTTATACCAATTTTATACCTATCTTGGGGCTATATTAGGTTGTCAAAAAAGTCTTTCGGTATTTTCGCTAGATGGCGCTGAAAGCCAACTAAACTAAACTAAACGACTACTAAATTTGAATGGAAAAATCAAAAAAAATATATGTAAAAATACAAAAACTTTCCCACGATGTGGAAAATACTGATAACCCTTTTAAACTCACCTTTAAGGTAGTAAAATTCGAACTGGTTTAACAGCTTCAAAAAGGGAAAAAACCCAAGGATGATGTTCAAGGATTCGTTCATTGACTTCAGGTTGATCGTAAAACCAAGGTCCTTATTAACTGGTTTCTTTATAAAAAAAACTTTAAAATTCTGGGAAAAAGTTGATCATTTACTGGATGAAACTGGCATAAGGAGTGTATATTAAGGCCATAAGAGGTTTACTTCTTAAAGTTTCCCTAACTAGCACGTGCTTAGAGTCATAAAACCACTCCTTGTCCTGCCTTAAGTGCATCAACGTTGAAAAAATAAACTTAATGTTAAATTAAAACAAGAAAAACCTCCCCATAAACTTGATTACTCCTCAACTCAACCCACATAACTCAATAAACTCTAGAAACGATAAAAACCTGCTGCGATAAGTGCTGAATCACTATGAGACCGCCTCAATCCCAAACAAAGGGGCTGCCCTAGGTGACTAAATTTAAATTCGATATTCCCTACATGGAAAAAAGCGCCAACAGAATAATATTAAGCCGTAGATCAGAGATCACTTCCTTGTAATTAGCACCCCTTCGCCATTTCTCAGTTGAGGCAACAAAAACCAAACAGAACTTTGCCTTCGGACTAAGTTTTTATATTTAGTTAGTGAGTGTGATAAACAAATTAACTTAAATAGAGTTAAAACACAAGTGAATTGCACAAGTTTATGTGGTATTTTTTCAAAGCATTATAACATGATATTAAACCTTTTCTTTAGAGCAATTTACTTGACATTTTGCGTGCTAGTAATTGGCCATAATATTATTCCCCACGATCATGAAAATGTCTCAAAATTAGATTTCCTCGCATGTCACACCCAAATTTTCAGTCACTTATTTTTTTGTCTAATTTAATTGGATTTTACAACACCCGAGAAGACGAGATTGACCAACAAATTAGTATGCGCATAACTTTATGGGCTGTTGAACTCCACGCCAAAGACCAAAATCAACACAGAAAGGCCTAAACCAAATAAAAGCATAAATTACACAAGATTCATTGACGAAATTTCTGGAAGCCAACGAAAAGCCGTCGTCAGTATGACAAAAAGCCCAAAATGCTGATTCGAGTTTTCAACTTCAATCCAACGCTTACGAGCACATATTGTATCAGCCAACAATCTCTGATCTTGGCCTTGACTTTTACCTTCATTCGCGTTGACCGCAGAGAAAAGCCAATATCAAAAAAAAACTTACTAATTGCTTCGAATCATAAGAGCAGCAGTAAATCAGATTTAATGGCCAAAACCGATTTGCGCTACTCTAGGCCGGGGCTCACTAGACCAGGTTCTTTAACTTCTCAACAATTCGAGTTTTGATATGTGTTTTGTGTGCCATTGTCAAGTCCTTCATGACAGGGCATAGATCACAAGTGCTACGTCATCGGGCTGGCCAGCTTTTTCTATTTCTGTTTTGCTAGCCAAGGTGTTGCCAAGTCGTCTGCGAGCCAAACTGGCGGGGCACGTATTAAGTTGGTAAAGAAAAATAGCTATGAAATACATTATAGAGAGGAAAAGTGTCGGAGATTATAGACCCTAAAAAATGTCTTAACTTAAATATTTTCTGCAATACTCTTGGCCAAATTGTGAAGGAATTTAAGGCTTTAACTAGTAAGGGTTAATGTAAGAAAAGTTCAGATTTTAGAAAGCAGCGTTTAAGAATGTAAAAATGTAAACTAAATATTTATATTTTTATGAATATTTTCTCTAACATTTATTCATACTTTTTATTTAACCAACTTAATCTTTGATCTTAACTTATTAGATTTGCATTTAATTTAAATCAAAAAAGATAATTTTATTAGACAGTTTTTTGCAGATTTTTTGATAAATTAACCAAGAAGTCTAGTCAAACGCCCTGACCGAATTTCTATAACCTTTGCCTGTGAGGGTATCCACTGCTTTAAGCCATCGGACGCACGTTTTGCGACCAGTTTTGGGCACTATTGTCTATCGGTCTATAGATTTCTATATCTATATTTACCTGTTTGTCCGACGGAATCCTCTTCCGTTGTGGTTTCGGCGATTTTTCGGCTTTTCGACTTTTGCTAATGAAGATCAGCATTGAGTCATACATAAACATGCTATAGTATCTTAGCTATATATACTCGTATTTAACAGTTTCCATTGGAGGCGAGGCATTGAACTGTTGCCGCTTTTGCTTTGGGTTTTGCTTTTGCTTTGGGCCAAGCTTCGCCTTTGGCCAAGCTGCGGAAGTAACCCAGTTGTGCCAATCGCTTTGAGGAAATCGTTGCCAAACCACTCAAAATGTTTGAGTCGATACCAAAACAATTTCATTCTCGTTCGCAGCCTGAACCGGTGAACACCTAACCGCCAGATCACGGAATTCTCATCTCAGATCGCATCCACACATCCATCCAATCATGGGCAAGGCAGAGTGCATCAGCTATGACGAGCAACAGTTGCCCTACATCGATCTGGGTTCGGCACAGATCCGTATGGAGAAGGATGCCGCCCCAGAGTGGGCGCTGAAGAAGGCCCAAGACGAGCTGAGGGAGGTGCCCGGCGTTAAGGAGCAGGCCATCGAGGAGCTCAGGAAACTGATTCAGAGTGAGTTTAAGATACTTAACTTTTATGATGTGTAACTTATTCATTTATATTTTTACTAGATGAAAAGTACCTGAATCTGCCGCTGGATGATGAGTATATGATGATGTTCCTGCGTCCCACCCATTACTATCCAGACAGTGCCTTGAAAAGGGTAAGTGTTAGTCGTGAGGAGATATTAGGATGACATTAAAGAGTTAAAAGTTTCCGTTATTTAAAAGCATTTCTCTTTAACTTTTACAGCTCAAGAACTTCTATCACATGAAACTGAAGTATGGAATCGCTTGTGAGAACATAATCCCCAGCAAGTTGAGGAACGTCTTCGAGGCGAATATTCTGAATTTGCTGCCCCAAAGAGATCAGCACGGTCGTCGTCTTCTAGTCTTGGAAGCAGGCAGTAAGTTTCGCTGATTAAGAAATAAGAAAACATATCTAAGAGTTCTTCTTAACCCAGAAAAGTGGAAACCCTCCCAAGTGCCCTTGGTGGATCTGTTCCGTGGCATTCAATTAACCGTCTTGGGTTCCATGGTGGAGCCTTACTCACAGATTTGCGGTGCAGTTGTCATTATCGATATGGAAGGTAAACAATTAGAGACATTAAATAGCAATTAAACAGGTTAATTGACACAGATTAACTTTTTTGCAGGGCTGCCACTTAGCCACATTACACAGTTTACACCGTCGTTTGCCGCCATGTTGCTGGACTACATCCAAGAATGCATCTGCATGCGCTTGAAGGCGGTTCACATCGTGAATAATTCATATATTTTCAATATGCTATTCGCCATTTTCAAGCCATTCATTCGGGAGAAGCTGCGCAAGAGGGTGAGTTCTTAGGGAACTAACTTAAAAAGTTAAGAATATTTTAATAATAAATCTTAATTCTTGCAGATCTTCTTCCATGGCAAGGACTACAAGTCCCTGATCTCCCACATCGAGGCCAGTGCCTTGCCTCCCAAATACGGTGGCTCTGCCACTTGGGAACTGCCGCCTGGCAAGCTCCTGGGAGAGTTCTTCGAGTGCTACTCCAAGGATTACGAACGTAAGATATATATTTTCTAATCTAACTTTATAATCTAATTAACTTAATATTCCCTTTTAGTGGCTGACAGCTATGGCTATACTGAGGGCTACAAAATGAAGAAGTAAAAGTACAAGATTAAAACCCCTAACTAGCCCCTCCCCAAACTCCCCTTTTCTATTTGTATTTTAGTCACTTAAGTTGGGTCATTTGTGATATTGCAAATATTGTCGTACTTTAAGTCATAGTCTCTTTGCCCTTAAAATTTAAGGTTCAGATCAAAATATTCACAATAATTCGCAGGCTCATGATTAAAGCTCATGATCTAGGCATTAAACTCGATACCATATTATGTACTATACATATTCTATAACTGTTATTGAAATAATAAAGATGAAAAAAGATTTTGTTAAAACTTGAAATTTGTGTGGTAATTAGTAAAGTAAGGGAAGTTTATCTTTAAGGCTTTAAGTAAGTAATCTAGAAACTTTTTTTAAAGATATGCATCTAAAAAAACTTTAAAAACAATTACAAAGAACTCTGTTACTAATTTTTTTAGAATTTATAAAAGATTTAACCAGGTTATCAAACAGTAAGTAAGTATCTAAACTAAGGGCAGATCATTCACCAAAAAACAAATATAGAGATGTCAAGAAACTCTTTACACACTGACAAAAAAACATATTTTTTTACTTTGCATGCAAAAATAACGCCTTTAGCTATTCTTTTTCAATATCTCTTTAATGAAGAACTATAAGAAAACATGCACATACATATTTAGTGACGCTTTTGTATTGCTTTGCAGCTGTGCACTGAGAGAAAGAGAAACGGTTTAGCAATTCCAAAGAGAACTAAACTCTAAAGGGCAAAAAGAAGATAAAAAGAATGAACTTCAGTGTAAGTGTTTGAGGATGAACCTGGAAAAAACAAGAACGAAATATTTTACAGTTAGCAACAGAATGAGGCGAAATGAAGAAAACGAAAATAGCAAGGAGTTCGAGGATAATGCAGAAAGAAACAAAAGCAAATTGTATTGCATTTGGCGAACAATAAGGGAGAAAGAGGAAAACGAAATTTTTTTTTAGTGGAAGAGCATCGCAAACGCTCAAAGCTTATGGGAGAGCAAGTCCATATGCAGAGAGCATATACAAAAACAAATGAGAACTCAGAGCATCGGCACTGAGCACCCCTGACTTAGAGCATAGGAGTTGAGCACCATTGATCTAAGCAACCTTTCCTCCTAAAAGAAAACGGCTGATCATCATAACTTCCAGATCGGACTAGTAGATCAAAAGGTAAGAACAAATTATTCGTTGAAAGGTACATATGTAACATGTAGATTTAAGCGTTTCCGATCCTATAAAGAATGTATACTTTTATTCAGGATCTATAGCCGAGTCGTTTTAGCCATCTCTGACTGCCCGTCCGTATGAACGCAGATATCTCATTAACTATGTATAAGAGATAAAAAGTTGGGATTTCTGGCAATAGGTGGCGCTTTACTAAATCAATTTGTGCTAAAAAATGTTTTTTTTTTTTAAATTGGAAAACACAGTAACGGATAACTCATAATCGCGGCACTCGACATATATCCGTAGTCTGGTCTTTGTTTCTTATTTAATTTTTTGTTCATTATTTGTAGAAATATTAAACCCCTAATTGATCCCCTAAAAAAGTTACATTTTTTATAGTTATAAATTTTATTTGACACGCACAGTTTTGGTCAAGAGAACATTTTAATACAAAAATCATAACTAAGAACTAAGGAATGTAAAAAGAGTATTCGTTAGCTAAGCGAAGGCCGGCACTTGGACCGATTTCGGAGGCTATCTAATCTTTGGCATAGGCACGGGAATGCTTGCAGTTTTTAGTCGGGGATCTTTTTGGAGTGTCACTAAACTAGGAACTACGACTAAAGCGCTAGGACGGCTTAACTATCTAGATGACGTGGATGTGACGAGGATCCTTCTTCAATCCTGCTTATTGTCGCTGATGGCCGTGGATGCGGTGGCCACACTTTCACCCGTTTGGGATTTTAATGATGGTTGGCTTCCTGCCCTTTTCCAAGAGCGGAGAACTGTCCGGAGATCCTTTGACACTCTTCTCGCAGACCAAAGTCGAGGACTTGGACTTTAGTTCCTCGGCACTTGAGAACTGGGAGCGACTCTTGTACTGGCCATTGGTTTTGGTTTTGGTCTTCAGATCGTATCTACGATTACGACACGAGGCCACCAGATTCAAAACTGGAGTCCAGCAGAGCAGTAAAATTCCGATGGCCAAGCAAATTCCGGCAAAGATTTGTCCAGAGATCCGGACTACGGGGAGCACCTTCAACTGGTCAGCCATTTCTGGAGTGATTCTCACTTTTTGCTCAAACCATATCAGAGGGAAAAATATCTTTGGAATTCCTGTATATAAACTGATCCCCTGAATTGGCTCCACCAGCATGTTAACCTGGAATCGGGCAGCCACCTCCAATGGAATTCCCTGTACTTGGCTCTACCACCATATAGAACTCGTGATCCTCCTTCTTAGGACTTAAGTCCCTCCACCTGATCTACGTAGTAGGGATCTGCGTTGAAGAAGTGGGGATAGGACATGAACACAGGAGATCCAAAGCGGCAGGAACTAATGTTCATCACTCCCGAAGGAACACATTGGCCGCCGCAAAAGCAGAGGTTATCCGGATACAGGGTGCCTGAAATATAAATATCAATATTAATAGGGTTTACTTTATAGATATTAACACAGAAAAAGCTCACCATTATCCACGGAGCGTGGTCCACCAGAGAACTTGTAACCCTGCAACCCTTCAATATCCACGGTTTCCACGTAATCCAACGGAATCGTGCGGCACATATCCGGCGTAAATAGTCCCACACTATCACCTGGCTTAAGATGCTGTGGCCTGGAATTCTCCAGCGGAACCATTTGTCATTCCACAATAAGAGTCAAAAAATCCAGTATTCTCCTGATAGTTCCACGAATGCATCTGCCCCAGCTTGGACAGATGATCGGCACCCGTGAAGACATTGAAGACACCAGTGAGATCGGCGCTTCCATTGCGCGTGTAGAACCATCCAAATTTATCAAAGGGCACTTTTACTTCATCTCCAAAAATGGGCATGGCACGGGCCACGTCGATCATGGCGTCGTTGTAGCCGGTGAAAAGGAGTTCATCGATCGATTTTCGAATGGACATTTCGGCGCTGTACATCTTCAGGCCCACATCCACCATGGAGCGCTTGACATTTGGCCAATGCTTGGCAGTGGCGGCAGCGGACTGGAAAGGGAAAGTATTTTTAGAATTTAATGGTGGAACTTTTGAGATAATACCCACCAGAGCCACAGCATTAAGGGTGGTAATCTCATCGTCCAGGCTTCCTTTACTGCCCTCCGCATCGAAGTAGAACAAGCTGCGTCTGCGGTAGCTAACAGATGCATTCTCCGGATGCCAGTGGAGGTCCACCTTATCGGGCCGCTCTGTGAATCGATAGGGGCCCACTTGCTCCATAATAGGCTTAGTGGAGAAGTTGCCGAAATCCTCCGGATTCGTCCAGTTGTACAGATAGATGTCCAGACTGAGATCCATTGGTGGACTCTTCCAGTTGTCGTAGACACGTGTGTCGGGGGCCAAAGCCATTTCCTGCCGAAGAAAAAAAAAGCCACAATTAGAATTAATTGAAAATCTCAACGAGTTTTCCTCGATCTCTGACTCGAGCCAATTGAGTGGCGGCAGTTTCCCTTTGGCTCTCAATTGGCTTTAGCCGCTAATCGAATGCAGCTGGCTGGGCCAACACATGGTGACCACTGACTGCTACTTACCTTCTGCATGATCCAATCGAACAGGTCCACCCAGAACATTCCGCACAATATGCCAAAAAGTCCCAGGCAGAAGCCGAAAATGCCGATAATTAACTTGCGATTGCTTTTTTGGCCCCACATTGCGCTGTTCTGTGTTGGCATAGCTCACGCTGGGCCACTGTGTGGATATCTAATGGTCCCTGTAATGATATGCAAGTTAATAATATGACAATGGCGATAGACAAATTGACAGGCTAATAAAAATTGCAAACATATATAAATAGATTGATTGGATGGCTGCAAAAATAAATGCAGTGAAAATAAAGGGGATTTATGCTTATTTTTTGAAAATACAGCTTAATATATTAAAAAATTAATGTTATAGTTTCAAGTTTAGAATATAATTAAGTTTAGAATTATAATTAATTTAAGTTAGTAGTATATTTAAATATATTAATTGATTAATAAAGAGGAAAGATGTCATTTTAAGCGAGGGTCCCCACAATTTGTGTTGCCTACTTTTAGGCATTGCTAGTAAGAGACAAAAACAGGAATATGTAAAATAAAATCTTTTATTTACAATTACATTTAATCACATATTCACATTAATATAGCAAACAAAGAAAGTCCCAACAAAGAATCGAATATAAACAAAATGCATAAAGCCCGACACGTTATTGAGTGACGAATTCCCATAGCGTCTATTTTTATCAATATAATTGAATCAATTTGAGCAAAGCGTGACTTTCAATTGCTGTTTACACTCATGTAGAATATACTAAGCCGGGCATATACACACATATATACAGAACTATAGTCGCAACCCATATCAGTGGTGATAATTATAAAGCCCCACCGACACTCTGCCATGATGAGACTTAATTAGTTATGATAGATCTAAGTTTTGCTGTGCAAATGACACGAAGTGCATGTAGATAATATGATCAACGCTTCGATTTAATACCAAAAGATCAACAAATTAATAGAGATGTTTAAATACAGCTAGCCAAATTCCCTTATAGAGAGCACCTACTGTTTGCCCGATAAGCGGATTCTGAACTCCTAGGTGAACAGACCCATGAGGAAGCCACAGATAATTGAGGAAATTGAACTGCAATGCACTTATCGCTTATCGAGAACCCATACCCTGGCAATCATTCGACCAATCTAACCAGAGTTCCCATCACTATTTATCACTTTAGCATAAATATTGCATATGTACATAAGCGACTTGGTTCGCATCTCCCTAATATATATATCGTCATAATTGAGTCTATCAATTGACCCCGCTGTGAGCTATGGTTGGGTCTTTGACACTTTCCGTTATTATTGCACATGAATACGAACACGAATCTATATATATATATATATATATATATATGCTTATTTGGCAGCGTGTCAGCTCTGTTCTGGTGTCTGGTAAATTGATATGATTATGTCTTTTGAATGATGAATGCCTGTCGAGCATTTGTCGGCGCCTTTTTATTGTCTTCACAATTATTCTAGAGTGGCTTTTAATTGGAATGAACGGTGGTCAGGTGCAGAATCTAGACTTCATCCCGTATTTTTTTGACTTAATTCAATTAGATCAAGAGCAATCTTTTAAGATAGATTTCAAATGGTAGTTAAGATTTAGACATGAAAATGAAGTTTTCTTTTTTCTAATAGTAAAGCTCAAAGAGATCTTTATCAAAGAAAGAAGTCTTTCTCTCTCTACACAAAAGTTTCATCTGAAATTTGGCCTTGGAGCCTGAAACCTCAACACTGAATAATTGCCTTTAATTAAGTTTAAACTTTCTTTTTGCCTTTTTGATATTTCATTCATTCATTATCAAATTAAGCTCTGTCGTGTCATTCCCTCTGGTTCTTGATCTTTCATTTTAACATTTTTATGAATGCACTGAACGCTTTATTCATATTCTATGCAAATTCTGAGAGAACACTGAACTCAGAAGTCAACTCAAGTCATAAGGAAAGTGAATACATTTTTGAAACAATGAACCAAAAATGTTGGGATAGGTAAACATCTAATCAAATCAAGTCCCCTCTTACAATGGGTAGAAATTCTAAAGGCTTTGTCATATCTGATACCTGAAGATCATCTTTTCCATGTAAACCAAGTCAACACCTACTTAGTTTTCCTGGTATAGATTGTATGTAACCCCCTTTGACCACAAAATCCGACATTGAGATAAAACCGCAAGTCTGAGATTCGACGCAGTTCGTAAAAAGCAAAACTGCGTCAAGTCCGTAGTCGTGCAATTTGCATTTGCTCGGGCGACTTCTTTGATAATGAGCTATCGGCATGTAATTGAGTTTTCGCAGCCTTCAAGTACGGAAATACTCGACGCCATTACAGACTAAGCCAAAAACTATAAATAAAGATTTTGTTTTTGGTAATTCGCAAAGAAAGTGTCAAACCATTGGGCGTGCGAGTCCCAAAATAAGTTTGGTATTTTAAAAGGCATTTGCAATTGTGATTCGTTAGCAGCTTTAAATGAAAGTGAATTTGATTGTAGTTTAGGTTTGAATTTAGTTTTAAGAGCTTGCTGAGTCACGGAAGTGCTGGTAAGCCCTTTGCGATTCTTAAATAAATAGTAAATAGGCTTAGTGCATAGTTAATAAAGTAAATTGAGTTAAGTTCTTAAGCAAAAGTTAAGTTCTTAAACCTAAATAACAGTTCTTTAAGTTCGAACAAATTTTAAGTTTAGTTTAAATTCGTTTTAAGAGTTTGCTGAGTCACCAAAGTGGTTTTAAGCCCTTTGGGATTCTTAATTAATTGAGTGTAAACAGCTTTACAGATTGCTAGTTAATTGATTAAGTTTTTAAAGCAACAAGTGCTAGTTAAGAAATCATTATTGCTTACAAAAACAGTTTCTATAAACTTGAACTATATTTAAACAGGTCGTATGCGTAATTTGCCAACGAACAGCTGTTCCCATTGAGGATTCACAAATCTTTTGTCTACATTGGTTACTCAATTAGTAGGCAGCCAGAAAGTGAATGAGAAAATTCTTTAGTTCTAAGCAACAAAGAAAAAGAAAAATATAAATAAATATTTTTATAATTTATAATAAGTTTTTAGCCCTTTAGGTTAACAATTTTAGGTTAAACAATGCACGCAACTACAATTAGTAAGCCGCACTAATCAATGAGAAATTCTCATTCTCATGCTAAATTCAAATCAATGAGAAATGCTTAGAAACATTTAGAACAAAGATTAATTAAAGAAAATATATAAATAAATATTATTAATATAATATTATATTTGATCTGTCAGGGTTGCGGGAAATCTTCAATAAATATTCATTGGCTTAGAAAAGTTCACGCAATGGCAATTAGCTGAAAGCAAGTTCATTTTCAATCGGGCTGAACTTTAAAAGGGCAACAGGTCGTATGAGCAATATTTATAAAACTATCTTCTAAGGATAATTACTGTCAGTTTAATAATTTGTAAAATGGCTAATTTTTCAAGTTAATATTTACAAAAATCTATTTTTTATAATATATTTAAGTACAAAGTAATATATATATATCCTTATTCCTCAATAATCCTGATCCAATCACCACCATAGCTAACCCCACAGATACAAACTCCCTAAACATCCACAAATTCTTAAACAACTTCCAAATCACCTCCCAAATCTAACTAAATCAAATTTTTGGTAAATAAAATGTAAATGGTAATCCCTAGTAATATCTTGTATTTTACTCAAAAACCAAACATTCACAAGCTATTTATTAATATATATAAGTAAAAGTAATGTATATATTATTTATTATTTAATTTAATTTTTATATAGATTCCTACTCTCTCTTCAATTATCAACAAACTTATGGAATATTCATGATTAAAATATGAAGCTTTTATTTACAGGATCAGTTGCTGAAGATCTCCACATCTTCATGTGATTTATCTTTCGTTTTATGTTACTTAAAATAATATTTATAGTTTTTATTCTCAAAAATTTCTTTCCTTTCTTATTTTTTGTTCTTTTTTGAGAAAACCAACTTGGTAACTTGGAAAACAACTTCTACAAAACCCTCCATCTGAACCTTTGCTAGCAACGAAGTTCTATAATTTCCTGCTTTACGAGTATATATAGAGTAAACCCAACATCATCCAAAATGTATGCAAATAGTTACAAAAGGAGATTTTCTAGATGTTCCTGTAATAAACATTTTCATTGGAAATGTAAGCAAAAGGCCGTAAGATGGACATTCTTTCTGGAAAAACAAGACAAGACAAGCCTTGATTTTGTCAACAGGCGGTATGCTTAATATTTCCTTGAGCAGCTGTTCCCACTGAGGACTGGCAAGTGCCCACGACTAATTTTAGAACATTATTCGCACAATCAACAGGTCGTTCGGATAGCCCAAGCTGAAAGCCCTTTGTTTTGCATTCCGGCACTCTTATTTCTTCAAAGAGAAACGCCACACAAAGCCAATATAAACACAAAAAGAATGAATAATATAGGTTGACACTGTACATAGCTTATATACCCATATTCATATATACATATATATGGATCTATGTCTGGCGGCGACTGTAGTTCACTCTTTTTAAGTTGATTTCATTTAATGGCCTGTAATCTTAATAAGTCTGCCGGCGATTAAACCAAATCGAGCCAAGACAAAAATTTGTTAGCCATTCAGGAAACGCGAAGAAATTGCGTGATATTAACAAAGGAGTTTTCCTTTAGCCTTGCTGAATTTGCTTTTCGTTTTTTGATTTTCTTTTTTTTAAAGGCACTCACTTGACTTTATTTGCTAAATAGAAACAAATCACGGTTTTGTTTTTCAACTTTAGTTTTTCGGTTATCCTTGCGAGGAAATTGAAATTCGATAAGGATGTGGACACAACGCTTGAGCACGTGGGAGGATTATTTTACACACAGAGGCCGGAGAAGTGGACGCGAGTCTCGAGGAAATGCCGTGAAATGGTACCGCTTGGCCCGGCGGCTTCGATGCGACTGTGCGGCGGACTCTCGGCGAACGGACCGCGAGCAGTGCCGCCAGAGAGAGGCGGGAGCAGAACAGGGGGGGCGGGGCAGAGCTGAGCGTAGCGGTTTCTGCGGCCGATGAATGTCAGTCAAGTGCGGCACATGGAAATGGAATGGGAAATGGGCTTGAGAAGAGCTCTGAGTATCCGAGAATCTGAGTATCTGAGTATCTCAGTATCCGTGTCTGTGCGAGTGGGTGTTTGGGTTAATTTACGCTTTGGGCTTTCCATAGTTTTGCCATTGAATTTTGAATTAAACTAAAAGTAATCTGAAACGCCAGCATGGCTCCCAAACTGTAAGCTGCAGCAGAGTGCAGAAATGCCCAGAAAGAACAGTGTTTAAAATCTTTTGGAAAATTGAACCACTTATTCTTGACATTAAATAACTTAAGAAACTTTTAAAACTATTATAAAATAATCAGTAACTATACTTTAAGAAATACACTTGAAATATTTCTAAATATTTTTCAAGTTTAGCCAGGCAAAATGCATTTTAAAGCAAATAAATTAATTTATATTACAATTTCTTTCTTTCAAGCAACTCATCCTAACAAATTTTTCTATCAATATGCAAATTTTTGTATAAAAACGCAACTAGGTCACATTTCAAAAAATCACAAACCGCGTAAGGTAATCCTATGCATTGGACTTGGATTTTTGTACCATTTGAGCGGATTTTCGCATATGAAACGGGTGGCGTATGGAAAAGTAAACAAATCGTAAAGTAAAAACCAAAAGTGATAACAAATTGTCGAAGCCTTATCAATGCGGCTAATCGTGATGATTAGCACTGGGTGAACAGCGCGAACAGAGCACGCCTAACCCCATACACTTGTAAGCTGCGTAAATCAGCGACCGGTGATCAGAGCAAAGTTTCGTATATCATTGGGGCAAAACTCCCCAGCAAATGGCATAAAATAGAAAATAAAAGTCACCCATGGCGTTTGGCTGAGGCAATAAAACAATCAAATGACGTTGCCTCAGTGCGTTTTTAGGCTGGCTCCCTTATTGGATTAGTGGCTCCTTTTTGCCTCCCTTCTCATGTGGCGTGCGTAGTGGGATTAGCATTTAGTTGGGGTCAGTTACCGCTGCAGATTATGTTGCAATGTTGGCAAGTGGAGCAGCCAGAAGTGGGTCAAGTCATCCCTTAACTTTGAATTGGGTCTCGGGCAACGTTTTCTATTTGAATTCATTACTGAAATTCAAGCAGTGACTGTCAGTCAACACAGAAGTCAATGTCATAGCAGCCAGCTTTTTTAAGGTTATGTTTTTGTTTACGTGACGTAAGAACGTTTGTAACGTTACGTTTAAAATTAATTAATTTTAGTTTAAATTCAATTTAAATAGTTTTTATTGATTAAATATACTTTATTTTTGGACATGAAAATACACTTTATCAAAGAATATATTTTTCTGCGAAATTCAATTGGAAAACTTTATGTTTATCTGGTTTTCTTTGTACTTTCAAATAGATTAAGATAGGCTACAGAAAATAGTAAATTAACTAAATAACAGTAACCTTCAAGTTGGAGTTTTAAGCTGACTTGGGAAATCGACGACAAAAATTTTGAACACAACTAAATGCAATAATTCTATGATTAATCTCCCAGATGGAAAGCATGAGACTGATTTGTTGAATTGGAACCAGTGTCATCCATAATATGATGATGAGTGAATCGAAACTGGATTAGGATAATGAGGTAGCAAGTAGCAGCGCCTGAGATCTGTAAAATATAAAATTAAATAAAAAAAATAAATTTAGTAGTGAATAACTCACAGTAAAAATCAAAGTGCGATCTAGACGAAATAATCCTGCGGCAGTAAATAAAACCTTTCTATGCGACAGCTGCAAGGAGAGTCGGAACAGCCGATCTCTAAGCTCCGGATCATCGGTGATATTCAAGATCTTGTGGACTATGCCCGCCGTATAGCTGCTGTGCAAAATGGTTCTACTGCTTCCCTCCACAATGAGTACGATAATCACTATATACCATATAAGCTGCATGAGGAAGAAGGCAAAGAACTCATCGGCCTCGAAAACATCCAATCTCTTGGGATTCAAAATAGCCTCTAAAATGTAAAAGTCATCAAAGAGAATGAAAAGGAAGGATATGGCTATGATTCCCAGCAAAGGATAGGTAAAGTACTCCTCGATGGTCTGGCAAATATCGCAGAGGAGATTGTGGATATTTGACACCTGTTTGATGGCGTATTCTGGGTTGAGACGTATGACGGAGGTAACACTGTACCGCTTCATCGGAGTGCTGATTAGATTTCGCAGGCGATGGGTGTAGCGTCTGTGATTGACGACCGAATGCATGGGGGAGAGTTCCAAGGCACTGCTTTGCTCTATGTGGGCATCTAGGATGTCCTGAAGGATCTATCAAGGGGTAAAGAAATTGTAAAATAGTTTAAAGATAGGTAAAGATATTTAGGGTTTGATTAGGCCATTGCATTTTTCTTGATTTTTATGAATAAATAAATATAACAAATTTAAATATTTGTTTTGACTATTCAATAATCTTTTCATTTGATTTTTCATAAAAAAGAAAGTACATTATTCCAAATATTATACCAACACTAACTTTGTAGTATGTTTGCTTATGGTTAAAAACTAAAGCTACAGGAAAAAGGGAATGGCCATAGCAGGTGAGGGTTTTGGCTAAAAATAGCAAAGCAAAAAAGTATGCTACAAAAAATGTGTTCGGCCACTGCACTTCACTGTTTCTTAGAAAGAATTAAATGAAAATTAATTTTCTTAGACAGAAAAATTATAAAAAAAAATAAAAATAAAATATTTAAGCTCCTTTTCCTTTTCCTAATTTTCCGTTAAAAAATACTTTCATAATTTTAAAAACTATTATACTGCATACAGAAAGTAATTTGTGGTGGTTAGTCCTCATTTTATACCAATGAACTGTAAACTAATATTATTCAATGTACCTCAAACGTATATCATTCATCATTTAAACCTTCGTTTAACCTTTTACTTTACCTTACCATATCTCTTTATTAACTATGTGAGTATTTAGAACTCCCTACTCAATTCCATAAATAAAAGTTCTAATTCTGCACAACATATTGCCACTATTTTTAAAAATCTCAAAGCTAACAACTGCATGCACAAAATCACACATTAAAATCCCATGGCACTCACTTCGTTCAACATACTAAACCGACTCCTGGCCAAGTCCGTGGTGCATAGAAACTTGAAGACCATCAGACTGATATTGATGTGCGGCAGGGCAAACGCGGTGAAGGTCACAAAGGAGGGCGAGATGGTGGCACTGACCAGCAGGCTATAGCTGACACACAAGTAGATGACGTTGAACAGCAGCATGCCCAAGGATATGAGAAGGCTGGACAGCAGGATCCTACGGTAGTCCAACTTCATGCCCAGCCTCACGAATATCTCATCCACCACAATGTTATTCTGGAGAATGCTGACCAATCTCTGTCTTTTGAACATGGCAAAGCCAAATATTGTCAACATGGCCAAGATGCCTGTTAACCGTAAGGTTCCATCGCTGATTTTGGTAATATTCGTTTGGAAGAAGTAGCCAATTATGGAATCTCCCTCCTTCACAGAGATACCGAAACACAAAACGAAGAACAGGAAGTGCACTATGCCAGCTATGAAGGAGAACTTTGATGTTTGCACTTCCTTTCGAGGATTAAGATTCAATCGAAAGGGAGCCAGACCCAGAAGCGAGATGAACGTCAGGGGTCGCAGGGCCTGGAACACATTATCCGCCTGCGAGAAGCGTTCCCACAACTTAAAGGCCATTGGTAATCCTTATTGGTAATAGATATAGAAAATAATGCCGTGTAACGTCCGCTCGTTTCGCGTATTTTCCGCCAACTGACAACGGAAGTCTTGGCCGAGTGATGATGATGATTGCCTTTGTGTCAACTCGAAACACGATGGATATATCATATATCAAAATCGTTAAAGGGCTGTTGTCACACACCTTCGCACACGTAATAAGCTAATATCAATAGTGGCAAATATTTAATTAACCTTAAACGGGGGGCTGGGATCATCGGTGGCTAAGGTCATTTACAAGCAAGTTCAACGATTTCAACGGAATTCATGACATTGCTACTTTTTTTTTGGGGGCACTTCTATGACCTATGCAATGGCTATTCATTACAATTGGCAAACAATTTATGGCAGTCATTTAAGGGTCACGTAAGAGTGGCTATTTAGTGGTCCCTTGTTTTAGAAGGTTTTCATGGTTAATTAGTTGATGGGCAGTAAAGAGGCAGAAAGGGGTTTCTATTTGCTAAGTTCTTAAAGAGGTTTAAAGTTCTTAAGAAGATACTGCAAGGTGTTAGAAAGTCAAGTTGAACTCACGTTTATGCAGAAATTCTTGGTGTTTAAAGAAGATAACTTACTCATGTTTGGGGAACATGTAAAGCTGTTAGGAAGGACTATCAAAGTTGGTGAACTTATTATGGTAAAGTAAGGCTGAGTATCCTTAGCCCCAGCCAAAAAAACCAAAACACTTTAAACGATTCTACTTTTTATTTGCAATCGTTCGTTCACATTGACAGAAAGTACTTTTTGAAAGCAACGGCAATAACAACATTTACAAAAAATACACATTCTGCTGGACGTATTCTATATCCATATTTCACCGGCTCCATTGACTCCACATCGCGCTTCCCATTTATCAAAGACACTAAAAACACATCTAAACCGTATGATTAGCTGTACTGTTGAATAACTCGCAGCAGGAACTGCCTTGCCCATAGCCATTGCTGGGGGAATTGGAGGTGAACTGCAGCAAGATGATGAGATAAGTGGTCAAGGCCCCGCTGATCTGTGGTAAATAATGAAATCATTAAGGACTTGAAATAGAAAGATAAGTAAGTGTATAAACCGACCGTAAAATACAGAGTGCGGTCAATGTTAAAGAGGCCAGCTGCTGTGAAGTTAATCTTGAGATGCATCAGTTGCATGGAGAACTGCTGCAGCTTCTCCTTGACCTCAGCACTTTTGGTTTTATTGAGTAGAGAGTGCACTATGCCACCCGTTTTCTCGCTCTTCTTGATAGCCCGATTGCTGCCCTCCACAATGGATATTATGGCAATCAGATACAAGATCATTTGACAGGAGAAAAACGTCACGAACTCCACTGTTTTGAATTTACTTTCCCTCTTTGACTTTCCCAGCAGAGTTTCCAAAACGTAGTAGGCATCGAAAACGATAATCAGAAAAGCTATGGAGATAATGGTCAGCAGTTGGTAGGTGAAATATTTGTTGGCCGTGGCAGCAGCCTCGCAAATCAGATGGTGGATCTCCATGGACTCTTGTATGATCTCAGCTGGATCTTTGGTTACAATGGTGTACATGGAAAAGGAATCCAGGCACTGGAGAGATCGCTGCTTTTGGGTCACTGCCTTCAGGTTGCGAGAGTCCCATTGATGGGCGAGATTTTTGAGGACCTTTAACGAGAGTAAGTAAAGAGGATATTAGTTTAGGGAATCATTAAGGACTGGACCTAACTTAACGTTATTCAAAGCACTCAGGTAAATGCGCAGTTTGATCATTAGATTTCCCGCCAGAAAGCACACCGCGCAAACTATAAAATGCGGTGAGAAATAGCTAATAGTTGCCGAGATGGAAAATGTGGCTGCATCTCGTAGGCTGATCATTAGAAAGCTGCCAGATATGTAGGCTAGCATGCTGGCAGTTAAAAACATAACCAATCGATTCATTTTCTTTACAGCTGCACCCTGATGCAATGCCACGCCCACCCTGGGAAAGGCCTCCGTCTCAAGACCATAGAAAATCTCGAAAATTTCCAGTAGTTTCCTTCGCTTCAGCATCGATATTAGAAGTATAGCAAAGATTCCCAGCATTCCGTTGATTTTTTGCAATCCATCTATCACATTGGATATATCCGTGAGGAAAAAGTTGGACATCAAGGACTTGCGATCGATGGTGCTATATAGAAAGTTTCCCATATAAATCCCCATTCGCATGATGATGTTGATGTAGCCAAAATACGAGTCTGCTAGTTTGCCTCTGCCTTCCGAGGAAGTGGCCACGTAATAGGGAACGATACCAAGCCACGCGGCCATGAAAACAGTCAAACGAAAGGAGGTGTATACGTCGCTAGGACGTTTGTCCGACTTTTTAACCAAGCACTTAAAGAGCCACATGGCGTATGAGTATTTTTTAAGCCCAACATCGTCGTGGCATTCGGCAAGTGGGATAAGAATCTTGAAAAACTAATGACAACCTTCATGGATAAAAGTTAATCCATATCACCGATACGTATTTAATTAGCGGAAGAGCTAGAGGTCATTAAACGAGGTCAAAAGGCTTTTGTGGATAAGTTGGCTTAGTCGGGGATCGGTTTTTTATTTACTGAAAGCCTAATTTGAACGGTTTTTATATCTTTTGTAACTTTTTAGCTTGAACAGATGCTTCTTATGAGTAATTACTAATGAAATTTAAAACTTTAAATTAAGTTTATAAACTTTTAAGCTTAATAACATCATCACCCACCTTATTCAGCACATCAAAGTGCTGCCACAGACGATGTAAGGCCGCCCCAAACAGCATCACAATGCTAAGCAGAAAAATTTGTGGTACATAGAAGGCCACAGTTGCCGTGTAAATAGGTCTAACATCATTCCCCAGCAGCATCCAGATCGAGCTGATCAGGTAACTCAACTGGACGCCATTAATGAGAAGGATCTGAAAGTGCCTCAATCTCATGATGGCAGCGTAGTTAAAACAAACTCCCAAGTTAAGGAATCGATCATCTATAGAGGATATACGATCCCAAATGCGAATCAGCAATCTGACGCGAATGCTGCTGCAGAGGAAGAGGATGGACATTCCAGTCATGCCAATGAACTTTTGCAGGGAGTCACCCATCTGAGATATTTGGGACTTGAAGAAGTAGCCCACTATGCTCTGCTGTTCGATGAGGGCGGCCAAGAAGCAGTAGCTGAAGAAGCTCAACTGCAGCAGGGCATTCAGGTAGCCAATTTTGCTCAGTAGAAACTGTCTCTCTCCCGCCTGACCCCTCAAGCGAAAGGGGGTCAGGCCCAGGAGATAGGTGTAGAACAGCAGACTCTGCTCAGCTCCAAAAGCATCCCGTGGCTGGAATAGTTCGCGGCAGAAACTAGACATTGTCTTATGTTTAACTCTTATATAAAACATATATCTTGCATTGCAAAAGAAAATAAAACTACTTCTGGTAAATCCCTGAAAAGCTCCCTTTTATACCTTCAGCAGCTACATTTTCCCAGTGATTAGTTTTTAAAGTATTTATGATCCACACCTCTAACGTCACGGCGGGTTAAATATTGTATACTTTTCAATGTTCGTTGACAGGTCAGGTAATGGAAACCCGTCCATCAGCCACCGACAAAGTTTCCCATTTAATGACACTTTCTACTGCGGTCTTCTGCCAGTGTTTATGAAATTATAAAGAGGGAGTTGCTATCTCTCAGCTGGCGGGTTCAGGGTCACTGTTTGTGCGGGCTAATTAAATTAATTGAATTGAAACTGAATGGAATTGAAAACACTTAAAGACGGTGCTAAACGGGATGGCAAAATGTTTTTGTCGCTATTACCTAAGCGTCCTTTGGGAACAATTCAGTCATGGAGCTTGCCAGTTGGCTAGCAAAAGAGGTTGTAAAATAAGTCATAATGCAGGCACTTTTTTCAGTTTGAAACGCTTTGAAGCTTAAAAATCATATCAATAAAAAACAGTATTTAATTTGTTAAATTATAATACTAAATTCTATAATTAAAAATTTATGACAAATAATGAAAAGGAGTCGAAAAACAATATTTTGTGTCTCGTGAAAAATGTGAAACATAAATCTGAAAAAATCTATAAAAATAAGTGCAAATATATATGTTAACAATCTTTAAATTAACTTGTCTCAGCATCTTTCTTAAAATGAAATGAAGGAAACACATTTAAGAAATAAATAAAATGTTTGGGAAAACCTCTAAATTCTTTTCCACTTTCATTTCTCTTTCAAACCGAACGGTCATGTTTTTAGCTTTTGCGTTGTTCTCAAGCTATTTAATCTAAGACACAGCTCAATAGAATCCCTTACCTTATTGACCATCACCAGACGCATCTCCACGAGATATGTAAAGCAGCTGAAGAGAGCGATGGCAATGGCGATGACCGTGTGCTGGATGAGGAAGGTAAAATGCAGGGCCAAGGTTGGCGACACCATCGATGAGTACAGAACGGAGAAGGTGCCACAGGTAAACAAGATGTTGACCAAGAACATGGAGATCAGAATCATATAGCTAAAACGCAGAACCTTACTATACATGATCTTAACTCCCACTGTCTGGAGTTGCATATCCATGGTGTGGAACTTCTGGAGGCACCGCTCCAGCCGATGATTTGGAACGAAAGCGGTCAAGTAAATGACAGTGACTCCGATGAAGCCACTCACAATCTGCATCATGTCCCCAAAGTAGGTGATGCGGGATCGAAAGAAGTAACTTGCCACCGATTCGCAGTTATTATATATAGTCAAACTATAGGCGAAGACGAACAAGGCAATGTGCATGATGCCATTCAGGTAGCCAAAGATGGTTTTCTTGATGGCTCTCTTTCCGGTTTTGCTGTCGCAACTGATGTAGAAGGAGGTGAGTCCATGGACATAGGTAACGTGGAACACTGGACGGAGGCACTCGTAAAGCTGTTTGGCGGTAAAAAATCGCCGAAATCTACGGCGCAAAGGCTGGCATAGGCCAGAACCCACTTCAATATCCGGGGTATCCGCCGGATCCGTAGGATCCACCGTTTCTTTGGCCGTTTCAATGTCCATGACCGCTCCGTTCGGGCTTCAACCGGCGACTGAAGCCAGGAACCGCAAATGATTTGCATTTTACCAGGACCCGTCAACCCACGAAGTTTGCGGGTGGGGTCGGCAAAAGTAAATAATTTTCCCATTTTTATATGTAACCGCCGCGATGGTCTAGACAAGCTGCTGTCCGCTTATGTTCCGACCATTAACCTATTAGCTTTAGCTGTTGCATTTTAATTAATGTCGCCCCCTCTGGGGAATTATTTCCCCAGGGTAATCCCACGATTTCCCCATGTTAAGGGAAGTTTTTCGTCTATCTATTTGGTTCAATGAATGACCAGAGACCCTTCTATTCTGCCTGCCCCTCATAAGCCTAATTAATTTCATGGTTTCCATGAAATGCGAAAGTGAATTTATGCCAATTGTTATGGCTTAAGCATTGCGTGTCCTTTGGCAGAAGAGATTTGGTCAGAAGCGTGAAAATTATGGCCATCAGAAATGACATCGGAAAGTACTCATTCATTTTATTGCTTATAAGGGGTCAAAATTCTTCAGTTTTTTGGTTAACTAGGCAGGGAGAGGGGTAACTTTGTTTGGGAATTTATGCAAAGCATTATTCTCAGAAAAAATCCTTGGAATTTTAACGATTTTGTATTCAAATTTTCGGGGGGTTTAAAAGAAAAGGAATTTGTGAATACAAAATTACATTCTCTCTCTGTGGGTTATAGGTAAATAACGTAGCTAAACATATGTTAAACCTACTTTGTTTACTCTTTTCTATGATTGTGCAATATGAAAAGTTAACTTTTAATAATATTAAACACCACAAAGTGAAAGGGATTAACATAAGATCTACAAATTCCGAACTAAGAAAAAAGGACTTTAAGCTATAAAAGTCATCTAATACGTTTAGACTTTAAGCCGGAATGAGAATCAAAAGATAAGCCTTTACATAAGTTACGCCTTAAAACCCTATGCATTGTTTGTGCATTTTGTGGTTTTAAATAGAGAAAGGAAAAAAAAAACTGAACACCTTGAAGAAAAATGTTTAAATTGTTTAACAGTGCCTAAAAGTATGCAATCGATTGGCATATACGGCAGCCAAAAACTAGGCGAGTTGCCACAAACTATTTACATAACTAATAAAGAAATTCAATCCATGGCCCAGCAGACCACTCTTGTTGGTCAAATAGTCTAGTCTCTGTTATTTGCTAACCATCCCCCTCCAAAAAGCCAACTTAATTACTAAAGTCATTAAAGAGAATCATAGCACATGATCCAGTTCGATAAAGCCTGTTGCCTGGACATAAATTACATAATTAATTTCCACACTTGATTTGCGATTGAGTAACTAAATGATAACAGCGAATCCCTTAATGGAAACCCCGTCACGCATCCCAGACACCTTGTCTTCACCGGGTAAATATTTACCTGTACTTGTTGGTCGCACTGATAACCCCTGACCCCAACCCACTCACCTGATTGATGATACTGAGGCGCCGCTCGAAACTGAAGGCAATCACGCAGAACAAACAAATCGCAATGGAGACGACCGAATGTTGCAGGAAGAATGTCATGCAAACGCAGAACGATGGTGTGACATCCAGTGAGACGAGCAACCGGAAAACTCCCACAAAATACACGCCCAGGATCAGGAGCTTGAAGATCAGCACCAGCAGTGAGTACCGAAATATCCTCGAGTACTTCACCCGTATTCCAATGTTCGAAAAGTTCGTATCCAGGCTGTGCAAAATAGTTAGGGTGCCCAAAAGCTTGCAGCGTTTTAGGATTGCCGAGGTGTAGATCACGGCACCAGCTATCAGACCATTGAAGATCTGCAGGCGATCGCCGACGGTGGAGATCTCAGTGCGGAAAGAAGTAACCCACTATGGATTCACCCTGCCTCAAAGATGAGATATAGCAAAACCCACAGAGGCAGATGTAAATGAAGATGTTGAAGACGCCGAAGAAGGACATCTTCAAGTAGGATTCACCCATTTTCCTTCTCACCACATGGAATGGCGTCAGTCCATATAGGAAAGTCAAGAAGAACAAAGGACGCAGTGCCTCGTAGACCTGCGAGGATATAAAGTATTTGCGCACACGACGTAAGGCGGACATAATGGCGAAATCGAACTTATTTAGACCGGAAGCGGAAATGAAAATAGAGCCAAGCGAATCGCACAACCGTTCCGGTGAAAGTGTCAACGCGAACTGTTTGGTTAAAAGGGAAAACAGCGACTGCCAGGCGACGGATGCAAACGAATCGAGCTGAAGGATAATAAAGAAGGACGAACAGGGAGGAGGAGTCCCGTGGAGTGGATATAAAAATGAAATGCCGGCTGGCGAAAGCTCATTATCATGTTGTCTAGGATTCGCAACAACAAGTGTCAGGCTATAGCAACAAGTGTTATCGTTTTCTCACTCTATCAACCTGCCAGTGATGGCAAAAAGTTATTTTAAGAACGCAGTAAATGGATATAAATACATGTTAATAGAGTAAGAGTGAACCGCGATTTTTTGCAGTTTCTTAGCTGTATTTTTGTCAAAAGAAATCGCACGGCAAAAACAATGACTGTTTTTTTCAGCTGACTACCAGTACTTAAAACCCCTATACCTTCTTTTAACACTTTTGTTCTGATTTTGTTAGTGCGAGTGCTGATTTAATGGCTAAAAACCTAAAAACTAATTTTTAACAGAAATGTTGAATATTATATGCGGGTTTTAGCTCTAGCTCGGTCAAAACGAGACGCAGAGCCAAAAGAACGACTGTTTTGTGCTGCTAACGACCAGAACTCACTACCCCTATCACTCGTTTTCCGATTTAGAGAAATTAATTTTCGACAAAATTTCGCATTTTTGATAATCAAAATTTGCGAAAAATGCGAAAAATGTAAGTTTCCCAGATTTGATTGCAAACCAATTGGGAATCATAGCAATCAAATTACGAGCCCTACGAGGTATTACATTCCATATTCTGAACATTTTTGGCTGTGCTATGGGTAAATAACTGATTTTTTGGGGCCCAAAGTCAATTATACGTCTTTTAGAGCCCAGATTCTTGCCGTTTCTTAGCTCTAACTTTGTCAAAACAATACGCATGACTAAAGCAGCGATTGTTTTATGCAGCTAACAATCAAAACTTCAAACTCCTATACTTGCTTTTATCAATATTGTTCTGATTTTTTCTTGCTAGCTCCGGTTTAAGGGCTGAAAAATCGGAAAACCTATTTTTAAGAGAAGTTGCAATACTGTGTTCGGCTCTTTAGCTCTAGCTCGGTCAAAACAAGACGCACAGCTGAAAGAACAACTGTTTTGTGCTGCTAATGACCAACACTTACCACCCCTATCACTCGTTTTCCGATTTAGAGAAATTAATTTTCGACAAAATTTCGTATTTTTGATAAGGGGTACCATCATCGAAATTCGCGAAAAATGCGAAAAATTTAAGTTTCCCAGATTTGAATGCAGACCAATTGGGAATCATAGCAATCAAATTACGAGCCCTACGAGATATGACATTCCACATTGGGACCATTATTGGCTGTGCTATAATTCTATTCAGTGGAGAGTAAGGTATTAGGAGGTGTTTTAATAGTACTCAGTAACATCTATGTAGACAGCTAAATACAGTTTTATTTTGCTTATTTATTACCTTGAATAGGCAACGTTGAATGGGCTTTGATTTCAATCTCGATAAGAACCATTAAATATGAAGAAATCAGAAGCTTAAACTTTAATTTAAAGCAGACCCACCAGTATAATTTTACTTGATTTTGATAACAATTTTCATGTAAAAAAGAAATGCCTTTCTGTCCACCTATAAAATATCCAAATCATCATCACCAAGTCTTTAAAAAACATAGACGCCTTGAATATCATTCAGCTGCTAGACTATAAAGATAAGAGCCATTGAGTGAGTGTGAGTGTCCTCGCATCCATGAGAGTTTGCCTCGTGACGGGCAATTCATTATCTTCATTATCAAGAGACACTCGAGTAATCGCATATCTGGTCACACTCGAATAATGGCTGTATATGGAAATGAGGGCGAAGGATACGGAGGGGGTTTGGTTCCTGGCCATTGCTTTTCCCATAAGCTTATCAGATTTCTCCATTCGTGTTGATTCTCGTGCAAGAGGAACGAGGGATTACTCTGATTGACAGGTGATATATGATGATTGGATGGATGGTTTTTATTTTTCTTTTGCAGATGAACTGTAATCGTTGATGTGCCTATACATCAAATCTGATTTAGTTTGCTTTAATTTTATGTGACAATTAGTAAACAGAGCAAGAGATATTAATAGGGAAGTTCTAATTTGTTTTGGTTACTAATTCTAAGTACTCGAATAGCTATATAGGCTCTTTTAATTTATTTTTAATATTAGTACTGGGTACTTATGTTTTGAAACTGCTTTTAAAGCTGTCCAAAAGTGTGAATTAGAAAACCAAGCCTTCAATCGCAACGAATCCTTTGTAAATTTGTACTAAAAACTTATTGTGGCATACTTTTGGGCAGTTTTAAAAGTAAATTTTTACTTACCTTGTGCAGGCAGACGAGTCTACGTTGAACCGTTCTTGTCATTAGGCAGAACATGCAGATGGTTATAGAAATGGCCATAAGTTCATAGACCAGAATAAAGGTCAACTGCCACGAAGCGTGAACCTCCATTTCGGAAAGGCATATTAGGCAGGTGGTCAAAAGGACGGTGTCTAAAAGAACTACACAAGAAATGACCAGGACAACTTGGCCCACAACAGTGTGAAAATTAACAGGACTTCGTAAACGAGCTAGCTTTCGATCTGCTTGGTCCATAGTCTTCACAGATCTTAGAAAGTATTTCCTTAGGAGCAGCGGCAAAATAAAAGTTATGATGGCCACTATAATGCCTGCTATGTCATGAAGTTTTGTGCTGATGCGGGAGATATGATTCCGCATAAAATATCCAATTAGACTCTCGTTGCTCAGGTTGATGTAGCTGTAGCAGTAGGCGAGCAGCAACCACCGGGAAATGGCATTCACAAATCCATACCAAGTTTGCTCCAAGGAACTTTCCCTTCTCGCATTTCGCCTCACCAAGAACGGAGTAATGCCCAGGGCAAAGGCAATGGCCACCATCAGGGAAATGGATCCATAGCAATCCCTGGCACTCAGCCAAAAGCGCAGACGTCCACGGAATCCGCGAAAAGTGTCCACTCCGTAGTGGATCATTGCTACAATCCGAATAAATTACATTTCTCCGCCGAAACGAGGTTCTGTCATTTCGCTGAAGTGCAGTCCTTATCGCAGATTAAACTGAAATGATATGGTAATTGCTGTTTTTTGTTGGGCAGCCATGGTAACGAGATTAATTTGAATTTCATCAATTGATATCTAACAATGAGCTAATGGAATCATATCCCAAAGTATTCTAATCTGCTTTTGATCTGGTAATTAGGTAGTAAATGAAGGAGTATTGAGCACATAGTTGGATGTAGAAAACAAGTGTACTCTAAAAATAGACACATAACGATAGGGATAATATATCTATTTTACAGAGGAAATACTATTTATTGCTTCTTTGACATACTAAAACTATTTGGTGTTCCGAACATAAGTATATTTTCCTTTTAACTCCATAAAAAACCAACTTAAACCCAATATTTATGTTACAATGCAGTCTCACAACGCATGACAAAACCCCGCATTGCCAAAACTATGCAAAAACGAATCCAAACAAGATGACAGACTAACAAGTGGTGCCATCATCCTCATCTGCTGCTAGCAAACTGAACAATGCAAACGAGATTGCATAATGAAACCCACCAAACCCGCCACCGGGGTAATGAGCTCCCAGTTTTAAGCTCTCAGTTCCAACATCGTGCCTCAGTGCAACAAATCATGTGTGTCTGGCTCAGAATTTTCGTCGCACAATTTGGCTAACGACACATCCACAAACGACACTCGAAACAATAACAAGAGTGTATCTGCTGTGGTTGGGTCTGCCCCGAAAATTCTGTCTTTGAGCTACATAACTTTTCCATGACAATGGCGCCGGCGTTAAATCAGATTCATCCTAAGACTGTAGCCAACTTTTTTGTTTATTTTTCACACGTGCAACGCAAGCTATTTGTCAGATAAAAATATACATAGTATACGAAAGTGGAAATTTGCAAGTAAGATGCATAAGTCCCAATGCTGCGAAAAGGAAGGCTTTAGGTGAACTGCAGTCTTGAAGAAACTTGATGTACTTATTAAAAAATGTGAATAAATCAATAAAAATATAGCTGAAAGTTGTGTATTTTAGTAAATAAGAAGTATTGCCAAAGAATATTCTTACCATAAGTTAGTTAAATTACAAAAATGCAATTTTAGCAAAATGAGTTGCTGCTTAACCTGTAGCTTTTAATGAAATTACCATATACAAATATTAACATTTTTAATACAGCTACTAAACCTCATAAGTGTTCTCTTAAAATGGCAAATTACTTAACTTCTTTAATTATTTTTAGGTTTATTAGCTTATGCAATACTTAATAACCATGTGTAGGTGGCTTAAATTGCAAATTGTTTTCATAAAAACGAAACATTTTTTATTTTCCTATGCATATCCTCTTAGGCTTTAAATAAATTATTTATTCAATTTAATAAAAACAAAGACCACATTCGTTTGTATCGCTTAAGTAAATAAATATTGGCCAAAATTAAGTATAACAAACAAAGGTAAGTAAACCTTTTCCTTGGCCAAAACAGAAATGAACCGAACACTTATTTGAACAATTTCGGCTACCCAAAACTAAAAACCGAATAAAAAATATACCTATAATCGCAGATAAATGAAATAAATAATTTTTGATGGTGGAAAATGCTTTGGTTAATCGCCAGGTGACCGAAGCTGCGCCGAAACCTCTGACATTTTGGCCAACAAAGGTGGCGAAACAGATGTTGGTTTTTGGCTATGGAGATGAGATGCGATGGGTTACAGAACCCCAAGGTGCCGATGCCTCGTGATGCGGTAAACAGTCAAAGTCAGTCACTGGGTTATGGTAACCTCAGATATATCTACAATATATATCTTATATGCAAAGTTGATAGACCATCGACGTCTACATTCGCCAAGGGAAAAGAAGAAGCTAATTGGCATCAGCGCCCCAGCCCAAAGCTAATTATGTTATGTTATTGTAATTTATCACTGCTTACGCTTTGTGGCCGCACTTCTTTTCAAACAGCAGCCGATTTTTTAACTCTGCACCTGTCCGTGAATAATATGTCTTTAATCGTGGTCCAGAATGACTCAATTATATGGTTGCCTTTTACATACATACATACATTCATATATGTATAGCTTTAGTTTTTAGGTTATGTTGTCACATATTATATTTAAAGTTGGGTCTATGCATCTACATATATATTCTTGATTATTAGCTAATTTTTGTTCATTACACATATTATTTTTGTGTTAAGATAAAACAGAACCATTGAAAATCTTGATCATTTTTTAAGTTAAGATAAACAATCTGTTTATGATGTGAATTCATAGTGACGAGCGCATTTTAAACAGCATCAAAGTGAAAATCATTTAATTATTATATTTATAAATAATGTTAAATAAATAATATATAAGAATTAATGTGTAATAGAGAATATATAATAAATATTGTATAATAAATAATATTTAATAAAACGAATACAAAAGTTTAATCCCAAACAAAAAATCTTTCAGCTGAACTTATTCAGTTGAACCAAAAAATTGCACAGAAATTAGCGAAAGAAACAGCACAACGGAATATGCAAAATAACGGTATATTGCAAACGGTTCTTTACTAGCGCACACTGATTGACACAACTATAAAGTTGAAATGTATGTAAAAAACATGCGTATGATCAATATTTGATGAAAAAATCATGAAAATGCAAGAGATTTTATGTGGACCTATTTAGTTGATGGGCAGTGTACAATATTTAACATTTCATAATAAAATAAGAAAAGAGAACACTAAGAGAGACAGGACTAACATGAAGTAAACCTAGAATTGTATTGTATTAGATAAATTGCTTTAAAAAATTAAATACTTAGTGATTATTATTGAAGATATAGATAAAGCATAGTATATTAGTTTTATATAGTATTAAGGTATAGAAAATAAACGTAGAAAATATTTAACTTAGAATCGTACGTACGTACTTTACGGCGGCCTTAAACCGTTTCACCGCACCGTTCTCAATCATTTTAATTTAAACATAAGGCACAGAGTTGTAAATAAATAAATAAATAAAAGTCATAATATTTTTTATTGAGATGTAAATAAGTGAGCAGAAAGAAAGCTTATAGTTATGTACGTAAAATTTTTAAATTTTTGAAAAGAAATACAAGGACGAACTTAGCTTGAGCTTTGAGCATCACTATTCTAATATGAGTTTACAGTCTTAGATTTAGTAAAGTTAGTTAATCATTATTTATTTATTTTACTTAGTCGACTATCATTTAAGGTGCTTAATAAGCACTGCTTATCATTTAAGTTTAATTTGTTTTAAGACATACAAAAACCACTTACAGTAAACACCAATTAGTTTACCAAACTTGCTTGTTCATAGCCCAGTTACTTACATTTATTTGAAAAGAAAACTGCATATTTAAGTTACCCAAACATCGCTCTGTCAAAATGAAGCCATTTGGTAAGAGCAAACATTTCTTGAGCCGCTCGCAATCAGCCGGATAAAGAGTTTTTGTGCCAATCTAATGATGACTTTCCTTTGGCAATCGCCACGCAATGCGAATGTTGCGTAACCGGCAGAAAGCCAGAAAGCAACTGAAATCTCTGCTCAAACAATGAGCCCAATTGTAATTAAAAAGTTGTAGCTGTTGGTGTCTGAGGGCGGCGGGTATGGGAGATGTCAAATGATAGATTAAGCGACCCAATTATGAGTATGTGGCTATGAGGCTGCGTGGGATTTTGCCAATTTGTTTGTTTTGTAAAATTTGAGGCGAAGGAAAGTGGAATTGCAGGCAATGGAAAACTACAAGCCCACACCAATCGTGAGCATCAGCCGAGGGCCATAAAAATCTCTATCAAAATATATACTTTAGATCTATATGTATATACATATCCATGAGGCCTAAGGTCTCTCGTACTTAACTTCATGGTAAGCGGAGTTTTAATTTTTATTGTTGCTCCGCCGGCGAGACCCATTTTTTAATTGTTGCTCGCCTCTGGGTAACTGGGTAACATTTTGGAGTGGAGTGCAGATCTAATTGCAGCCACAGCCATGGATATGCCTTTTGGATTGTTCGGGTATATATATATATCTTCTGATTCAGAGACAGATTCGTGTGCTCGGCCTTTTGCAAGTCAGCGTTCTTCAAGTTCAAGTTCGGGGCTCCATCATTATGGCGATCGGAGTTTGGCGTTGTTCACACTTAATGATTTCACACATCTGGCTGCTTCCACTGATTTTGAGATCGGATGTTTGGATGTTTGGCAGTTCGGATGCATAAATCACTTAAGCAAATGCGTTCAAAGTCACAGCTAACATCGAGATATGCAGGCTCTCTGTGAAGGTCTGAACCTTAAAATACTCTTAATGTGATATATAAAAAAGAAAAAAGTGCTTAATTAGTAGTAATCAGTGTAAACTTTTTAGCTTAGAAATCAAATTACTGTTTATATCTCGTTTTTGTTTCTTAGTTATGTTGGCACTTGGTCAAAAAATCTTAATAAAATGTAACTATATTAATAGAAAATGTTAAAGAAGACTGTAATGTACCAAATACTTTTATACAATTAGTAAAATATTACAAACAACATCAAAAAAATGTGAGATAGATTCTAAACTAAGAACTAACGTAGGGTTAGGAGCCATCCCAGCTTAGGCCTTAGGCTACATCTTCGAATTAGTAATAATAAACATTCATATTTTTTAATAGAAACTTAATTTAAGTTGCTTTAAGATATACATCCAGTTTCGATGACTTCATTTGGCCAACTGCTGTGTTAAAGTTGACATTTGGTTTCTCTTTAAGCTGATGTGCAAATTGGCATTAATCTTTAATCACTTTCATTTCTTCACTGCCTTGAGAGGTTTAATATTAATTATCACAGAAGCCAAGTCAATAAATCCTCTGCTCCACTATGCATACCTTCACCTAGAGTATACGAAAACAGAAGATGAACGAGTGTCCCGGCAAATTTGAAGCGATATCGAATCGATTTGAAGTTGTTGGCTGGCACTCC